CCATAAAATCACCAGCTGTGCTCGACTTTGCGTACCCTCAAGACCGCAACGCCTCAAAGTGACAGCCTTCAACACCTTCCCTTTCCCCCCGCCCCGAAAAAAAAAAAAAAACCTTCGCTCAACTATCCAAAGCCCACTACTCTCTCCTTCCTGTGCCCCTGGCCCCGTAATCCCCGGACATGCTCGGATACTTGCGAACCATACCCCCTTGCCTTACCCCCGTGCCTCCTACCCTGTAGTGCCCTAATAAACTACGAACCGGTGTTTACCTTAGTTCCCCCACTACCCTCCCATAAACACCCTAGCCCAAACCACCAATGTCTGCACCCCCAACCTGAATTGACTCTAATCAAGCTGTTGTTGGTATGTATGTATATCCAACCGTTCATACCCCATTGCCCGAGCCACCACTGAGCAGCATCCCCGAATAGGATCAAACCACTCCTAATCCATACGTCTCTTCGTTTCCGCAAGGTGCAGGCTTTTGGGGTCTACATTGGACTTTGGACTTTGAGGTTGGCGGGATACTGCTCGGACAATAAGGCCCTAAAACGGTTCCCTATGATGCTCCTAGCGGAAGGTTGTGCTCCAGAAAACAGGCCATATCGACAATTTCATCTCAACACGCGCATTCCTGCACCCCCATGACTCGCCCCTCCCTCGCTCTCGCTTCCTCAATCTGACCCACCTTCCGCCACTGTGTTAGCCACAAAGATATAGGAGCAGGGGGTCGGTGGGCCTAGAAGCAAGAACAAAGGGACCCTAAACAAACTTCAGACTTTGACAAAAAGAGCCTCAAACCAGGTTCAACTTCGACAGGTGTCATGGTGGAACAACTGGAGGAAAGGGCCTTCCACATGATCAGGGAATCGGGGCCCATATGCAGGGAAAACATTGTGGAACTGTGGGATACCATGCCCCGCCAATGCAAACAGGGGCCGACAGGAGGACGGTCTTTCGTGTCAGGGGCGAGCCCGAGAAGCTCAATGGCGCCCATAAACAATACGTACGATGTGCCGTGCACCACGCAGGCGGTTACAAGCTTTGTACGTAGTCTCTATACGGGGATTCCCTTTTGCAGTGTTACGATTCGTGAGGGGTCTATGAGAGGGCTGCACAAAGATGTACAGAACTCGCATGTCCCTTCCATCGCAATTAGCCTAACTGACCATGAAGGCGGTGAACTGTGGATAGAACACCCAGAGGGGACGGTAGAGAGAGAACATGAAGGTAGACGAGTTCAGGGTAAAGCGTACTCCCTCTTCCCTCACCCTGCGATATTCACATCCAACCTTCTACTTCATGGGGCCATGCCGTGGACGGGACGTAGACGCCTAACTCTCATTGCGTTTACTCCCCGCAATGTAAAGACCCTCTCCGTTGAACTTAGATCTCTCCTCCTCACACAGGGGTTTGCACTCCCGACCCCAGCCCAGCTGAGCAGGTTCAGGCACAACCTGGTCCGACCAGGCACCGTACAACTCTCCATCCCTAACCTGATAGCTAGAACCAGAGCTGTCCAACAGGAGCGCCCCCCCCAGCCCGAGCTGCAGGAAAGACGCCCCCCCCAAGAAATCTCCAGCTCGGAGGATGAGCCTCAAGCTTCAGGTCTCCGCAACACAGGCCGCCTCAAGCCCCCGTCACCGGTTCATCACTAGGCTCTTAGCGGATGATCAGAGGGACCTCGAGAATGGAGTGCCTTGGCTTGGAGCACTGCGTGAACAGTCCCAAAGCAGCTGCATGACGGGGGCCGCCATGCATGAGGGTAGGGATGGACCTCGCCGCATGGCCCGGCTGGAAGTGGAACAACCTCAAACAACCCCAACCCCCATCCCCCCCCTCAAGAGAGCCAAAACGATGCCGGCAACACTGCCGAGCAGAGATCGCTGACACGCCCCTCCCACCTGACCCAGAGGGGATGAGGTTGCTAATTCGCCCTAACTCAAGGTAGGATGCAATGACCAATTTGGCCGTGACCCAAATACCCTACAACACGGCATTGCCTCTGCACGCCTGCATGTGATCACAGCCGTGGCTTGACGTAATATCGAATGATGTTACAGGCTCCCACCGCCGCTCTGCCTCGCATTTAGTGAGACGATGTGGCAGATTCATGTTGTCCCCTGCGTGCGACCATGTCATGTTGTGCCCTGCATATGCACCATGTCCAACAGTCATGTGCTGTCCTTAAGGGCTTCCGCCACCGCCATGCCTGCTGACACTACGAAACGCATCGACGAAGAAGGCTGCACCCTGAAGGTTTGCGCCGTTACCCGCCCAAAAAAAAAAACCTAGCCTATGGCAAATGCCGCCCGGCAGTATGGGAATACCTGAGGATGTCGTGCTGTTCTATACATGCTACGGTGTCATGAAGTCACTTTCGGTCACGTGCTGCTCTTAAAGGCTCCAGCCACCGCCGAGCCAAATACATGCCAGTCATGTCAGTACCCACATGTTGCGACGTTGTGACATGGCTAGTATGCTGTTCTTAAAGGCTCCAGCCGCCGCCATGCCAAGACATACCAGTCATGTCAGTACCTGCGTGCTGTGATGTCGTGACATGGCCTGTACGCTGTGATGTACCTTACAGCCATGTACTGTCCTTACGGGCTCCCGCCACCGCCATGCCGGCACAAGCGTGGGAAGAGCAACATACATCGACGACGACGGCTGCACCACACTGGATTGCGCCAAAAAAAAAAAAACCGACCTCGCCCAGACCGACAGGGAAGGATTGACAAACAAACGACAGGGGAGGGTTGACAACAAAGAGAACACATAACCACGCCCTGGACCAGCTCACTTTTCTCTCCGCCTCGACTCTCCCACTCCCCCCTCTACTGACCTCCTTACTGTCTATCTCCCCTAACCCCCGACCTTAACCTCTTACGTGTATTACTCTAATATGATAAGATGTTGACAACTCGCCTGCTGAAGCCATGGCCCGACACGACTGACGCCGAGCGCAGTGGACGATGGTGCTGCGAGACACCCCACCCAGGAGCGTCACGGATTGTCTTCGCTAGCACCTCGAGAATACTGCTCTGCCTGACAACTTACAGTCCTTAAGCTTGGCCCGACACGACTGGCGCAGAATGCAGTGGACGATGATGCTGAGAGACATCCCACCCTGGAGCGTCAGGGACTGTCTTCGCTGGCACCTCGAGAATACTGCCCTGACGGACAACTTACAGTCCTTAAGCTTTGGACATGACTTCAAGCAGAGCTGGGAGGATAAGGCCTTGCCTGACAACCTGCAACTCACCTGCTGAAGCCATGGCCCGACACGACTGGCACAGAGCGCAGTGGAAGATGATGCGGAGAGGCATCCCACCCTGGAGAGTCACGGGCTGTCTTCGCTGGCACCTCAAGCATACTGCTCTGCCTGACAACTTACAGTCCTTAAGCCTTGGACACGACTTCAAGCAGAGCTGGGAGAATCAGACCTTGCCTGACAACCTGCAGACCTTGGACCTTGGGATGTGAACTACACCCCCAGCGAGTCAGTTGGGACATTCGGCCACCCTGAGGTGATCTGGACAGGAAGTGTCGTGAGCTTATTGCAATGACGACCGCGCACATCCCACACAACTGCCAGCACCTCAACAATGACGTGGGACATGCGGCGATACTGTCATTCCAGAATGGCTTGGGCCCTATGCCGCAAAGTCGGGATCCTGACATCCTACTGGCAGAGACCAATGGCACGGCGCTCAGGACGCCGGTACATATCAGCTGCCTCCTACTGCTTCCGACGGTAGAACTGTGAGCCACAACGGATTGCAGCCAAGTTTGTAAGTCTGAAAGGGTTTGTAAGTCTGAAAGGGGGGGGAGGCCAAAGAATCTACCAGCCCATGCACTGGCCACAGGCGTGCCTAGACGGTAACTCTAATTCAGTAGCCGCCCCCCCCTTCCTTCCCGGGTCGCACTACAATTCACAACTGCACTTGCATGTCAATTCCTAATTTAGTGCTGGGAGTCCGTCTAAGTAGTAATTACCCTGCCGATATGCAACTAATTCGACCGACGAAGTCGTGCACTTTAATTCGTAATTGGTGCCACTAGTACGACACAAAATCCGCGCACCCTAATTTGTAATTAGTGCATTCCAGAGCCCTGGGGCCACGGCCTAATCGACAATTTGCACTTCGTAATTCGTAATTCAAAACTCACGGTGCAAGCAGAGCTAGCCCAGGGGGCCACCCCCATTTCAAGCTGGGCACTGAGCCGCGCCTGGCCCGGATTCCCCAACCTCGGATGCATCACATGACATGGGCCACAGGCGTGCACACATCTCATCCATTCCACAACCCAAGAATCCGGGAAGTCAGGCAGGAACATTTCTGAGAGGTCTGGCTCCTTTGAAAGCGCAGCCGGACATTTGAAAATTGAACTAGGCTGCCGAGCGGACCCTCTTGTAAGCATAGCGGTGTAGTGAAGGGACGTGACGTAGTCCTTACTGACATCCGAGCCATGACAGTTCCCTCCCTGGTTAACCCTTACTGGTAAGTCCCCGTTGCTAGTCTGCAATACATCTGGAGGTAACTTGGCGAGGGACGGTAAGGCTTAGTGTGTACAAAGCAGGCGAGCTCTGAGGTGGCGATCCCCGTACTCGGTGTTTCAAGCTATATTTACTGGCTGCACTGGCTGTACTGTGCTCTAACCCTTTTTTGTGACGGAGGATCGCGAACAGGGCTCTTGCTCTTTCCGAAGGGGGGGTGCCCCAAGGAAACATACCAAGACTGGGTTCCGCTGGGGGGGATCATTAGCCGTCGTTGCTCATCTGGTGTTGGTGCATGTTGGTCTGGGAACATTGATCTCTCCCGAATGAACCCACCGCCAATTTCCTACCCTTAATGCCTTCCTGGCAATATCCCTGGGCAGCTGGCGTGTGCCTATTGGGTGTCCTTTTTCCGTTCCTCCGACCAATTTACCCCGCTTTGCCGTGGCTAGTCGGGTGGCAAAAAAACCCTAAACCCCTGTTGCCTTTCTCTCGAAAGGTACGATGGGAAGATCGGGTTCGACCCTCAGGAGGTGCGCCGCTTCCGGCGGCCGATGCCCCGCTGCCTGGGAGTGTCCTTAGCTCTACTTTTCTTAGGGTTTAGGGTTTAGGGTTTAGGGTTTAGGGTTTAGGGAGGCAAGTAGAGGCAAGTAGGGTCCAGCAGTGGGCTTTTGTAGCTACCGCTTTGGGTTGAGAATGGTGTTGCGCGGCCTTTTGTAGGCTTTAAGGCTCTCATTCACTGTTTTGTGTTTAATCTTTTCGATTATGGCTCTCGGAGTTGGCACACAAGGTTTGACCAGGTGTGAAAAACGGAAGCTTTGGCCGAAACACAAGATGATGGCGGACGTAGCCGTCCTCACGCCACAGGACTTGGGGCTGGTGGGGGCTGGTGGGGCTGGTGGGGCTGATGGCGGTTTTTAAGTTGAGCCAATGCACTGGCCGGGACCATTTCTTCTTGTATCAAAGTGCACTGGCGAGGAAGGCCTCGACGTGGCAGCGAGTGCCCAGGAACTCCTGAAGCAGCCCCATGTGCGCACCTAGGATTCCGTGGAATATTGAAGCATGTAAGGGGCGAATGCAAGGAACAGCATACCCTAAAGCCCGAACCACAGCTTTGTTTAGTTTTTGTCCAAGGCACCGTGACGGTCTTTGAGCCGGCGGGCGTTGGGGGCGACGTGAAGCGGGCTGGAGTGCGCTACGTGGCGGGCGACCCCAACCTCAACATTACGTGCCCAAGGGGGATTGGCGCATGTGTGCGCATTTTTTCTTTTTCTGCGGTCGCATCCCTTCTAGAAAAGCCCAGCAATGTCTAAGTACTCTTAAGCCTTAAGCCTCTCCCAGCACCAAGGTACAAGGAGGCAAGCCTTGCCTTCAGCATGGACCTGAGCCGGCGCTTGAGCCGACTGAGTAAGAGCCAGGGCGGCGCCCACGAGCGCGAGCGCATCTGTGAGTTGGTGCGACCTGGGGAGCGCGTCCTGGCTCCCTTGCTGTTGTTGAGGCAAGGAACCTTTTTTAACATTTTTTATTTTGGTTTGGGATGTCCCCCAGCTTATACTAACCTTTTCCGAATAGATCGGGGGGTGCTATACTCCCAATTAAGGACTGTTAGTCTTGCAGGGAACATCCCACATTTTGGTTCGATTCTGGAACGCTGCAGAAGCAAGACGGGTGAGTTGTGGGGTTCCAGCCATGGGTTCCAGCAACCCTAAACCCAAAACCCTAAACCCAAAACCCTAAACCCTAAACAACCCTAAACCCTGAACCCTGAACCCTAAACCCAAGAACGCCCCCCGAGGTTCTGGGCTCAGGCATCGGCCTCACAGCCTGCCTTGTGGGGGCCCGCACGGCCTGCTCCGAGGTTGTGGCCCTGGAGCCTGATGAGGTTGGGGTGGCAGTGGGGTTTAGGGTTCAGGGTCCAGGGTCCAGGGTTCAGGGTTCAGGGTTTAGGGTTCAGGGTTTAGGGTTTAGGGTTTAGGGTTTAGGGTTTAGGGATGCAATGTGCAGAACCAGGAGGTGCTCGTAGCCACTCCCGAGCAATAACTCAAGTATCGACAGGCAGAGAGAAGCCTTGCAGGTGAAGCACGAGTTTGCTTTGGCCAACATCCGAACCAACAAGCTGGAAGGGAAGGTCTCCAGTCTTTGCCGCTCCCCCCTCGATGTGGAAGGACTGGGCCAGTTCGACCGCATCTGTGCGTTCCTGAAGTTCCAGGCCCTTGAGAATTTGCAGCCCTTGGTGGCGGCCATCCGAACAAACGGCACACTGCACTTCTACAACCACGAGTCCGGAGAGGAGTTCCTGCGGGAACCTACCGAACTCCTGGACTCGATGAGGAAGATGTGTGCCAGAAGAGTCGATATCACGTGGCGTGGCAAAGTTCCTCGCAAGTCTATTTCACCCAACATGTACAGGGTGGGTGTGGACTTCAAAGTTTCTTAGAGGCACCAAAGCGATCGAGATTCACGGCAATGCGGAGTCTGCAATAAAGCGCTTCTTGCCAAGAGACATGTGGAGGCTTTCAGATGCCTTACAGTCATATCAGATGTGGTAGAAGGCAGCTGTGGGTCGCCTGTCTCAGGTCACATACTACTCATGACAGATGGAGTCTGGTCCTCACAGGGCAGCCAAAGCAGCTTAAACCAGAGATCTGCTATTCTAAAAAGTTCGCAAGACCCGAGGCGTAGGCCCGCCATGGGAGTCTCTCTTCCCCTTGGCCTTTACAAGAAAAGGGGAGATGGCTCTGAGATGGCGAGATGGGGGAAACACTAAGAGAGCCTGCCGAAACTTGCTCAACCCTCAAGAAGGATCGTAAGGCCCCCGAGAAGACGAGAGAGTGTGGACCTCCGGGTCTTGAGGGAAGATCTGGGGGGGGGGGGAGTGTCTCGCGGAGCAGTCAAAGCGTCTTTTTTGCGTTCGAGTGACTCTAGTGATAGTTTCTATGGCAGGCCTTCCGTCTTTGGTCAGGGTCTAGAAGCAGCATGATGTCTTACGTTGTTTCATCATTGCCCGGGCGTAGGATATACAGGTTGCCGGCTGTTCTGGCACCTTGCTGTCTTTGTTGAAGTGGCAGATGTGTGGGTGCATCGCCTTGTTGGGGTTGCCTGAATGTGCCTGATCCTTGTGCCCAGTTTGTCAAAGTCGGAATGCAAGAACCCCAAATCTCTGAGAACATCTGACAGGCGGCAGGAAAGCTACCGTGCTCCAAGACCTTTGCCACAAGCTTTGCAGAAAACTAGAGAAGCTTTGAGGCTTCGATGGCTTACTCTGCCCCTCAGGAGCTCCGCACAACCTGCGCCCCGAAGAAGCAAGAAGCCCACTGGCTCAGGTCCCCACCCATGGGGATCCTGAGGACGGGTGCTCGGCAGCGCTGTAAAGTCTGCAGTTTCAGGCTTCGGGGCTCAAAGTTGTTTGAAGGCGCAACTTGGTGTAACCCTTGATTGACTCGTGGCTTTGGGTTTTTGAATTGAGGGGGTTTAAGATTGAGTTGCGAGACTTGGCTTTGTTCCCCCCACCCTCGGTGTGGGGCTGTTAGATTTAAAGTCCACGCCCGGGCCCTTGCAATACCCACCCCCTGAGAACTTCCAAGCCTTTCCAACACGAGCTCTTCGGTGCGGGCTGCGAGCCCGCGCGCCTCCCAAGCCCTTCGAACACAAGCTCTTGTACAAAGTTGCTAGCACGCCTCCCCCTTCCAAAGCAAGCTCTTAGACAAGTGCGGGTTGCTAGCCCGAACGCCTTCCAAGCCCTTCCAAGCTCTTAAGCAAGTGCGGGTTGCCAAGAGAAGCCCTTCCAACACCAGCTATTGTACAAGTGCCGCATGCCTTCCGGATTGCCAGCCCGCACGCCTACCAAACCTGTCTTTCAAGCACGTGCGGGTTGCTAACATTGCTAACCCACACGCCTTCCAAACCCGTCCAACACAAGCCCTCAAACACGCGCTTGTTGCTAGCCCGCACGCCTTGCAAACCCGTTCAACACAAGCTCTCTCAGACACTCTCAAACACGTGCGGGTTGCTAGCCCGCACGCCTTCGAAACCCAAACAAGCTCTCAAACTAGCCCGCGCCCCTTCCTCTCAAACACTTGTGGGTTGCTTGCCCGCAAAAGCTCTCAAAGACGTGCGGGTTGCTACCCCGCGCGCCTTTCAAACCCGTCCAACACAAGCTCCCAAACATCCAAACAATGTGCACAAGCCTCAAACACATGTGGCCCGCACCGACTTCCAAAGCCATCCAACACAAGCTCTCAAACACGTTGCTAGCCCGCACCGCCTTCCAAACCCGTCCAACACAGGCTCTCAAACACGTCCGGGCTACTAGCCCGCACGCCTTCCAAACCCGTCCAACACAAGCTCTCAACGACGTGCGGGTTGCTAGCCCGCACGCCTTCCAAACCCGTCCAACACAAGCTCTCAAACACGTGCTAGCCCGCATGCCTTCCAAACCCGTCCGACACAAGCTGTCAAACACGTGTGGGCTGCTAGGCCGCACGCCTTCCAAAGCTGTCCAGCACAAGCTCTCAAACACGTGCGGGCTGCTTGCCCGCACGCCTTCCAAACCCGTCCCGCACATGCTTTCAAACACGTGCGGGTTGCCCGCACGCCTTTCAAACCCGTCCAACACAAGCTCTCGGACACGTGCACACAAGCTCTCAAACACATGCGGGTTGCTAGCCTGCACGCCTTCCAAACCCGTCCAAGATAAGCTCTCACACATGCTAGCCCGCACGCCTTGCAAACCCGTCCAACACAAGCTCTCAAGCACGTGCGGGCTCATAGCCCGCACGCCTTCCAAACCCGTCCAACACAAGCTCTCAAGCACGTGCGGGCTGCTAGCACGCACGCCTTCCAAACCCGTCCAACACAAGCTCTCAAGCACGTGCGGGCTGCTAGCCCGCACGCCTTCCAAACCCGTCCAACACAAGCTCTCAAACACGTGCAGGCTGCTAGCCCGCACGCCTTCCGAACCTGTCCTCCAACACAAGCTCTCCAAACCCGTCCAACACAAGCTCTCAAGCACGTGCGGGCCCGCACGCCTCCAATACTTCCAAACCCGTTCAACACAAGCTCTCAAGCACGTGCGGGCTGCTAGCCCGCACGCCTTCCAAAACCGTCCAACACAGCTCTCAAACACGTGCGGGCTGCTAGCCCGCACGCCTTCCAAACCCGTCCAACACAAGCTCTCAAGCACGTGCGGGCTGCTAGCCCGCATGCCTTCCAAACCCGTCCAACACAAGCTCTCAAGCACGTGCGGGCTGCTAGCCCGCACGCCTTCCAAACCCGTCCAATACAAGCTCTCAAACACGTGCGCACGCACGTGCTGGCGCTGGCTGCTAGCCCGCACGCCTTCCAAACCCGTCCAACACAAGCTCTCAAACACGTGCGGGCTGCTTCACAAACCCGTCCAACGCAATCTGCTAACCCGCACGCCTTCCAAACCCGTCCAACACAAGCTCTCAAGCACGTGCGGGCTGCTAGCCCGCACGCCTTCCAAACCCGTCCAATACAAGCTCACAAACACGTGCGGGCTAGCCAGCGCGCCTTCTAAATCCGTCTAATACAAGCTCTCAAGCAGGTGCCGGCTGCTAGCCCGCACGCCTTCCAAACCCGTCCAACACAAGCTCTCAAACACGTGCTGCTAGCCCGCACCCCTTCCAAACCCGTCCGACACAAACTCTCAAGCACGCTAGCCTGCACGCCTTCCAAACCCGTCCAACAAGCAGCTTGCACACCTTCCAAACCCGTCCAGCACAAGCTCTCAAGCACGTGCGGGCTGCTAGCCTGCACGCCTTCCAAACCCGTCCATGCGGGCTGCTAGCCCGCACGCCTTCCAAACCCATCCCATACAAGCTCTCAAGCACGTGCGGGCCGCACGCCTTCCAAACCCGTCCAACAAGCTCTCAAGCACGTGTGGGCTGCTAGAGCGCACGCCTTCCAAACCCGTCCAACACAAGCTCTCAAGCACGTGCGGGCTGCAAGCCCGCACGCCTTCCAAACCCGTCCAACACAAGCTCTCAAGCACGCTTCCAAACCCGTCCAACACAAGCTCTCAAGCACGTGCGGGCTAGCCCGCACGCCTTCCAAACCCGTCCCATACAAGCTTTCCAAACCCGTCCAACACGAGCTCTCAAGCACGTGCGGGCTGCTAGCCCGCACGCCTTCCAAACCCGTCCAACACAAGCTCTCAAACACGTGCGGGCTGCTAGCCCGCACGCCTTCCAAACCTGTCCAACACAAGCTCTCAAGCACGTGCGGGCTGCTAGCCCGCACGCCTTCCAAACCCGCCAACACAAGCTCTCAAGAAGCACGTCCGGGCTGCTTGCCCGCACGCCTTCCAAAGGCGTCCAACACAAGCTCTCAAACATGTGCCGGCTGCTAGCCCGCACGCCTTCCAAACCTGTCCAACACAAGCTCTCAAGCACGTGCGGGCTAGCCCGCACGCCTTCCAAACCCGTCCAACACAAGCTCTCAAACACGTGCGGGCTAGTTCCAAACCCGTCGAACACAAGCTCTCATCCAAACCCGTCCAACACAAGCTCTCAAGCACGTGCGGGCTGCTAGCCCGCACGCCTTCCAAACCCGTCCAACACAACCTCTCAAGCACGTTAGGGCTGCTAGCCCACACGCCTTCCAAATCCGTCCAACACAAGCTCTCAAGCACGTGCGGGCTGCTAGCCCACACGCCTTCCAAATCCGTCCAACACACAAGCTCTCAAGCACGTGCTAGCCCGCACGCCTTCCAAACCCCTCCAACACAAGCTCTCAAGCACGTGCGGGCTGCTAGCCCGCACGCCTTCCAAACCCGTCCAACACAAGCTCTCAAGCACGTGTCCAAGCCCGTCCAACAACAGCTCTCAAGCACGTGCGGGCTGCTAGCCCGCACGCCGTCCAAACCCGTCCAACACAAGCTCTCAAGCACGTGCGGGCTAGCCCGCACGCCTTCCAAACCCGTCCAACACAAGCTCTCAAGCACGTGCGGGCTGCTAGCCCGCACGCCTTCCAAACCCGTCCAACACAAGCTCTCAAGCACGTGCGGGGCTGCTAGCCCGCACGCCTTCCAAACCCGTCCAACACAAGCTCTCAAGCATGTGCGGGCTGCTAGCCCGCACGCCTTCCAAACCCGTCCAACACAAGCTCTCAAGCACGTGCGGCTGCTAGCCCGTACGCCTTCCAAACCCGTCCAACACAAGCTCTCAAGCACGTGCGGGGCCCGCACCTTCCAAACCCGTCCATCACAAGCTCTCAAGCACGTGCGGGCTGCTAGCCCGCACGCCTTCCAAACCCGTCCAACACAAGCTCTCAAGCATGTGCGGGCTGCTAGCCCGTGCGCCTTCCAAACCCGTCCAATACAAGCTCTCAAGCACGTGCGGGCTGCTAGCCCTCACGCCTTCCAAACCCGTCCATCACAAGCTCTCAAGCACGTGCGGGCTGCTAGCCCGCACGCTTTTAAACTCGTCCAACACAAGCTCTCAAGCACGTGCGGGCTGCTCGCGCGCCTCCCAAACCCGTCCAACACAAGCTCTCAAGCACATGCGGGCTGCTAGCCCGCACGCCTTCCAAACCCGTCCAAAACAAGCTCTCAAGCATGTGCGGGCTGCTAGCCCGCACGCTTTCCATACCCCCCCCCTAGAAATAGGGTTTGGGGTGGGGGGGTCACCTCAGGGCCCACCTATAAAAAATAGGTGGCAAACCTATTTTGGTCAACGTCCCCACCCTAACTAAAAATAGGGCTAAGAGAGCCGAATGTCTGCAGAGAGACATTGTGAGCCATGCAAAGTGTGCGGAGCACTACAGCGTGTTAGAGTGGTCCACCCCCCCCCTGCCCAGACCCAACCCCCATAATAGGGCCAGCCCTATTTCCCGGCCCCCCCCCCCCCCCCCCCCCCCCCTAGGCAGGGGGTATGCTTTCCAAACCCGTGCAACACAAGCTCTCAAGCACGTGCGGGCTGCTAGCCCGCACGCCTAGCCCGCACGCCTTCCAAACCCGTCCAACACAAGCTCTCAAGCACGTGCGGGCTGCTAGCCCGCACGCCTTCCAAACCCGTGCAACACAAGCTCTCAAGCACGTGCGGGCTGCTCGCACGCCTCCCAAACCCGTCCAACACAAGCTCTCAAGCACGTGCGGGCTGCTAGCCCGCACGCCTTCCAAACCCGTGCAACACGAGCACGCCTTCCAAACCCGTGCAACACAAGCTCTCAAGCACGTGCGGGCTGCTCGCGCTCCTTCCCAAACCCGTCCGACACAAGCTCTCAAAGCACGTGCGGGCTGCTCGCACGCCTCCCAAACCCGTCCAACACAAGCTCTCAAGCACGTGCGGGCTGCTAGCCCGCACGCCTTCCAATTCCGTGCAACACGAGCACGCCTTCCAAACCCGTGCAACACAAGCTCTCAAGCACGTGCGGGCTGCTCGCGCTCCTTCCCAAACCCGTCCGACACAAGCTCTCAAAGCACGTGCGGGCTGCTAGCCCGCACGCCTTCCAAACCCGTGCAACACAAGCTCTCAAGCACGTGCGGGCTGCTCACACGCCTTCCCAAACCCGTCCAACACAAGCTCTCAAAGCACGTGCGGGCTGCTAGCCCGCACGCCTTCCAAACCCGTGCAACACAAGCTCTCAAGCACGTGCGGGCTGCTAGCCCTCACGCCTTCCAAACCCGTCCAACACAAGCTCTCAAAGCACGTGCGGGCTGCTATAGCCCGCACGCCTTCCATTCCTGTCGAGTTGCGTTCGTTCGAGAAATGGCCCCACATTGGCTAGCAGTCTCCCACAGCAGTAGGGTGGAATGATCGAGGCAATGCAATTCGCAGGATTGAACGTTCAGGGAAGCCTTGGAGGGCGCATCATTTTTTGAGGGTGTATGAGGCCTTTTCAAGGCTGAGCCAGTGTGAAGACTGCGAGAGAAAGGGGGAGAGATGCGTTTTCGAGTTTCGAGTTTCCGGCACATCAACCTTGAGGAACCCCAATCCGGGAGATGCTGGTTCAGTGAAAAGACGACTGCCTCACGAGTAGTCTGCCTCGCCTCAACAAGTCCAAAAACTCATTGAATTCCTTCACCCCCCTGCTTCGAGGCACTCGCCGAGAGGGCTCTGGCACAGCGCTTGGGTGTCGCAGAAGCCTGAGGAACCCCTGAATTCTTTAGGAAGGGGAACCGGAACCGGTGAGAGCGTTGCATGCTTCCGGTCCGGAGATCGGGTTCATTCAAATCTGGAGCCGATGCTTCGAATCGTGGAAAGACTCTTCACTTCCGGCGGCTTGCGGCTTTAAGCATCCCGTGAACTCCATCACCATCTCTCGAGGTCATTCACACCATCTACTTGGGCTGGCCACCGTCTCAGCACCAGAGAGTCCAAGTTGTTGAGGTCAGAAAGAGCACCACTTCCCGTTTTGACATGCTGTTCCATTTTAACAATTTTAACCACAGTTTGCTTGCCGAAAAGCACCCGCTGAAACTGAATGGTGGAAGACATGTTCTTCCGAAACGCTGGCAGATGCGCGGCATGTCAAAGCAGCAGTTTCTCACATGATTTCACGCTTTTCACACGCTGCGCAATCCTGACTCGGGTCTGCGGCCGCTGAAACTGAGGAAACTGAGGAAACTGAGGAAACTGAGGAAACTGAGGAAACTGAGGAAACTGAGGAAACTGAGGAAACTGACCGACAAACGAACATCGACAAACGAACAATGGCCAAAGACTTCAAATCATAGGATCCAGTGAGCCACAGAACTCAACAAGATTTGAAACCATGCCAAACCTTGCGACTTGCCATAGCAATCTGCTCAAGCTCGTGAGGCAAAAGAAATAGCCACATGCCTTGTTCCCCCATGTTGGTGGTAGAATGTGGCAGACTAGATGCTTCACCGAATTTCCCATATGGCCATGTTGAGAGCTCCGGAGGGGTTCGGATTTCTGAAAGCTTGACTTTATGTCCCGCGCGGACCGTGGCTTGAAACGAGGCGTATAGGGGGATCGTCGCATCGCGTGGTCTTGCGCAGAGGGCAAAGGAGAGATTGTTGGCTGTTTACAGGGTTCGGCCTTGCTCCGCTGCTAAATCTGAAGCGGCGCTTCATATGGCCCCATGCTGGACCTGCAGTTGCCAGTGGTCTTTGCTTTGCACTCCGTGACATCAGTGCCATGGCCGAGAGAAGAGCCAAGGCTTTCAGAGGATGTCCGACTTGGATTTTTTTTTGCTGTCAGGGGGGCAGTAAATGCCTTGAGGAGTGAGGCGGTTGAGGGTTCAGGTTGTTGTGGCCTCAGAGTTCAGCATCCTTCGTTGCCACCCACAGCAATAAATAACAGCGAGTTTGCAAGTGGCATACCCTGCAGAAAGAAGCAGCAAAAACGAAAGCCCCGAAGGTCCCCCAAACCAAGCCCAAGCTTCTAGAAAATCATGGAGGCCAAATGTCATCAGCTAGGCAGGGTGGCAAAGACGTACTGCACAGGACCACCCAATCGATTTGAAGGTGCCCGCGTTCAATTGGCCCCTAACACTCTCGCACCCGCTGACGACTAGATCTTTGCGTATCTGTGCGAAGCCTAAATTCCTGATCTGGGCCTTACAAGGAAGCATTGGCAGTCCAGGGCTTCGGGGCTTCAAGGGCTAAGTGCCTATCGCCGATGTTGTGTCTCCGGAAACAGCCAGAGCTTTCTGACGGCTCAGGTGTCTTTGACGCTTCTAAACAAGCAACTGTCTGCAGAGATTCCTTACCCCTGGACGATCGCAGCTTGCTGAGATTTGCACCTTTGGTTTCTTCATGTCCTGAAGCCTGGCCATTGGTCCACGCAATGAGCGCAACGAGCATACCTACGTAGCTTGCATGGCTGGAGCTTTTTTAGAGGCCTCGTCGGGCCTGAAGCCTGGTGTGGGAGCCGATTTCCTTGTTGCAGCCTTTCCGGGATAGGCTTGCCTACCTGATCATGTGGAGATCCACAGATGGAGTGCAGTTTTGGTGGTTTAAACACGGCTGGGTTTCAGAAGTCAAAACATGAGATGCAGAGCTCCCGGGGCGCATGTCAGACCCCAAGTTTGGTGAACGCCCCCATGAGTAGTCTGAGCTTCGAAAGGTGGGTCCTTTCAATGAAACTCCCAGTCTCATGTGCGCCCTGGGCCGGTTGTCTTGGGATCGGCTTGCGAATCTGAGGTTCTTCTACAGTGCTTGGCAAGCATTCCTTTCACGCTGCGCCTTGGCTGCTGGAGATCTCATCTTGTTTGCCGATGCCTTTCTCAGGGTTTTGGAAGCCCAGGCTTGCAAATGTGCGGCTGCGGCAGATCAAAGCCATCCGCTGGTCCCACTTCCCCGGAGGAATGCTGGTCTCCAGCCTCTTCACCCTGTGCCTGATTCCGGCTGCATTGGAGTTTCTGTTCCTGTGGTCCGGGTGGTTCGGGTGCCGCATCAGTAGCAGCAACGCCACATCTGCCGCAGGGCAACAAGCAGAGGAGTTTTTACGGCTCTGACAGCTGTGAAGAACCGAGGACCAGCAGCCTCGTCGGGCTGAGAAGGGTGCACGTGCCAATGGTTGTCGTTGGCAAGAACTTGGGCCTTTTGGTGGCACTGGCATTTTGCTTTCAGGGGGGGCAAGGATGTTTTTACCGGGGGGCGGGGGTCGAGTATGTATCAAGCTACCCGGGGCTACCCGTCGAGTGTGCATCCTAGGTGGCCTTCGAGTGTGCGTCCTAAGCACGTTTTTGCTGGCCGTGCCAGTGCTTCAGCCATGAGTATGTCACCCGAAGCCGACATGTCGAAAGTACTGGCAGGGGCAGTACATTCGACATGGGTCGTTTTTTGCTTTTTGTTGCCCAAAAAATGCCCCGTCAAGGTACCTTTCGGCGGGTTTTCGAAGAACTTCTTTGTTTAACCTCCCAAGCGACTGGCGCTGGTCCCTGCATGTGAATTTTACATGCGCGCCAAAATGCGCGGAGCACTGCGCTTTCATCGCGCAGCATTGCGCAGCATTGCGCATTACGCTTTCATTGCGCAGCGCAGCCCCACCAAGCCCAAAGCCGTGACGAGAAGCCACTCAGTAACCTCTGCATGTTCCAGGCTTCGTTGACAGGGCACCATCGTGAGCACAACCTTACAACTTACAACCGGTTAAGGTCCAGAACCGTGCTTGCAAGGCCCCTTCTGCACTGCGATCCTCGAGTCGCTGCTGTTAGAGGCCTGGAGGGGACGGCAGCCGATGATAGAGCAGCGTGATGAATTCCTCATATTCCTCGATCCGGGCCCCTGAACACTCAAACCGAGTTGAAAGTTGCAAGCACGTGCCCTCATGTGCCCCAAGCGCCTCGCTAGAGCAGGTGCCCCTGAACGTACGAACGCTCGGAGCGCTGCTGATTGGGGCACCCTGATGGCAAGTTGGTCCGGGCCGTTTCATGACTTGAGGCTAGACTATTAAGGAAAGTCTTGGCGATGCGACATGGGAACACGTCAGGGCGAAAGAGAAGGTTGGGGCCCGGTCCTGTCCAGTAGGTTTGCGGCTTCTCGGCTTCTCGGCTTCTCGGCTTCTCGGCTTCTCGGCTTCTCGCTTGAGGTTGGGGTTTCCGGCTGGCTTGCACTTCCCCCAAGACTGCTGGTGCCACCGATGCTTTTCTTCTCAGAGCATCTTAAGTGGGACAAAGAAGGGAGATGTACTCAACTTGACGAAGACGCGGAAGACATGGAAGACGTCGAACCGTGTGGGAAGCTTTCGTTTTGAGGGCTTCTGAACGGATTAAAAGCACGGGTCAGCCCTTGGTAGTATGGCTGTTTGAGATAGCTGCGCCCTTGCGGCCCAAACCTTTCAAGCTTGAAACAGCTGCTTTCAAGGTGCTGGGAAGTACACTGTATGCCATGGGCGACGCGAACTCCGACACCTGGTCTGCGACAAGTTCTTCCGGGATTCGGTGGCTGAGAGATGCTGAGGGTTGACCCCATCAAGGGGCTGTAAACTTGGAACCGGTTTGAAGTCCAAGGGGTGGATTCTGGAACGTCGGAATTTGAGGGTGTGGAGTGGTGTTGCGGGCAGCGGTCCTAGCGAAGGGGAAGACCGGGCCAGGAACCCAAGACCTGCCCAGAAAGAAGGGGAGCTTACGGGAACCCGAAAACTCCAAAAAGGACCCTGAAAGCATCTGCCATGAAATCACAGAATCTCTCTCGCCCTACTAGTAGATATTTGCATTGCGGGCGCCTGTGTCTTCAGGGCTTAGGCAAAGTTTCGCGAGGGGCGAGATGCGTTCCGAGGGCTGACACTCTAATGAACTCTAAGTAGGACTGAAATGGGTTCTTCGAGACGCTGCCCTCTTTGCCGCAGCCGAGGACCTGGAAGGTACCTGGCATCGGATCAGCTCCGTAGACTCAGTAGGGGTTTAGGGTTTAGGGACCAGGAACCTTCAACACTCTCACTCTCTGTGTCTCGTTCTCTCACTTTCTCTTTCGTTCTCTGAGCCTGGATGGCCCGCGGAGTGTGGCAGTGTGCGCTTTTCGTCTCCGGCTTTTCGCAGGAAGAGGGCTTCAGACTTGAGTTTTGGAGGGGAGCTTAGGGAGCTTCGGTTGGGGTGATTTGCTGTTTTGGGTTTGGGTTCCGGGGCTTAATACCTTCGGCGTTTGCACCTCTATTGCGTGGTATCCCTGGGCCCCGGGCTGCCTTTGCAGAGCCTTAGACCTATGATAACCCTAAACCCTACCTTGCGGTCCAGGGTTTGCATGTTAGCATGTTGGGTTCAGCACGGGTTAGGGCGGTAGAAGATGCTTAAAACGTAGGAGGGTTTGGAGTCCTGTCTTGGAGTCCACGTCGCAAAGGCAGCGCCCTTTCACAGCAGCTTAGCACTTCCTTGCATCAGAACATAAATTCACAAGGAAATGAGGATTCGAATCATGATTCAGCGCATGTCATGAGGCCAAAGCGGCCACCCTCAACATCAACCCACCCAGCGAGCTTCAGGGTTGATACGGCGGGTGGGCCACCCGCGACGGCGGCTTTTAGCGCATCCCATGCCAATCTGCACAGCAGATTGGCCAACACAGCTGACAGCCAGCACAGAGCCAGCCATCTCCACCCAACTGCAAATAACAACAGGTAAGACCACATTTCCTGTCAACACGGTACGGCGTCTAGCGCCTGCCGTAGCCAATGAAGCGGTGGAGATTGATGACAAGATGACAAGATGACAAGCGCTGGTTGGCTATCAGCAAGCATCTCCCCAATTTGTTGCATGCCGATACGACATGCAAACCAGAACAGGCGCCAAAGCCGGAACAGCCTGCACGCAAAGGGCATGATCCGCAGTGCCATCCCTTGTCCCAAGGCGTTTTCCTGGTAGGGCTCAACGCGGCCCTCGTCGCCCTAACGTCAGTTTGCGATGCTCACCTGGCGTAGATGTGCTTTCGACTTCGGATCTGTCGCTGGAAGTTGAGACTTCTGAAAATTCCTTAAAACCTTGGAGCATCTTGAAGCCTCAAGCTCCGCTGCATCCTTAAGTCCCGATGCGAAAGCACTTGCGCCTCAAGAACCTAAGCCCAAAGACCTCATCCCACAAAACCCAACACTCTTGAACGGAGCTAAGGAGAAGTACGTGGTTCGAACTGTCGACCAGGCAGCTCTTGGCTTCAGCTTGTATAGCGTCTTGGCTTAAACCATGATCTTTCTCTAATTGGGCAGGGTTTCTATGGATGCACTCTCTCTTTCTTTCTTTGTTTTTTTGTTTTTTTTTTTTTTCTCTCTCTCTCTCTCTCTTTCCTGATGCTTACACAAGAGAACGAAGAAATCCAGTTCGCTGCTTCGGTCTTTCGTGCGCGTGGCAGTGACGTACCGGGAAGTACGCCAGTGATCTGTCCTGATGGCGATACTTCCTAATGCTGAACAGGTTCCTCGGATGACCATCATGTGCCCCATTCACCCCGCCCCCGTTTCGAGCAACCTGTGACATGACGCCGATATTGACGCCGCAGCTCCCAGGCTACTAGGTCGGACATGTTGGACCAGTCACCCCACTCAGCACTCAGCACCCCTCACTTCCCTTCATCACACCTGGTTCTTCAGGATCTCACTCATCTAAATCTCAGGCAGGAGGATGTCAACAACATCCCACGCTCGGATCGAGGCATCATTCTCCACATTCGGAACCAATCCCCGGGCTTGATCGAGCCAGTGCGCAACATCACCCGACGTTGGCACCAGCAGAGGGCTGAAGCAGTACAAGGAGCCCATATCATACTGCTCACCCTCCCGGATGGAGGAGCTGCAAAAATCATAGGGTGCACTTCTTTCGCTACAGGCCAAGAAGAAGAAGAACACCTACATCACGTCGGACGAGAAATTGGGAGATGGAGTGCAGGGATCCAGCACAACAAGAAGATGACCTTGGATCAGGAAAAGATCTCCCCCTTGGCCCTCCCAATCATCTGCACTTAGGGTACGAAATCGCTATCTCTCCCTTCCGCTGCTGTGCAGAGCGAACACTCAAAGAGGACATGGGGAAGGCAGCTTCGATCCTTCAGAGCGGCTGCAGACCCCCTGCCTGTGTCGGGCAGTAGCTCGTAGTTGGTGGAGCAGTAGTGGTCATCGTAGCCATGGTCATGGTTGTGTGTAGTGGTCGTTGCAACAGTTCTCGTAGGTCCGGGCCGGGGAGGGGTGGGGGGGGGGGCGCCGGCAAGTTTTGGGGTTCGATGAACCTTTTCTCCCAAAAGCAAAGGATGCGTGTTGGCAGTGCCTCTGCTCGGGATTATGCTGGCCCTTGGCCGCTTGGACTTGGGAAGGGCCACAGTCCAGCGCAGGGTCCTTGTCAGACTTTGGGCCAGCTCGGGGCCGCGGTGAGAGTTTAGGAATGTTTGGAGTTGAGGGCAAGTAAGTAGATCACGGACCATCCTAGAAGCCCCTAAACCTTAAGCGTTGCAGCCAGTTCTACAGCGGTTCAGCTTGCTGCAAAAGTGCCCAATAAAGCGCGCTAGAAATCTGAGCGGCAATTGGCCCTTTGCTGAGCTGGGACGAGCTGTTGTTTTCAAAGGGTTGTTGACAAAGACCTTAGGGAAAAAGTTCTTGGCGCAAACCTGCCAAGCGATATACCATGGATGAAGGGCCGACATGATTGGTCAACCGTGAACCCGCATCGCCTGAGCTCCAGATGGTGCTGTGTTTGGCCTTACGTACATGTTCCGTCTGACAAGGTGCACCCTATTGCGGGTTCCCTAAACCCTAAACCCTGAACCCTAAACCCTGAACCCTAAACCCGAAACCCGAAACCCGAAGCCCTAGATGGTGCTGCAGAAACCCTAAACCCTAAACCAAACCCTTAACCCTGGACTTAGCACTGCCGAGGCATGGAGGACGTCTATGATGCTCTCCTCGCCATTGTGAATGCCAGCAACTACTGCCTGCTGGCTCCTCTGCCTGAAGACCCGAAGCAGCCTACGATAGGGGTCGGAATCTTTACTCATCATCCCTTGTGGTCCCTTTTAGAATTATACCATAAGAACCCCCCAAGACCCTATTCGAAGTATTCAGGCTCCTACATGAAGGCCCCTGAACCCTGGAGACATCGGTTCCTCAACTTGGGGAGGGTTTTGGCTCAGGGCGTAGTTCTTACCATGGAGCCAGGGGGACCTCAGCAATCCCAACACAAGTGCGTCAAACACCCCCTGCCGTATCCTAGCAGCCAGAGTCCCAACACTTCAATCCAGTTGAGTGATCTGAGAGACTGTGAACTGAGTGAATTCCTGATTCGTCCAGAGGGAACTGGTGGTCTGAAAAAAGGTTTAGGTTGGAAAAAGACATTGGGTTTGGAACAATATTTTCAATCTGCACATGGGGTTAAGAAAAAACAAAGGCTGTTAAAATAAAAAACCCACAGGGGCACTCTTCGGCCTTGGCCCCCCTTTTTTTCCGGAGGAGTTTTCAAGTAGCAACACTAAACCCTAAAACATAATGTAATTGCTCTGTTTTTGGTGGCCAGCACTCCAGGTGCTGGCGGTTTCGACCATCTTCAGTGCTGCTGCTGGCCTCTGGGCCTTTCAGTTCTTCTTGTTATTCGGGGGTTTCGGGTAAGTCTTTCGCGTACGGCATTCCCGGCTTTGCCACCATCATGGGGGGGCTAGCAAATGCCGAGCAGCGAGGAAATGCACAAACAAAAGTGCTTGAGAGCTTCAAACACGACCTCAGCAACTACTAGCTTGGTAGCTCAACCTCTCGGGCGCATGCCTTGACAGTGTCATAGTCGTCAGAGAAAGGCAACACGGTCATTGAGCCCGGCATGGAAGCAAGCTCAGCAAAGCGCGAGAACGTAGCCCGCAGCGCGGCTGCCCCGTTGGCTGTGCAGATGTTATCCCCGCAGACCTGTGTTAGACTGTTAGACCTGATCCTTGGGAGCTGCCGCAGAGTTGTAAATCAGACAAGCTCCAGCGTCGAGATTTTCAAGGAAGCAACCTCGATTGAAATGTAGCCATGGCCATGGCCTTTGGCTCAGCGAGTCTGCAGTCATCAATCTCCAACAAGGGCACCCATGCAATCCTTAACCCGCCTAACATTTTACACCCGTGTGTCGCCGTAACTCCCCCGCAGTGGTTCAAGAAGTCTGAAACCCTGAGCTCAGAAAAACCAGGGAACGTCAGGGCAGCAATGGCTGGAGTTAGAGGTCGATTGTAGAATGAGTTTGTGGGTTCAGGTTCAAGGTAGATTTGCTGTGGTTGAGCCATGTGGAGTTTGCAATGAAGTTTTCTAGGTCTGTGTCTTCAGTTGGAGGAGTTTCTCGATAAACATGGCCGCCCGAGCTCCGAAGCATCATCCCAAGTATCTGCAAACCCCGCAAAGAGTGATGCAAGCGTTGATTGAAGGAATCATTACTCCAACCTGCAAACCCTAGCCCCCAAAACCCTAAACCCTAATGTGAATGCCTCAGGCGACCCCAGCAAGGCGTAAGCCATGTGTGTTTTTCCAGTTCTCCCAAGTCCGAATCATGAACCCCGCAGTGCTGTGGCAGAAAAACCCGAACCCCCAAACCCGAAGCCCTAAACCTAAACCCGAAGCCCTAACCCTAAACCCTAAACCCTAAACCCTAAACCCTAAACCCTAAGCCCCTGTTTAGGGAACCCTCAACCATTTCGGATGACACTTTACAGCCCTTGCCATGCTCCTCCCAAAGATTCCCCAAGGTCTCCTGGTCTTCACCCTCCAGGGCCGTGTCAGCGCCACGCGCCTCGCTCTTTCCTTGGTGCCCTTGTGGTCTTTGACGGATTAAGGCAGTCGTAGAGTCGTAGGGGGGCCGTTTTTTTGGGGTTTGGTAGGAATCCTGGCTCTTGAGGGCGGATGGCTCAGTTAGTTAAGAGGACTCAGGTTAGTAGGTCATTCTGAGCTGCACTCAGGACAACACAGATAGCAAGCTTGTGCTACAAGCTGGCGACCACTGCACTGTCGCTGGTGCTTTTTCCCGAGGCCTTACCCTTGCGGCATCTGCTGAAATTCGAAGTCTAAAGCTGGTCGCATGGCAGTGCGCTGCATAGTAGCGTGATAATGAACCGGCGGGCGGTGATCCCCCAAACTTTGCTGCTACACTGCCCCAAAGGCGCAGAGAGATCTGGGTCTGTTGGCCTTCATCGGCTACGGCCTCTCCACAGTCAGCGTGGCGCTGTACGCGCAGTTTGGCAAAACAAATGCTTGAATTTGATCTAGGAGTGGGCAGACTCAGAGACAGAGAGACAGACAGAGACAGAAAGACAGAGAGAATTGTGATTGCAAGGCAATCACAATTCCGTAGTCAGACGTTCATGTCCACCCAGTTGCCAGTGCAGTTTGCGGCCTTGGTTGAGGTTTGATTATCGCTTGGTCGAGACGCAGGGGGGTTACTAGCACATGTCAGCAAAACCTTGTCATCAGCCTGCTTTCAGGGCTTTCTGAAAGAGGGGTGGTCACAGACCTTGAGACTTGGGCGCGTGCGGGGAATTTCCGTAGCTCTCAGGCCCTGAAGAAGAAGAGCAAAAGAAAAGAAAGAAAATTAGGTCAGGAGAGCAGAGGAGAAACCCGGACCCACGATCTCCCTCGAATAAAGCAAGTTTATACCCTTTGAATTGTTATCTTTGGAACTGCAGCCGCACGATGCGTCTCGGAAGCTGAGGTTTTGGCCGAAAGCGGGCGACACTGTGGCGAAGAAAGCGGCGAAACCGTAGTGGAACAAACCTGCAGATACTCACGTGTTCACATGTTCCAATCAGGGGTGTTGAGCAATTGTTGCAAGATGCAGGGTGGGTTTGTTGGGAGTGCCGCGGTGGCCAGACTTGCTGTGCTGTCGCGTTCCCGTGGTCGATCATAGCAAGTTGTCCAAGCCCTTGATTTTGGAAGCCTTCGCGAACCCAAGACGGGACCACACCCCCAAGGCCCTTTGCATCCCAGGCTGTTCGTTTTGGGTCTATACTTACGGACATGCCAATTCACTTTCGGGTCCTGACAGCAAAAGCAAAAGGCCGTGGATCAATACCCTACAGTCCTACAGCCTTTCACTGCCTTCACTGTAACCTCGCCACGGGCTTTAACTGAGTGATCATCAAGTGCTTGGATGTCTGAAAAGAGCCGGGTGAACTCCGAAGTGTGCAGCAAATCGCGCACTTGAGCGAAGCTGTGGAAAAGGTCATGGGCCCTCCAGTCATGTAGATCTTTAGGTGGGGAGGGGGTGTAGGTGGTGATAAACTTCGAGAGTTTCCGAACTTTGTCAATTCTGGGTGCCCTGAAGTTGAGAACAGAGGTTTTGGTGTGATTGGTTTTCGGCCCGGGCCTTGGGGTTTGTAGTTTCGGCAGCTATGAGCCCGGAGGGTGACGCCTCTCAGCGCACGGAAAGACTGACAGAGACAGAGACACAACACAGAGGCACACAGAGGCACGTAGAGGGCACAGACACATGCGCACCGCAAAGACACAGAGGCACTTACAGACACACAGAGACATACGCACACACATTGGGTGGTTGTCAAAAAGATGATCCCCTTTTGGGGTGCCCTATATATGAGGTGTCGTATTCAAATAGGGATCCAGAAAGGGACCATGATTTTGACAACCACCCACATGCACACCTTGTCCCTGCGAAATGAGTCAGGATATCTGATCCGTCGGTCACAATCAGAACTGAATCGGCGAAGGCCAGTCAACGTCAATCGACAGTCCAGACAAAGTGCAGAGACAGTATAGCTGGCAACGCATGGTCTAGGTTGCCAATTCTTCCTCAGGGCCCGCTCAGCCGCAGGTGGTTCAATAGTGAAAGTTGAATCGAGAACGTTGATCGATGCCAGTAGACAGGCAAGGCAAGTAAGAATAATCTGGTCACAATACGAAAGCCAAAAGTGTGTATGCCGGCCGGGCCCACATAGCACTTCAACCCTTCATTGAGGCCACAGGGCTACCCGCCGTCACTGGCAGCCCTGAGCCGGGTTCCCGGCTGATGCAGAAGTTGTGCAACCAGCAACAGTTCTTGGGTTGCAGGGGTAAAGGGTGAGGGCCAGCGTTTATAGTAGCGGCAGCCGTTCGCATCCACCACTCAGAACCAATCTCATCGATAGAACCTGCACATGTGTAAGTGCAAGATCTATTTATACATATATATATATATACACATATACACATATACACATATACACATATACACATATACATATACATATACATATACATATACATATACATATACGTAGACATATACATATACATATACATATACATATAGTATGTACCTACATATGTACACGTGTGTCTTTGCATCATGAGCCGCCGGCTGCCGTAGAGATCCCAAAGCACGAGCATGACGGACCCCTCCCCATCCCTGACTGGGAACACTTTGGACAAGAGGCCAGGTGACACCCTTCATTTCTTTGGGATCCGTCACCCGCTGTCGGGTCCCCAACCAGCGCCGAGGGGACGAGCCGACGGCCTCCCAAGAGTTTCGGATGTCGACCCCGTGGGGGGAACCGAGTTCCGCAGCACTGGTCCGAGCCCACCTACGGAGCAGAAACCCTGCGATCAGTGATTCGATGCCGACGCGAGGGAGTTTGTAGGACAGCCTGGGAATCTCCCGCAACGAGCGAAGTTCCACTTCGTCGATAGGAAAGAAAACCGTTGCTTCAGGGCACCAGCAGGGCTCTGTGTGTGCGTCCTGTCCTGCGTAGTCCATGGACACGAGGGCCACTCTCGCAAATCGGTTGTTCAGGACCCGATTTTGCCACTACGGAGAGGGGCAGGCATGTGTGTTCACCTGGCCTTGCCCACCAAAAGTTTGGCTCGTTCTGAGGCCTCCGACACCCTCAAGAGCTCCCTTATTTCGGGCAGGTTCCAAGCTCATTTATCAGAACGCCTAAGTGTACACTTGCATCGGCATCAACAAGATTGGCGCCACAGCCTTCAACAAACCTCCAATTCCTTGACTAAGGGGTATTGGGCTCTTTGGGCACTCACCCACTCAGCCGAAAGCATGCCCTGTTTAACCATAGCCTGAGCAGTGTACAACAAAGCAATTATGACCGAAGAAATGCAGCCATGCCATTCACTCCGAACTCGCCCTTCGCCTTTGGTGAAAAATGTGGAAAATCGTCTGACGCCAACACGAGTTGGCATGCTTATGCAAGCGATTGAAAGCGCTCATTGCTCACAACACGGACAAGGCGGGTTGCATGACTTACTGTTCCAGTCGTGGCAGCCAAAGAAGAGTACATAGAGCAGCAATACTATACTCCCCTTTGAACCTTAATATACATTATATTTTAATATCCTCTTGGGTTTTATATAAACAAAAAACATTCCCACCTCAACGCCCAAAGAAGCACCCACAACAGTTTCATATCCCATCCATCCTCTCCCATATCATCAACATCTACTTCCTCTGCTAACTTTTCGCCTCCTTCTACTTTCAGTACTGCAGCACCTACAATGCGTTCTCACAACAAGCATGTCTGAGCTGGAAAGATGGTGCTGCTTTTGACTTCCTGCAGTTGAGGTGAAGCCACGGGTGGGCGTCAATTTGCCGCGTTTTACCAGCCAGAAAGTCTGGCTCCGAGCATTCGCAACGGCCCCCTGCGTTAGGATTGGTTGCATTGTGGGACTGACCTAAAGATGTGTGATGAGTGTTGGTATTTCAAAGGGGGCACTCCATGTGGCGAGCTACATAAGGCCCTCCGCGCTTTCATGGCCTTTGTCATGCTACAGCCGCACTGCCGCAGATTCGGGCTCTGCAGAATTTTTTGGACCACCCCTGCCGCCCCCTTGCGTGCGCTGATCCGGACATGGCCCGCCTTCTCTCCGTGCCTCGTGCATTCTTAAGAGCCGGTTCTTCGAAGCCATGCAAGCGAGGTGACAGCACAACTCTTTATTGCTCTGTGTTGGGAAAGACCACAACAGGAGGTGGTTTGTCAATGTTTGACGAGTTTAAAGACGTTCCGAAGACACTGCAGGTGTGCCTCTTGGCCGTGGCTTTCGGCTGCTGGGCTGGGATCCCCGTACGACTGGATGGACCCATTTGCTGGTTGTGCGAGTTCAGGAAAGTCGCGCAATAAGCTCACAGCCAGGTGCAAATGGTTGGGATTATCTGTGTTGTATGTTTGTCTCGTTCTTCATGCAAAAGGCTCACAGATGTCTGCTTAGAAGGCAATACGTGCAAAAGCAAACCAGGCGTATACATGGCAGGTGTTCGCGAGACTCTCGACTTGCGACTGCGTAGACGTTCTGTAGAAGTTGGGAGGGTCCGTGAGCCGAGGGGGGGAAGGGGAGAGCAGAGCACCCCAGAGCACCCCAGAGCACCCCAGAGCACCGCCGAGCTCTGAGTTTGGGATTGGCGAGGCTGGCGGCTCTGGAGTTGTTTTTGGCAGGTTCTTGAGTGGGAACGCCCAAGTCATGCAGCAATTCGTTAGGGAGCGAGCAGGACAAAGCGCACATGCAGATGGCATCCAAACTCGACCAACATCTGGAAAGCGATATGGGAGTCGGGAAAGACTAGAGAGAACATGTTGCAAGACTCCAAAAGCTCCCCAAAAACAACGTAGCAACTCTTTGTACATCCATGTACCATCCTACATCCTAAGGTCCTACCCTCCCAACAAACCCACAAAAAACCGCAAGGACCACAACTTCCTCCAACCTCGTCAGGCCAAGCTATAAAATCATCGAAGCTCGAGAGAACCCTAAACCCTAAACCCTAAACCCTAAAGCCTAAACCCTAAACCCCAAACCCCAAACCCTAAACCCCGAAACCCGAAAAGGCCTCTCTCGAAGCCCAGGCTGCCTCTTCGCCCCGGCTTTCATCCCAGCCGCCCCGCGCAGCGACCGCCTTTCTGCAGCGGCAGGCGCTGCCGTCCTGGCGATGCTTGGACCAGAGGTTAAAGCGAGGTGAAGGGGTTCTCTTGTTCTTTTTTTCCAGAGGATTGATGGTTGGTTGTTGTTTTTGGAGTTTTTGGGGTTGGCACTTCTAGGCATTTCACGCTCAGCGCGAGGCGCTCTGAATGTTCGGACTTGTTGGTTGACTTCCAGCTTGCAGGGTCAGGGCGAAAGTGGGCCTATCTTTTTTGAGTGGCTTGCCCCTGGGCATCCTCGTGGACATTCTGTTGGGAGCTGTTCTTGACCTGGTAGCTGGGAAGTCTCTTAGCTACCCTCCAAGCGCTGATGAATTCGGAGCTTTGTGTGGAGACTCACTTAACTATTGTTGACTGGCCTTCGAGAAATTTGTGCTCTCCGCGTGGCAGCCGGACTCAAAAAGACCGGAAGCCCGCTAACTTTCAAGCAGATCAACCGGCTCCGATCTCAAAACGTTGAAGCCTGTTCAGGACTGTGCCGGCTGGAGCTGAGGCCTTCGTTTACAAGGGCTGCTCGTGCTGAAGCTGCGGGGTGGAAACGTTTGAAGGCTGAAGCATTTGAGGGCTTTGGGGGCTTTCAAGGTTTCCAGAGACCATTGAGATTTTCGAGCTTAAGAAACGGTTGCAGGTCACATTGCAAGGGCTTTACCAGGGTGACGTTCTTCGGGCTCAAGATGGGTTGTTTCTTTTCGCTAGCTCTTTGGCCGGGGCTGGCAGCAGACAGATGTTTTACTTAGGTTCAATAGATGTGTCTGTGGCCCTCCGTAGTTCAAATCAACTTCTGAGAATTCCCAGAACACAAATCTCAAGAAGCCCTGCAGCCCCCGATGTGCCCGCGATGTGCCCGTGATATGCCCCCAAGGCAAGGAGTACTTCGACGTCTTCTACGGCATCGACCCCTTGGCCTGGGCCTTTTGCGGCTTCAGCATCGTGTACTTCGGCGCGGTCTTGAAGAACGCAGCCCAGAAGTACAACATCTCCCCGGACAAGACGCCACCAAAGGTCGGTGGCTTCGTGGGCAAGGAGGTCGAGAACGGGGAGCCCAGCTACATGGACCCATCCATCAAGCAGGGCCCCTACTAGGAGGTCCGCGCAACTGTACTTCTACGAAAGCTTTTGCGCAAACAGGACAAGCGGGTTCCGGGGCCAACCGGGTCAGCTTTCGAGGGTCCACAAGGACTCCCTTGGCAGCGCAAGAGCAGGTCCGGAAAAGGCGCGCATCGGGTTTTGGAAGCTGTTCAGTTTGAGGGCTTCGGGATGCTTAGGGTCTGGGTTTGGTTTTCTGTGCAGTTTCTTACGTGCAGAGCGCGCCTTGTGCGACTTGCAAATCTGCAGTTCAAGGCTTCAGGCCAGGTCCTTCGCGTTTTATGATGGCTTGGCATCGTCAAGGCACTGGGGGGAAGGGGCTGAGTCTTGCAGCTAGAGAGAGCCTATGGAGGGTGGGCATCCATTCGCGTGGAAGTTTCAGCTTGAACTGACAAGTGAGCCAGATGCAGCCTCTCATCCGAAGCCCCGAACCATGGTCAAGCCTGAAACTCCTCAGAGCTCTGAATCTTAAGAAGCCCTCTGAAAAGCCTGTGATCTCCGCACACAACGCAAGCTGACGGGAGCTCTGGGCCTCGTGCACACGAGAAGGCCGGGCTGCCTCGATGCGCTTGGGGGAATTCTGGCGGGGGGGGGGGGGGTTTAGGGTTTAGGGTCTAGGGTTTAGGACTTAGGGTTTAGGGTGAGCTTGCAGGATCTTGCAGGGTGATGGCAAGGGCCATGGGCAAACGCAAGAAGGTTTCAGTGCAAAAGGGTTTGAGAGTTGCGGGCTGGCTGGGCCGGCAGCATAGGCAGCATTGCCGTGTCCTGTGCTGCGCTAGGCAAGCCATGGCATGACAACCTTCTCGGAGACGATGGCGGCCTGCCGAAAGGAGGCGTGGGAATGTTTTTTTGTTTAGATAAGACCCAAGAGGATATTAAAATATTATTTTTATTACGGTTCAAAGGGGAGTACGGTATAGTATTGCTGCTCTATGTACTCCTCTTTGGCTGCCACGACTGGAACAGTAAGCAATGCAAACTGGCTTGTGAAGCTTTCAATCGCTTGCGAAAGCATGCCAACTCGTGTTGGCGTCAAACCATTTTCCACATTTTCACCAAAGGCAAAGGCCTAGGCGAGTTCTGAGTTAAGGGCATGGCTGCATTTCTTTGGTCATATTTCCGTCGTGTGCCCCAAGGTTTCCGTTCCCGAAGTCAAAGGCATCAAAGCGCCCATGTGATCTTCATTGCTTTTTTTGGTGCACTGCTCAGGCCATGGTTAAGCAGGGCATGCTTTCGGCTGAGTGGGTGAGTGTATGTGTGCTTGTACAAAGCCCATGTCAGCTGCTGCCAGGGCGGAGCGCGCACCCGGCAGCCGGGGCGCATCCTGCGGAGGACCCCCATGATGCAAGAAGGGGACCAGGGACGACACATGGGCAGTGGGGCTGCAAAGATACTCTTCGAAGGTGGTCGGTCTGTCTGTCTCTCTCTCTCTCTTTCTTCCTTTCTTTCTTTCGTTCTTTGTTTCGTGGACTTGTAGTTCGCCCTTGCATCGGGGTATATCGGGGTCTTGAATTTCAACGCTACGCGACCCGCCTCGGCCCGGCCCAGCGCATCCGCGTGAGCACGGTGGCGCCCAAGTCGCTAGATTCCGGGTTTATGGTTTAGTGTTGAGGGTTAGTTTAGGGTTGAGGGCTTAGGGCTCAAGGTTTACGGTTTGGGGTTTAGGGTTTCTGGGTTTAGAGTGCAAGGCCCAAGGTTCAAGGTTCAGGGTTTAGACGTCTCGGCTTGGACAGGATTCGTAACATAATGCTCACACCAGCCGAGCCGCCGTGGCCCCCTCAAGCAAAAGGGGGGGGGAGGGGGGCAAACGGGGGGGAGGGAGGATTTGGAGGGGGTGCCTGTTCTCACATTCGGCCCGAGGCCTTGGCGGATTTAGCGAAATTGGGATGAAGCATATGGGCCCAGCCTTGGAGTGCCGTGTGCAGAGGGGAATCTAGCACGACATGCTTGTTGATCATCAATGCATTCCAGTGGCAAAAAGCCAAACTTGGATATTTATTACTGAGTCTACCGCAAGCTCCATCACCTGTGCTTCGAATCGAGCTTGGCCTGCTCAGGCTGGATGCGGCGCAGTACCGGCAGCACCTGCAACCATCAGAAGGCGGGAAGCCTCACATATCGGTCGTTTATTCATGTAAGAGGTCAGGCTTGAAAAGGGGCGCCCGGTGTCTAACCTTGCCCTGACATTCTACACCTACGTTGTCCCCCCTAGGTATTCTAAACTGGTCAGCAAAACTGTGTGTGCTGCCATGCACGGGGGATGCCCAAGCTGCTGAACCATGGAGGCAGTTGATGGAGTTCGCTCACTTCTCTTTTCATCCATGGCTGGGTGAAGAGGCTTTAGTCAGACAAACTGCACTAAGAAAGCAAACAAACAATTCCTGGCAATCCACTTTGTGCATTACATCTTTTCGCCTATTAGAGTACACTACATACATGCTTCAAGGTGTTCAAGTGCACCAGGAAGTACAGGAACAACTAGTACCACAGATCATCCATACAAGACGCCTCAACATTCTGAACCTGAAGCCACGCACCCTTTGCTCGATTGGCTTTGGGCACACCAGAGGTGGCGTTGGCGGTGGCAACCTGCAAACGGGCTCCTGGACGTTTTTTTGGGGCTTGGGCATAAGGCTGGCTCAGAGCTTGGGGTTTGGGTTCGGGGGGATTGGCGCTTTAAGGGAAGTGGCATGTGTGCCGGCAGCCTCAAAGTCCGTTGCTGAACAGGGTTCGGCTCGTCCTGAGAGTGCTCATCCCTGCGTGAACCCACCAAGCCCGCTGCAAAAGGGCGTGGGCTGTAGGCCGAAACACCGAGAGAGTTGAAAGACCCAGGACGGCCAATGGCAAGCTGCGCTGCGTTTGCTGGAGGACCGCGCAGGCTGCGGTTTTTGAGGCTGCCCGATCAAAATGGTCACAAGTAGGGCTCAGTTCCAGAGCTCGAGGGCTTACACTCTGTGAACTGCAACAGGTTCAGATTTGAGGTTCTGAAGCATAATCTAAGGTCCGGGGCACAGACGACTTTCGCATCAAACACCACAGTTTCATTTGTGTGTTTTTGCATGCCTCCCAGGTTCAGGATCTTGGGACCCACTTCCGAACCCCAAGCACACCCGATAAACTCGAATGCTATACGTCGATCCCTCAACCAGATGCCGGCGCGACGGCTTTGCAAGACCTGCACACCCGAGCGGCTCTTTCCCGGCGCCGCTTTTCACTCGAGCCCCATCGCATGAAACCACAAGGAAGCGCTGCTGAGACCTTGCACTTTACGCGCTGCGCAATTTGCCCTAATTTCTTGAGCCCCAAATCCCTAAACCCTAAACTCTCAAACCCCAAAACCCGACATCCCGAAACATCCTGCCAAGATCTCTGCACGCTTCCGGAGGACGCGCGGCCCTGGCCGAGCACCCGCATCTCCGGAGTGAACGATGCGCTCAGCGCCTGTGAGAGGCATCTTGCAACGCTTCCGCCCTTTAGGGTCTATAGGGTTTAGGGTTTAGGGTTGAGGGTTTAGGGGTTACAGTTTCGCCTCTAAAAAGGGGTGTCGGAATAACAACAAACAGTATCCCTGGGGGGGGGGGGGGGGGGGGGGGGGGGGCGGGGGGGCGACTTGGGGATCGGCCAGAGGGATTCTTCTTCTTCTTCTGGGAGGTATTTTATATGATTATGATGTTTTTTTTGGGCTTTACCTGTTGAGAGGCTGAAGTTCGAGGCTTAATTGTTGAGAAGTTGAAGCTTTAGGCTCTGCACAGGTTTGAGGCCTTAGGGCACATGTGGCGCTTGGATTGACTCGCTTGGCTTCCTTTGTCAAAGCTTGATGGATTCGGCACAGCTCTTTGGCCTGCACTCACCCAGCGTGCTGCCAGCGATGCAAATGTCTGAAGCGCCGTTTGTGCACGCGAGCTGCATCCTCCCCAAAACCCAGTCGCGACTGGCTTCATAGGAGCTGCTTTAAGGGTTAAAGCCTTCAAAGGCTTGGACCCTGGTGCTTGAACCGTCTCAAGCAGTGACACAGTTTGCTTGGGAGGGGAGGGGCTGTCCCCTCCAATCCCCTTTGTTTCTTCTCTCCAGGCTGTTCGTTCCGTCTGCAAATGGGCCGGGCTATCTCCCCTTTCTTTAACAAGTCGGGAACTTGAGAATATGCGAACTGTGCCGTGGACTCACCATGGGTTCCTTGGCACGCCTGTCAGGTCTATTCGAAAAGCGTGCGATACAGCATTCCAACTTTTTTTGTCAAACTCTGCTCCGCGCCCCCGAATTTCTTGAGTTGCATGAAGACCTTTGAACCCTGAAGGTCTACGGCCTGGGCCAATGCCCTGCAGACTGTCAGCGCCATCGGGCAGGATGCGACCCGTCCCAGCGGCTCTGAGGGATTTTGGGGACTAGAACCTTTTGGTGAAAAGCGCGGGGGTTGAGCTGCTCAGCAGGCTCGGCCACAGGTCGAAGCACAGCTTGCTGCCGAGGCGTGGTGACGTGGACCTGCTGCATATCTGCTTGCGGCAAGAAGCTGCATTGGCCTCGTGCGCTCCAAGTACTCCGCCTTCTTCACGCGCATGCCGTGGAAACCAGCGCGCAGCTCTCAGAGCATGAGGCCCAAAAAGTGGCCATGGCGGGTGAAACGAAGTGTGCACCATAAGGTCATCGCACACAACGTGGCCGCAACTGCCTTCGAGAGGGGGCGGCAATGGCAGCTGGCTCTCTTGATGCTGCTTACAAGCACTTGGCCAGCACGAAACGAGATGCAAAACGAACGCACCCAAACCACAAAAGATGAAAATCAAGTTCAATGTCTCAGACACTGGAACTCGCGCGGTCCAGCTCTAAAGTTCCCCAAGCTTTGAAGCTACGACCGCAAATTCTTCACACTGGATGAGGACATCGGCCGTGTCACAGCTGGCGATTCTGCCAGACTCCGTCACCTGCAATGCAGCCATCAGTGCCTGTGACACCCTGGGCCTTTGGGGCCGTGCACTCGCCCTGCTGGCTGATGCAAGCTCTTTGCTTAGTTTTAGACTGGCGGACTTCGCCGTCTAAGCTCCCAAAAGCCCGAGCACCGAAATTCGCCACACAAGCCTTGAAGGTTTCGTCAAAGTCGCTGAGGTGTGTGGATCTTGCAGAAACTGTCATGTCACCTTCGGCTCAGCCAGAAAGTGTCAACAAGGATGTTCAGAGCCCTGTTCAGAACGACTCAGTCCTGAGTATAAAGCAAACTGAGAGGCCGCACGGCAGCCCGGCCGACTGACGTTTCCTACAACGCGGCAGAAGTTGTTTGTGGTGCCGCCGGCCAGTGGCGGCCCTCACTTCAGATGCTGCAGGAACTGTAACTCGGCTTCGCCTTGCCCCCAAAATGAAGGGGGGGCCCTCCAACCCTTATTATAAGGCTAAGTATAAACCCTCCTTAAGAGTCCTAAATTAGGACCCGGAGGCCGCTCAGATGTGCTCCTTCAGGGCGCCCGTTGTTGTTTTAAGTTGGCGTTCATGAGCTGACTGTTAAAACTGTGTTTAGAGCTCAGGGAATAACACATTGAAAGGACTGAGGGCGAGAAGTGAGCCAGGATCAGGTGATGCGTTCTTTCAAGGACAAGCCCCAGACCGCCAAGACTTTGTCCTTGCGGCTAGCTAGGCCCAAGGTATAAACCCTGTATCGCAGACTCTCGCAGATCTGCGAACCCCGACATCAACAGCCGCAACAGCTGAGTTTGCAGGAGTGATGTCAATGACTTCGGGTTTTGCTAGTGACATTGGACTCTGTCAGGTTGTGCTTGGCTCTTCGCCTAACCCCGGTATCCTTCAACACGGCGATGACTGCGTGCTCCCGTACTTTGCGCTGGCAGAAGGCGCTGTCTGTGCTTGGGGAGCTCACGCCGACTCGCGCGCTGAAACATAAGGGGTACATTGCACCCTTGTAAGGCTCCAGTTGAATCATTGGGAGTCCGAGGGTTCGAAGAAAAGGCCGTCTTCCTCACAGGGCAACATTGGCAGCTGTAATCCTTATGCGCAGCGGTTTGCTCTTGTAGCAAAGGAAGTTGCCAGGGTGCGAGGGTGCGCTTTTTGACCACTTTTCTTGCCCTGTTGGAGAGTTCATAACATGTTGAGTGGCTTTCTGGCTAAGTCTGGCTCAGTTGGCTCCGAGGTTGGCTTTCCAGGCAAGGCCGCACGTGCATGAAAGACAAGAAAAGCCTAGGGGCGAGATTTGCTCCCGTCACAGCGCTGCGGTGACGCGCTTTGGAAATCTCTCCGTCCTAAACCCTCAACTTCCCTCTCCATCCTCTCCATCCTCGTATTCTTCCTGAGGAAACGCCTGGCGATGACGGCCGTCTCCCTGACGGCTGCCATCACTGCCTGCGCCGGCGCCGGGCGCTGGGCTCAGGCTTCGCCTCGGTTTTAGGAATCCGGGGGCTTCGGCAACTAATGGTACAGGAATGTACGGGTCGGCTACAAGGAGGGTATTAAGAACATTCAGACTTGCAGCCGGAAGTGTGGCTTGCAGGCAGGACTCCCTGCAGAATGCAACTGAGTGACCCCACGAAGCATCGGTTGCTGCAACCTGTCTGGTAGTGTTATGCAGGCTGCTCAGCTGATGGTCCAAGCGCGCTCCAGAGAGCTGGAGCCCACCCTGCCACTTGGAAAGTGCTGAAAGCGCCGTTTTTTTTTTTGTAGGGCCTGAGGCTTCGCGGCGCCCGAATGGCGAAAAAAAAGCGCATGAAAGCAAAGAGCCGAGGCTGAATTTCAACGCGCTCTTGTCGGCTTTTGCCCATGGCTCCGAGTGGCAAAGGGCTCTCGACCTGCTCCTCGGCGGAGGGGGCAGGGAGCGGGATGTGAGTGGGAGATGAGTGGGACATGAGGGATGATGAGTGGGAGCGTTTGTGGTGGACGTTTAAGAGCTTGTTGAGGTATTTGGGGGCTGTGCTAAGTCGTGGTCTGAGGCTCGGAGACATGGTGGCTGAAAAGCTCGAGGTCGACTCGATCTCCTTCAACACGGTGTTGGATGCGTGTGGCTCGGGCGGGATGTGGCAGCTTGCTTGGCGGCTCCTGGGCTCCATGCAGAGGCGTGTCCCGCGCGTCCCACCCACTGTCATCAGCTTCAACGCGGCGATCTCTGCATGCTCGACAGGAGGTCTTTGGCCTCAAGGACTGTATCTGCTGAGGGACATGACCAGCAGAGGCTTGCTCCCTGATGCTGTCACCAGCATGACGAGCATGACCAGCCTGGCTCTGGACGCTTCGGGCACGATGGGCTGGCCGCGCGTGCTTGCCCTCCTGGCTGCCCGCAGGGAGCTTCAGCTGGATTTGATCGCCTTGCAAGCTGTGACGGCTGTGCTCAGCTCTGCTGAGCAGTGGCAATCCGCCCTCATCCTCCTCGAAGCGTCAGAAGCGTCAGGGCACGGGGAAGGCAACGGGGCCGCCTTGGCGGTTCGATGCAGCTCGTGGCCTCGTGCCTTGGCCCTGGCTGCCTGCATGTCAGCGCGGCGGCTGCAGATGGATCCACTTGGCACGGGCATCGTCGCCAGCTCGATGGAGAAAGGCTGGCAGTGGCAGCCAGCCCTGCAACTTCTCAAGAACACCGACTTGCAGAGCCTCCAGCGCAGCAGCTTTGTCCTCAGCCCTGTGGCCAGCGCCTGCGAGAAGTCGGCCTGTTGGCAGGAGGCCCTAGGCTTGGTGGCGGCCAGGCACCGCTACCTCCCCGTTCAGAGCACGAGAAGCACGGCCAAGGCTCGCAACAAAACCTTCAAAGCCTCCAAGGCAGACCCTCAGTCACCCGAGGCGGGAAAGCGGGAAACGGGCCTGAGACTTTGGGCTTGAGGGCATGTCATGCCAAACGACGCCCTGAGCATCACTGAACCTTCCTCCTGAGGCATCCTATAAGGCCCAGGTTAAGCTTTCATCCCCCGTAACATGGAACCACGCCAGAACCGTACTCATCCTGCAAACTCCAGGTGTACCTCTTCAACGCAGCCATCAGCGCTTGCGAGAAGTCCGAGGCAAAGCCGAAAGACAGAAATCGAATGAACCATCTGGAGGGCCTTTGTAGGGTCTCGCAGGTCTTGCTCGCTAGTGTTCAGGGCTTGGGCACAGTATGCACGCCCGCAAACGTGCGCTTTCTTCTAGGTCAGAAGTCAAAGCTGAACAATATTCGGTTGGGCCTTGTAGGATGCCGTGGAGTTGCATCTTGGATGTACCAAATGGCCTCAGAGGCCTATCTTCCTCACGTACGCAAAGACGTGCTGCCGCTGGGTGCGCCTAGAATGTAACACCTCCCTGAACTCTGGGAGCAGCAGGTGGAGTGGGCGATGGCGCTTCAGGTTCTTTCAGTGGTGCCCTGTGCCCATGCTTCCTGGCAAAAATTAAGCACATGGCGGGGCTTGTGTGGTGGATTGCGGCTTGCAGGACTCGAGAGTTTGTGTGGCGTCACCGGTCCAGAGTTCATGTTTAGCGCTCAATTTGGCAAAAGGGGTGCAGACAATAGAAACTAACCGAAACATGCTCATAATGAGCAGGTTTTTAGGGGGTGAACCGAGAATTTCGGAGAGCGAAAGGGCTTCGAGGCGGCGTTTTGGGCTCTACGGGCCAGTCGGCCCGCATTCTTCGGATCTTCGGGCTCTGCACTTCCTCGTCACGTCCTTTGATTTGGGATTAGTCGTTTTGGGGAGGAGGGAGGGGAGGTGAGTGAGGGGGATGTAGGGTGTTTGTGTTTTTCTTCCATGCCCTCCTAGCAACATCAAGCAAGCACCGTCTTGAAGGGTTTGAGGCTTCCTGGATGCGTTTGGGACTTTCGGGCGGCTGAGATGTGGGGCTCGGAGTTGGGGGAGTTCGCCCCTGAGACCCGAAAGCCTCTTTCGCAGGTCCAGCCCGATGTGGTGACCTTCAGCGCAGCCTTGAGTGCTTGCGTGCCTGGGCTGCTTCACACCAACTCTATGCTCTTCTACGCTTTTGACTCCGGGGTTGAGTGTGATCAGCGTGATTTCTGGGCGTTGGACTTGAGGCAAAGGCGGCCCAGCTGAGAACAAGCCTAACCCCCAACAGCATCCCAAAATCCCACAAGAGTGGGTCAACAAAAAGAAAAGAATTGAAGGAGAAGCCCGGCGAGTGGAGGCACGCGCTACAGCTTTTGGCCACGGCCGAGGGTAGGAAGGCGCCGGGCATGGAAACCGCTTGAACACAATTATACCTTGACTCCATGATTCCTCCTCATGCCTTTTACGGCAAAATCATATATAGGTGTCAATGTTGTCAAGTCAAGCAATTTGTGGTGAGAGGTCGCGACGAACCTGATTTCCGTGAATGCGGCAGTCAGTGCCTGTCACAAAGGAGAGGCCGCAGCACCTATCTCTTCAGATTGAAGGAAAACCTTCGGTCCTGGTGCTCGTTTACGACTGCTACAAGCACACCAAGCTGGCGCCATCTATGCCCTGGTCATTTCCGACCGAAGAGTGCTAGTCGACGATGTGCAGCTGCAGGCCAAGACCCTCCGCTGCTGATGTTGTTGCTGATCAGCGCAACGAGCTCACCGTGTTTCTTGGATCACGTGATGACTGGGCTTTGAGGGCTCTTGTATTCGTCCACGACTGGGATGGCTTTCTTTCACGGGATCTTCCGCTGCCAAGGCCATCGAGAAGCAGTTTCAACCCATGGCGGAACACTGAGCCGTGAGCCAGCAAAGCCTCCGTCAGTCGAATGTAGTGATACGTAGGGCCTCTAGCTTTCTGCACAAAGCGGCAGCCAGATGAGCCTGGTTGGGCAGACCTGTCTGCTGAGGGGGTTCATTCTTCAGATGTATCTCGCCATCCGCTTTCCTACATAGCTGAAGGTGCACGATTTGTACCACACCGTTACCGCACCTGTACAGCGGTACAGGAAACAGAGGTGCATATTTTCATCTGCGCCACTCGCTTCAATCGCCATCTGTAATCTGGAGTCAAGAGCCTCCATGCTCCAGACGTTGGGATGGCCCCTGACAGTTCATGAGCCCCCGCATGCTGTTCATGTGCCAAAAGCCCATGAGACCCCGGCTCGACGCGAGCCAAGAAATGCCGCGCTCCTGCATCTTTCAAGACGCAAGGCTCAAAACTCTTCAAAAAGAACACCTCAAGGCTTGTTTCAAAGCTAAACCCTAAACCCTAAACCCTAAACCCTAAACCCTAAACCCTAAACCCTAAACCCTAAACCCTAAACCCATAGTCGGGTGCCAAAAAAACCCATAGGGTAGCAGCATGTTCTCTTTTCCGGAGCCTCTCCTGGAGCCTCTGCCGAGGCCGTGGGTCGCCCTCGCGGCCCCTGCAGCCGCGCGTGCCGCGGGTCGGGGAACCGATATGGGGACCGGTTTAGGGTTTAGGGTTTAGGGTTTAGGGTTTAGGGTTTGGGGTTCAGGGTTTAGGGTTCAGGGTTTAGGGTTTAGGGTTTTGGGCTGAGTAGGAGTGAGTTGCCGACCGCGACCAAGCTAGAGGGGTGCTCCTTGTGATTTCTGCTGTGGCCGTAGATGGCTTCAATCTTGAAATAACAGGGCAACTAGGGCAGCTGGAAAGTTTGGGGGCTCAAGAAGGAAAGAGCTGCTGCGGTTTTTGCACTGATGCTGAAAGGTTCTGTGTAAAGTTGAGCACCTGAAGACAACGGATACGACGCATGACATGTCTGACTGCCAAGCCTTCTTGAATGCGCCCAAGCTGGTGCTTTGAGGTTCGCAATGCACACGGCGTCGGGTTAGACAGCGGCTTCATTCGAGTGGGGGCCTCCAGTTCAGCTTCAGCAGGTGCCTGACAAGCGCCAACCTCCCGAAACCCTAAACCCTAAATCCCTAAATCCAAGCAACAGTGAGTGTCGAGTAGTATCACTAGCATGACTGTGGCCAAATGAGCTACAGAGCCGTTGTCGAGACTTTGGAACCTGTATGCCTCGCCTGGCTTGTCCGAGTGTGAGCGATTAAATCCCTAAATCCCTAAATCCCTAAATCCCTAAATCCCTAAACCCTAAACCCTAAACCCTAAACCCTAAACCCTAAACCCTAAACCCTAATCCATCTAAACCCCTAAACCTCTCTTGCAGCTCACTGTGTTCTTAAGGTCGTGGAGCGGTGAGGTGCCCCGAGGGCCCATGTTCCAGTCTCCGACAACCCGAAGCCAACTAGCAAGCAACCCATCCTTTTTTCAATGTTGTACTACTACTATTATTATTCTTCTTATTATTATTCTTCTTATTATTATTCTTGTTGTTAAAATGATGGTTAGTATTATTTTTGTTTCGAAAAGCAGTCTTCTGACTTCCGGGGTTGTGAGCAGGCTCCAGCCAGCTGGAGAGGCATCAAGATCGAGCTCTCAGGCTTGGACCGTCTTGGCTGAAATGCACACGGGCTCTGTGAATTGTCCTTCGCCATGGCACCCTTCAGTTGAGCCAGGTGCTGATTTTTGGGTTTCGGAGATAGTACAGCCCCATTAGAAATTTCTGAGACCCACCTAGTACTTCGACAACAGGTTTCTTGTTGTTGTTTTTTGTTGTTTTTTTTAACCCTTTTGCTTCGGCTTTGAGCAACCAACTGGTCACTGACAGGGTATCATGGACCTGCACCTGGCTGCTTGGCTGGACGTCGACTTCGTAAGCAGTGTAAACGTCTGCCCCTTAGAGGAGGGGGGGTTTTTCTTGTTGCGCGGTGGTGCCGCTTTCGACACTTCACAGTAGACACGCTTCAGCGTCACGTAGCTTCCAAGGTCTGCCTCCCCGAGAACTCCGAGACCTTGCAAGATGCTGTAACAGCTTGCGGGCCCAAAACTGGAGCATCGCATTGCGCTGAGTGCGCCGGTCAGGGTCATGGGTGGTCGAAATCCTCCTGTAATACTTTGTCCACGCTCTTCAGCGTGTGCAACCCCATGAGGGATGTTGCGTTGCTTGTGGTGCTTCCATGCTGTCTTGGCACATGTTTCTCAAGCAGCCGTTTCGATGCTGGGAAGAGTTGGAAGATGTTGCATGCATGGCAGCCTGATTCGACATCTCCGCCAGCGCCAGCTCTCGGCAGGATGTGGGTCGGCACTCCAGACACTGTTGGATGCCAGGGGTCCAGGCCTTTTGCACAAGTCGTCTCACGTAGTTTGGGTCTTGGGCCGTTTGGTGATGTTCGGGGTGCCCCACAGCTGACAGCCACTGACAGCCCATACTCTCTTCGAAGAGGCTTCGCGACAGCGCTGCGCAAGTTGGCACGCTCGCCCAAGGCTGTGGCAGCTTGTGGCCTGCCTGCAGACACAGACTCTCTGAGCTTCGAGGAATCTATGACCCTAAACCCTAAACCCTAAACCCTATTCTGATATGTTCTGGGAATATCTGGGAAGTTTGAGCATCTGGGAAAGGCTTCTCGGCGAAGTCTTCACTGGACAGCTGCGAGGAGGATCGCGTGCTGCGTTCATTGGCTGCGGAGGCTGGCAAGCATGTAATCATACCCTCACATCTATGGCCTTTCTATCCATGGGGCTGCAGGCGAAGCCTGTCCTTTAGAGCAGGAGGACGATAAACTCCTGAGGAAACATTGCTGTCGTCGTTTAGGCATCGAGGAAGATGAAGGTATCAGTCTCATGTGCAACACGACATAACACGACTCACTGGCTATATGGATGTAAAGCAGTCCTGGGGGGTTTATGTAGCTGCTTCACTCCAGGTGGTTTCAAACTTATGCACTTTTCGGCCCGGAACTGGTGCTGGCGGGACTGGCTTTGCCCACGCCCTGCGACTAGACTACACAGGCAGGTGGCCAAGCTGCAAGGAGTCCTGCTGCTGTGAAGCAGAAGTAAGATGCAGTGAAAACATTCTTCAAGCATTTCGTGCACAAGGTTGGGTACGTTCCTTGAAGATGAGATTCTGGCACGATCCTGCGCGCTAAGTCCCCGAGCACTGGCAAACTTGACTGGCTTGCTTTATGGGTCTGGAGCACACGCCAAGAGCCGCGCCGCACTGCAGTTGCGCAGTGTGGCCTTGTCAAAACTGTGCAAGTTCTCGGCAGCGGAACTTGTAGATTTGGCTTCCGGGCTCACAAACGCTGGGCTGATGGACAGAGACCTTTTGCACAGGTTGCGGACAGCATGCGATGCTCTTTTCGAAGGGGACAGGCGCGAGGTGGAGTACAGAGCAGCCATGGAGAAGAACACAAGGAAGCTCTCGGCAGAACTCGGCCGCGAGAAGTCAGCCACCTGGCCGATGGCGCCCGAGATTCTGATGGACTTTGCCAGCACCCTTGTGCTTTCCAAGCCTCCTGGGTGGTCTTGTGCTACACGACGAGGGACGAAGAAAGACCCAGACGGTGAAGGAAGGTCACGCCATGGAGAGCCTCCGCTCATATCTGAGTACCTTCAGAGCCTTGACAAGGAGAGGGCGGTATCACAGGATTCTTCAGTGGACCATGGTTTGACACATAGACTGGACCTTGAGACCAGTGGTGCTCTGCTCACTGCCAAAACATTCCAGAGCTACTGGCGGCTCCGCCTCGACTTCTCCACACAGAGCGTCAAGCGCCGGTACTTGGCTTTGGTTCATGGTGCTCTGCCACTCGGGGAGTGGCAGCATGTCAACTTGCCCTTGCAGCTGACCCGTGTTCCACACGGAGATTCTGGACGGTCCGTTCGCTCCAAGTCAGTGGTCAGCCATGACTTTGGAAGGCGAGGGCGGGCGAAATGAAATGAACATAGCTATCTTGATGACGGCCGCAGCGAATACCGTAGCTAACGCACAACTGCTTCAGCTACAAAAAAGTGAACAACTTGTGACAAGGTCTGCCGAGACCAGAATTCGAGCTCTTGCGCATCTGGATGGGCAAGCAGGCTAGGCGAAGATGTCATGGCTTGACATCATGGGCAGTGAGTGGAGCTGCAGAGTGAGTAAAGTGATTGCGCAAGGCAGAATGTCCCTCCTACTGGCCGAGCCTCGCACGGGGCGCACGCATCAAATCCGCAGTCACGTCGCACACGTTGGCCACCCAATCGCCCCTACATTGCAACTTCAGGAATGAAGAAAGTGTTTCAGACGTCCCAAAAAAGTGAACTAAGCATGAGGTCGGTGACTTGTTATACGCTGGCCGACACGTTTGCGAGCTTCCGCGCCCCCGGGCCTCTTGCCGCAAGAATTAATCGAACCTGGTCTTTTACATATCTGGTCTTTGTGCTATTGCTTGTGCACTTCCGTGCTGCTTCGCTGCTCGCAGGTTTTGCTCCACTGTGCTCTGCTCCGATTTACTGAGCCGATGCTGCGCCGCTCGGCCCTCCCTCGTCCCACATTTGTGTTTGCTTGGCCTCATCTCACGCATTCTCACGCTTTTTTAGGTGCTGCTGCTCCTCGCCATGTCGCTGCTCCTTTGCCGGCGGACCTCGTGCGAGTGCTCCAGTCGTGTGTTCCGGCCGGTGATTCCTCTGCCCTGGTCGTGGATGAGCTACTGAAGGGCAGTTTGCCGACTTGAATCTCTACTCTGCTTGATATTCTTTGGGAGCACGGGCCCAAAAAATCTACGGCCTCAGCCCAGCAAGTACTTGCATGTGACACCATTGCCCCTCCTTGTCTCAAGCTACCGCAGAAGCGATGCAGATACAGTTTCTATACTGTTTCTATGGATAGCGGATTCCAGAAGATTCAGGAAGGGTTGAGAGTTGATACGGGGGACCTCAGAAATTTTGCTTCGAGGTGTAATGCTGCCTTAGCTTTTCGAGGCTCTCAGGTGGCCCTTAGGGCCTGCAACAAGCCACCCCAGCCACGTGGTTAATGAGTTCCTTGAACACGCCTCGCCTCACTATGGTCTTCAGCATTAAGGTGGTTTCTTCTCCTGGGACCGGCTACAGGGGCTACAGACCAGCGAGCACACAACTGCGCGTGCGGTCTGGTACACCTGAAGATGCTGAGTGCTTCCAGAATTGGGTGTTCTTTCACTTACGCACGCGGGACTCTCAGACTTGGGGAGGTGCTTAAGTGTTGTCGGGGGCTTTTTGCCGGTTTGGCGCGGGCAATCTGTGGCCACGGGTCTGCATTGTCCAGATCGCCTCAGCCATTTTGCCCACGCTGGCGTAGCCGGGTTCTGCTGCCTGCCTCTCTTGCCCTCTGGCCTCGATTTGAAGAAAGCCATGGGCCCTATGAAGGCAATGAAGGCTATGAAGGCCATGAAGGCAATGAAGGCCGTGCGCGTGCAGAGATCTAGTGCATCAGTGTGCGCGCGTCATGTCATGCTGGGTCATGCTTGCTTGCTCGTGTCTGGGATTTGGTCCTGGCAGGCGATGAAGAGCATGAAGTCGATGAAGGCAGTCCGCGCAGCGCCGAAGGGCGAGATCGCCGAGCAGGCGGCCGAGAGCGCTGGCTTGAAGAAGAGCGAAGTGATGAAAGTGCTGGACGCTTTGGCTGAGATCGGTGCGAAGGAGTTGAAGAAGGCCGGGAAGTTCACTCTTCCCGGGCTGGTCATGATCAAAACCCGCAAGAAGGCAGCCACCAAGGCCGGCAAGAGGATGATGTTCGGCAAGGAGGTGAAGGTCAAAGCCAAGCCTGCGAAGACCGTCGTCAAGGCCTTCCCGGTCAAGGCCATCAAGGACGAGTTCTGAGGATCCAGCGCCATTTTGAGGTGCAGTTGATGCGCTCCATGCCTCATTCTGCAGTCGCACCGTTGCTTTCCGGAAGGTGAGCCAAGACATTTTGAGACTGCATAGAGGCTGCGCGTCCTGCAGTGCGACCTGCAAAGCATCGGTGGCTTAGTGGTCCAGTAACAAGTTGCTTGAAGGCGAATAAGTTAGTGTCGTCGTTGGTAGATGCATTGCAGTCCTGATGCGTTTCAGTATAAAGAAGGCGGCAAAGGGGATGCGCAAAAATGGCGGGGTTGAGATGATTTGCCAGGCCTGTGCCGCACCCCTCAAGACGCTGTGCTCAGCGAAGCCCAGCGAAGCCCTAGGAAGCGTGAAAGCTCCCGTGTGGTGAGTCCGTGGCCTTAGCCTAGAGATTTACATGCGAAGGGGTTTTCCCCGGGCTTTCGAGGGTTTAGTTGCCAAGCGCCGTCAAAAAGTCTGAACAAGCGAACAGTAGAGGCTTACTGCTCAGGTCTATGCTAGGCCTAGGAATGAAACACAGCATTGAACTTGTATAGTTCCTGAAGCATGCTATGCTTCTGTCTCTGTGTCTCTGTGTCTCTGTGTCTCTGTGTCTCTGTGTCTCTGTGTCTCTGTGTCTCTGTGTCTCTGTGTCTCTGTGTCTCTGTGTCTCTGTGTCTCTGTGTCTCTGTGTCTCTGTGTCTCTGTGTCTCTGTGTCTCCGTGTCTCTGTGTCTGGTGTCTGTGTGTCTTTGTTTGTGGCTTTGGTTGAAATGTGTGACGGATGTGACGGTCTCTGGGAACTGTGAGGTCCCCGAAGTCAGGAACCCTCAGCTGAATACATGAGCCGAGGCTCTAGGCACCCGAAATCGCCGAAAACCCTAAAGTTCGCAAAGCCGCAATCTGATTAACATCCTCTGGGCCCACACGCCTGCTTTGTATGGCAGAACGACCTGTGAGGTTTTTGGTACCTAGAGGCCACTAGGGACCACTAGTGGCCGGGCTAGTTAACAAGATGTGAGGTCGGAGCTTGCTGTGCTTTAGATCTGCCGAACCGACGAAACCTCGAGCCCGCGAACGTCGGTAGACCCAATCGTCCGGAAGACGCCGTCACTGCGCAAAAGCAGTCGTGATTCACTTGCAGATGTTGGCATTGTGCAAGAATCGGCAGGGCTTTTTTGCACTTGGGGGCCACAGATTTGGATCGGGCTTGGGAATGGCTGGTTTCGGGTTGCACTGTCCAGATCGCCTCAGCCATTTTGCCCACGCTGGCGTAGCCGGGTTCTGCTGCCTGCCTCTCTTGCCCTCCGGCCTCGATTTGAAGAAAGCCATGGGCCCTATGAAGGCAATGAAGGCAATGAAGGCCATGAAGGCCATGAAGGCGATGAAGGCAGTGCGCGTGCAGAGATCTAGTACATCAGTGTGCGCGCGTCATGTCATGCTGGGTCATGCTTGCTTGCTTGCTCGTGTTTGGGATTTGGTCCTGGCAGGCGATGAAGAGCATGAAGTCGATGAAGGCAGTCCGCGCAGCGCCGAAGGGCGAGATCGCCGAGCAGGCGGCCGAGAGCGCTGGCTTGAAGAAGAGCGAAGTGATGAAAGTGCTGGACGCTTTGGCTGAGATCGGTGCGAAGGAGTTGAAGAAGGCCGGGAAGTTCACTCTTCCCGGGCTGGTCATGATCAAAACCCGCAAGAAGGCAGCCACCAAGGCCGGCAAGAGGATGATGTTCGGCAAGGAGGTGAAGGTCAAAGCCAAGCCTGCGAAGACCGTTGTGAAGGCCTTCCCGGTCAAAGCCATCAAGGACGAGTTCTGAGGATCCAGCGCCATTTTGAGGTGCAGTTGATGCGCTCCATGCCTCTCTCTGCAGTCGCACCGTTGCTTTCCGGAAGGTGAGCCAAGACATTTTGAGACTGCATAGAGGGGCTGCGCGTCCTGCAGTGCGACCTGCAAAGCATCGGTGGCTTAGTGGTCCAGTAACTAGTTGCTTGAAGGCGAATAAGTTAGTGTCTTCGTTGGTAGATGCATTGCAGTCCTGATGCGTTTCAGTATAAAGAAGGCGGCAAAGGGGATGTGCAAAATGGCGGGGTTGAGATGATTTGGCCGATGCCGAGCGAAGTAGTGCTAAGCCTGAGGCCCTCCACCTGCCTTGTGAATGCTGCAGAGTTAGTTTGTTCACCGCGACGACTACTACCCCGCCCACTTCCCTGCCCCATACCCCTACTCCTGTTTCCTGCTCCTATTTCTCCTGCTACTACTATCCAGATGCACGGAAAGCGCACAGGTCAGGTCTCAAAATGAAAGCAGCGAATGCCTCGAAATGACAGCCCAAAGCTCCTAGGCACCACGCTCATCCAAAACTTCAAAACTATGGCAAGCGGCCAGGAGGGGCAGCCTACACCACCCTAAATCCACAAGTGCTGCGCGCCTTTATTTTTTGGCGAGTAAAGGGTAACCGGGCCGGTGGCCACTTGATTCTGAGGACATCAACACACGATTCCAACCACATGGTCTACATAATATGCATCCCGAGTTATGTCTTGAGGAACCCCGGAAGAGTGGAAGCCTAAGCTGGCAGCATGTCCCCAACAAATTTTAGGCCGGGGGTCGTTGCAGGTTCGGTGCAGGGGTCATACTGAGTCATACTGAGTCATACTCTGAGTCATGACTGCAGCTACTGAGCATCAAGTAGCGTTTCACGAGGTTCTCAGCTTCCTGCAGCAAGGGGTGCGGCAGTTGAAGCCGGGCACTGGAAGTCTCTCTCAAAGAGAGGCAGTCTGTGCCCTAGGCCTCTACACTGCACACCCGAGTTGCCAGCGAGAAGTTCTTAGCACCCAGAAGTCGACCCCCGTATCTCGACTCCGTACCGTCCTGGCCTAGAAAGAGGCTGCTTTGGTCAAACGCTGGCAACGGATCCGTAGCAGCGTAGCAGCGGGTGCACTCCTCGGCGCATGCCGAGACTACGAGCCGATTGAGGAGGTCACGAATGGGTAATGCCCGGTCCTTGAAGGGGGCTCAAGTGTTTTAGAGTGCGTGTGTGTGCTCTGTGCTGTAGTGCCTGGTGAGCGGCTTTTCGTCCAGTGCTTCTGGCACTTTGAAGTAAGCTTCGTCGGGGGCATTGAACATGTCTTGCATGACGGCAGCCGGCACCATCAAATATCACGGCGCAGCTTCTAGGGCAGCACTTCTGCAACTCAAACTGAGAGGCCGTGTCTCCTCATAAACAAAACCTGTCTAGCAGTCTAGCACCAAGAAAGCTATGTCCATCCTGTAAGGCTCCCGACTCCTGTCACCAGACCTCACAAGCTTAAGATTGCGTAGAGTCTGCTCTCCAGAGAGCACCTGCGATCAGAACGAGCTGCGTAGGACTTCGTGCCGGGCAACTGCTGCATGGATTGGTAAGCAAAGGATCGTTGCATTCTTTTGCCAGTTCCAAGATCGCTCTTGATTATGGCTGCCATTTCGTGCCCCAAACGACGTACAACGCTTTCGGCGAGTTGAATCCCAAAAGCGCCAGCACTACGGCGTGACTACGGGTGGAAAGGATCTGCAATCCCAAAGGGTGAAAAGCGCCACATGTCTTTCCTCATCATTCCTCTGAGGCAAATGCTCCAGTGCCCTCGGACTATTGGACTTGCCGCTGTTCGCAGCCCCTGAGATCTCAACTCGGACAATACTTAGTGGGTGAGTTTGCGGCAGTTGGCAACTACATGCGATGTTGCACCATGGGAAGGGAAGGGAAGGGAAGGGAAGGGAAGGGGAGGTGATTTTTGGTGGGACTCCGGTGCCTTGCGGGGTTGAGCTTTGAAGCCTTTCAGGGTTCTTTGATTTCTCATGAGGTTTGGGGGCCATGTGAAACCATGGGTGTTCAGAGGACCTTCGAGGCATGGACCATGCCAGTGGCATCTGAGTGCAGATCTTTTGGAGGGCTCAGGGCTTGCAGATGTGGGATGCCCTTCATGCGACTCTCAGGTTTGCCTAGAGTCATAGAGTGGTCCCTTGTGGCACCTACTTCTTGGAATCGCTTGATAAGGTAGCCAGTGTGATTCCAAACCTGGAACCCGACGTTAGCACCTTGACTTGGGGACCTCGGTCCTCTGAGGCAGCAAAACCCGCAGTCTCAGTCTGGAGTCACAGGCCAGGAGCGAGGGGGGGGGGGTGGGTGAGGGTGTTTGTTTGTTTTTGTTTTTTTTGTTTTGTTTCTCTCTCTCTCTCTCTCTATCTTTTTTCTTCCCTTTTCTTTCGGAGGGGGGGGGGGTTAGGGAAGTTTCCCTGACAGAGTATGAACAAGGGAAAGAAGCGAAGCAGCGCCTCGCTTCGGAAGCCCCTCTGCCGTTGCTTTGGGTTGAACTCGGCTTGGGGCGAGGCAGCCATTCCTGCGAAATCCTGCAAAAGGTGGCTCTTTCTAGCGTACGAACTCGATCTTTTTAGCGTATATTAACTCAAGGTTTTCACGATTGGGTGGGGGTTCTTTTTGTGTTTTTGTTTTTTTTGGTATTTGTTCGGTTTTCTTAAACCCGAAACCCTAAACCCTAACCCCCCCCCCCCGTGAGAGAGGGTTTGGTTGCTTTGTGGGCTGGGATAGGCCCCGGAGAGGTCGCTCTCAGGTCTCAGAAACGAACCCCGTCAGACCGGATTCGCCCCAGCTGTGCAGGAGGGGAAAAAAACCCTAAACCCTAAACCCTATTATAAACCCTAGAGGACACATGAAAACCAAAAAAGACACCCCAAAAAACCTAGCTCCTTAACGTGCTTTTTGGGGAAAGGGTTCGGGTGCTTCATAGTGCCCCGCACTGGAGGACTTTGAAAGCTAAGGTCGCTGTAGCCTGTAGCCTGTAGCCTGTAGCGCATGTGCAGCAAACGGGCGGAACTCCCAGCACCTGGTGACACCAGGTCCTGACGATGCAGGTTGTTGGGGTTTAGGGTTTAGGGTTGAGGGTTGAGGGTTGAGGGTTTAGGGTGACGTGCAGAGTTTGGGTTCAAAACAAAGGGTTTAGGGTTTAGGCTCGTTCTGCTGCTCACACCCTGCCTCCTATGCGATTCATCCCACCCTTTTCCCCTGCTGCTTGCGTGTGCAAAAGCCGGAACCTAGGGCTGTGGACCGTTACAGTAGCCGAAGTCACACCGTGTCCCACATGTTTTCTCATCGGGTTTCGACTTGCAAACTTCTGCAGCCCTCCCTCCCAAGGTCAAACCTAGCGAAAACTACAGCGATGGGCCCGAAAACCCCTGTCCGAAGCCCAAAAATACCAGGTGACATGGACGAAGATGACGCAGACCGCGACTTTGAAGATCACGCCGCTCGGTGCTGGTTCGCTAAACCTCAGCTGCCGTGAGCGGAGTGTTACCCTTCTCTGACTAGACTCGCATGCGCGGGCATGATGATTCTTGTGGATCTCTGTGCCGGTAGATTGTGCTCTTGAGCGAAAATGCAAGCACTCAATGACTGGGCGGGAGCTGCGCGAGGTCCACACTATTCATCAGATGGGACGTAGCTGAATAGATATCCAATTAGTTGTACAACCATGTGGGTGTATATAGTTGCCGCCCCCTCCCCCCCCCCCCCCCCCAAAAAAAAAAAAACCCAAATCGCACTGTTTGCACATTCAGGGCGTAGCTAAGTCTGGCTCCCCTTTGTGAGAACGCGTGCGCACATGGGGCGGGGGCTGCCCCTCCATCACCATTATCGTGGCTCGTTTTTTTTTTGTTGCTTTTTTTGAATGCGGATACCGCTGCTGCACCGGTGGTCCGCTGGATAGAATTCAGAGCTGATGGACTTCAGACCCTTGAACCCAAGATACAACCCCAAACCCTAAACCCTAAACCCTATACCCCTAATAAACCCTAAACCCAAAAATCCCCCCACGCAGTGCAACTCAGGATGCGATCAACATTGCAGATCCGAGCCGCTTTGCGAAGTACGGGGTTGTGGACAAGGTCGGGGATCCGAGCCCTCGCCTGCATGCCAACACCCTGAAGGCGCTTTTGGGGTTCAGGGGTCCCCAACGGGGCGGAAGGGGGGGGGAGATGAGGGCAATTTGGGGGGCAATTTGGGGGGCTTATGGATAAGTTGGGAGCTTCCGAAGCGCGGAGCGGAAGCCTCAAACCTGAATGTCTGGCTGCTTGGAACATTTTGGAAGGCCCTAACCTTCGTGACGACCCGAGAACGGGGCTTTTAGTGGCGATTTGCTTGGAACATGTTGGAAGGCCCTAACCTTCATGACCCGAGAACGGGGCTTTTAGTGGCGACTTGCCGAAGACGTGTCCTGCTAGGCCGTCTACGTCACAAAGGAGCCAGTTTTGCCCGACGACAAGGCAGCTGGCACGTGCCACCCGGGCTTTTTTTTGGGTGATCTGAACTTCAGTTTTTATTGCACGACGGCTTTGCGAAGCGCCAGCAAAAGGACTGTCTAACATCAGGGGTCCAGGAGTGCGTGTTGCATGGAGCGCATGATCGCACAATGGGTTGCCCGTGCTACTCGAGAAGACCCTTCCCCACAAGTACCATGCCTTCCCTCTGAGCCTCAGTAGGCCGTACCTTACTGAGCCTCTTTTGCTAAACCGCACTCTCGGCTTTGGCAATGCGGCTGGTGACCCCATGCCCCACTCCCACTCCTACTCCTACTCCTGCTTCTACTTCTTACTCCTGCACCACTACCAGTACAAGCATTTCAAGCTCAACAGCAGCTGCGACATTTCGAGCCGTAGGCCCTTGAAGCCGAACCTCATACGATGAACTCCGGCCTCTCGCCAATACGGGATTCCTCATGTCCTGGAACTGTACTCCTTGAAACTGCAGAGACCCACAGGAGCGATTCCCAGAGAAGATGCTGGACACCACGCCAAGTGCTAGGACGACACTTTCTGCAGAGTAAACTTGTTTGTTTGCCGTTTGGCGTTGGCAAGGCAACGGTTCGGCTCGGGTCGGAGTTGCTTTGGGTGCGCCATGCATTTCTGGGAGCTAAGCTCTTGGTGGCAACAGCGGGGAACCCATGTGGGCAGGGAACTATGGGGGAGGCTGTTGGCCCGTGGCCCACACGTGGCCCTGCCTTGTCAGGAAGCTGATGAACACAGCATTACCTGTAACAACTTTGTATTAGTGCTTCGCCCAATGGGCGGGAAAGACTGGGTGGGTGCTGTGGAGTGTGTTCTTCGAAGAATTTTCACCTTTTCAAGTCTTGGAGCTTCATCACTTCTATGACATTGGATGCCGTAGTGTCATTGAAGTAGCGCGTACACCAATCGTTGTGCCTCACCAGCATTGAAGGTTTAATTGTCTGTGTGCAACTCACACATCAGACCCATTGGGCGGGACGCAGCATCGCGGGGTTTCTTCGTTTGTTGCACAGGCCCGTGTTTGTAACCGTTGCAGAATCCGGCATCCGGGTGTGCAGGATTAGGGTCAGTTGACCATGATCAGTTCAGCCGGTTGCGCATGCGGCTGGCCAAAGCCCAGGAAGCACTCAAGCTGGGCACGAAGCTCGCTGCGCCTCTCTGTGGGCTCGGAGTTTACAGCATCGCCCATCGTCAGCTTTGGTGGGTTCAGGAGTGAAAACCCAGGCTTCGAGGTACACGCGTGTGCGCGGGTGCCTTGCATTGCCTTGCGACCGTCAAGCCTCAACATAATCCCAACGCCTTTAGACAAGGGGCTGCCTGCGAAGTCAGTTAGGCCCAGCTAGGCAGTTGTGGTGAAAAGCTCCAAGCCCTTAAGCCTCAAACCTCCGAGAGAAAAGCATCAAAAGCATCAAGCCGCCGAGGCCTCGTAGGCCAGACGAAACCAAGCAATACAGATAATACAGCCACAGCGACTTGCAACCTTCCCTCTTCAACGAGTCTCAGCCTCAAATCCAGCCCCCCCTCAGGTCGTTTAGCGGCTCAGAGGTTTCTGAGAAGGACTCCCCCATGGCTTCGCCTCGCCACTTGAGACGAAAGAGAAGAGAGTCTCGTTTTGCCATGTTTGGCTCCTGGTCTTTGGTGCGCTTTGGGTTTCTCTCAGAGCCTGGAATGCTAGGCTGCTAGGCAGAACCGTTAGGGCCGTCAGGGGGTTCCCATCGTGCTCCGCAAGGGTATTTGTAAGCTCCTGCAGGCACATATTTTGCCTCAGAAATCGTGTTCCATGTGCTGTCGGAAGAGCGGGTCCTTGCACTCCTTCATGGCGGCTAAATGCTTCACAGTGGCGTCACACATCCCATCACCCCCTACCTCCTCATATGGGTTTTGACCGTGAGCTTTTCCGCGCAGCGCAAGGCCACGTTCAACCTGTCGTGGATTTCGTGGCAGACCTGGCCAATCTGGCTATGTGTTCTACAGATACTGACGTTGGCAACAGTCGTGGGCGCGTGAAGCGGAAGCATCACAAGGCGCGAACGGATTGCAAACCCCCAAAAACATCCCCCAAGCATCCATCAAAACATATTATCATATCCAAACATTTCGAAATTCGTCTCCAAAGCCAAAGCCCGATAGGATCCCCATAGGTGCAACGCAAATCAAGCCAAGCCGTCCTTCCAAAGTGAAAACCGAATCAGAAACCCACGGAGAGAGATGCGAGTAAAACGCAGGATGCTCTTCTTAGCATTGGCCTGTTGGTACCATGTGCAGCCGAAGCATGCAGGGATTTACTCGGCAAGTCTCCATACACCTCAAGCTCTGCTTTTGACTTACAACCCCAGCTGCCTCAGCCCCCGAAATTCACAAGTAGCCAAGAAGTCGTGAACAAAAGCAGCTCATTTTGCTGATGCTGGGTTCGCCATCAAGCATTTGTTGGGCTTGCTTTTCTAACACATCCCGTTCTGGGTGGGCGGGTTGAAGCCTGTTGCAAAAAGGTTGTTTTTCAGGTTGCTTTCAGTGTTGCTTTTGGCGTGGATTTACTTGTGTTGGCAACTTTGTGTCGAGCGATTCCCAAATCCAAAAAGCCCCTTCGTTTCACCCGAGCCTCTGAGCCCCCTGAGCCCTAAACCCTAAACCCCTAAACCCCTCAACCCCCAAGCCTCTGAGCCCTGCAGAATTCCAGTGGTGCGTCACACGACGGAGCCGAAGCCAGTCCAAAAGGACGCAACGATGGCAATGAAACCAGCCCTTTCTGCCACCATCGCAAGGCTGGTCAGCATCAGGGGTCCCGGGCCCCTTATTAAGGGTTTAGGGTTTAGGGTTTGGGTTTAGGGTTCAGGGGTGTTGCTTCGGGCTCTGCATTTGCAAGCTGTGCTTGGTTCTTGAGAAAGGCCACCCTTCCTCGTTCGTACTACTGTGCACTCCCGCCGTGTGGTGCATTATTTCTATGGGTCACATGGTTCTCGCTCAATGTTTCTGGCATCCTTTTTGCTGTTTCGTTCTGCAGATGAAAGATGAAGCCAGCCACAAGCAGAAGAGCGAGCGATTTCAATCCACCTGCTTCAAGTCACTTCAAAACGGTTGAGGTGTGCCTGATGAACCTTTCTGACCCCACGACCAGGGGCGAATACTTCTTCTCGCCAAATCCATTCCCCAATCCACCGCGGAAAGACGGGAAAGAGGACAAAAGCTCGTAAGCCACCACAAAGGATGCGGATTGGGCTGTTTAGGCTTGAGGAGGCTGTGTTGAGACTCGGGGCACCAGGCAAGGAAATCTCGACGTTTCGCGGCCGAAAACTAGCCTAGTGTTGGCATGAGCTGGACTGCGATGTGAGTTTAAAGCTCGAAAAGCTCCGCATTCTTCCTAACAGTCCTAACACCCAACTGCAAAGTTTTTAACTTGCGGTGTTGGGAAAGGAGTACTTTGCTGTTGTTTCCATGCTGGTTCCGAGTTTCTGGCTGGGTTTGGGAGATTCCGATTTTCCGACAACAACATACAAACAACAAGCGAAGACGGCGCACATGCACGCGACATTCAATCATAGTTGCCAGCACTACTGCACTCCTCCAAGCAACGCTTGATCCCACTTCCAAAAAGGCAGCCTTCAGGACCCTTCAGATCCAATACCTTCATAGACCGTCCTGGGTGCATTTCTAGGTGGAGGTATTTGGACGCTTTTCGCTGACCTGTTGGCTGCTCATGCTGCTCTTGATCCTGTTGCTCCTGCAGGCTTCTCGGCATGTGCATCAGTTCGTGCGGCTGACGGACACAATGGGCGTGGTACCCTCTTCCGCGTTGGGCATCGTTATTAACAACCCTGGCATCTCGGCGTCGACCCGGAAGAGGCCGAGCTCCAAGCTCTCCATCACCCCCCCACGCCGGCCTTCGAAACCCCCTCAAGACATCCCCCAGACCCTCAGAATCTCCCTAAGAATGCGCTTGAGTGCCACGCCCTGCAATCCCGCCTCCTCTGCGAACTCAAGATTCCGTGCCAAGCGCTACTCAGGTAAGGTGGCCGACTTCTACAAGTCGCCTGGGCCTGGACTTACATTTGCTCAAACTACCCCGTGTTTAAGGAAGAAAGGCACCGACACTTTCTTCCTTTCAGGCATGCTTGAGGCATGTTGGAGATATGACAAGAGGCCTTGCTGGTTGTGAGTTCCAGCCTGAGGCTTCCTAAGACTCCTATAAGACATCCTATGACCCCTGAGGCCCTAAGTCCTATACTCTTGTTTTGTTTTTTTGAGATCTTGCTTCTTTCCTACATTCGTCTCTTGAAAAAAAGTCCGCTCTCTTGAGCGCGTCGCGACAGCAGATCTTAAGGTTCCCAGGCTGAACCATCCTGTTGAGTCCCGAACCCGCCCAATACAAGAACTCCATATGTCGCGAAGCCTACGTCCTGCTATGCAAACCCAGAGCCCCAAAGAGCCCTCTCATTCTGGGGCTCGTAAGAACTCAGAAGCCCCAGAAATCCGGTGAACCCAGGATGGAGTCGAAGCCTTTGGGTGAAGGAAGCTTCGGGGCAGTCTTCTACGGGACGCTGCGTGTCACAAAGGCCAGGTTAGAATGGTTTTTGAGTTGGCGAAGAGCGCAAGCTTTGTCTGGCTACTGCTGTACAGGGCCCGGGCCGGATTCTCGCAGATTCCCACATGCTTTTTTTTCAATTGAGGGTTACAACCTGGATAGGCTTGGATGTGAGGTAACCTAGCATCCTGCAAGCGGCATCGACCCCAAAAGGTGTAAGACCACAAGACCGACGAAGACGGGAAATCGCAAACGTCGACAGATCGGGCACTTCACGAGCATGCGCACGGGACCGTAGCGGGAGTGGGATTTCGACCATGGATCGCGGGCCGCAGGTGCGGGGGGCGCTTTGCCAGGAGCAGTGCACGGGACCGAGGCGAGAGAGCGCACCTCCCACAGAATGTGGCAAGGGATGCTAGCTTAAAATTACAAAGGGTCCCCTATTATGATTTAAGGAATGTTCCTTAATTAAGGGGTATTGGGCTCTTTGGGAACTCCAAACTCGCCATACGGAACCTTAGAGCTATCCGATATCCCAAGCTATCCCGTCCCTCGGAAACATCTCGGAGGCTTTCGCCGTGTTGGTGAAACCTTGTGTTCGGCGGGTTTCAACGGGGTTTGGAGTTCAGGGCCAGCGCTTTCGTGGTTTTGGGGGTTCTGGGAAGGCTTACTGTAGATCGCTACCACGCACAGGCATCCAGAGCGATCAAGAGGATTGCGAAGGAGATGGAAGGGTTGCTCATGGATTTGCAGGTTACGGGATCCAACGTCAAGGGGTTGTTGAAAGCTTGCAGGCCCTTGGATCCTTTCGCAAATCGCTGTGAGGGAGTCTTGGGGGGAAACCTACTACAAAACTTGGGGTTTTGCGAAGAAAGATGTCCACCTCCGAGTTCTGCAGGCTTGCAACCTCCCCCCGATCTCCCAAACGTCGCTGGCCTCTGCAAGAGGAGAAGATGAGGGAGAAGCTGGTCACGTTGAAGACGGAGGCACGGATCCGAGCGAGCCTTGATCGTGAGAGGTTGAGTATAAGGCTGCCGCGCACGTTGCTCGCGGCTGTTGGGTTGCAAGAGTCAGCGTCCAAAGCCTTAAGACTCTTGATTCTACGGGTTTCCTTTGGAGAGGTGCAGCTGCTCAAACTCGTGGACCATCCGCACATTGCACCTTGGAGGGAGCAGTGCCACCATAAGACTACGAACAGATGTCGAGGCTACTCCAAGTCTCAGTACACTGGAAGGGGGTGCCGCGGCATTCATGAGGCCGGCACTAACATTGTAAATTGCAAACGCTTGTGTGCGCCGCCGCGGCAGACGGCCGACTGAGCTAGGCGGACGTCTGCATTGCCTCAACCCGGCCCAACAAAGCGTTCCAGGAAGGGTGGGGGGGTCCCAAGGGCGCGTCCGAAAAGTGTCTATCTCCAAAGCGGTTCGGGCAGGTCCCATGCACCGGCGAATGGACCGCAAATGTCTGGGTGGGTGGAAGGGTTGCTGCTTGTTCCAGACGCCTGGGCCGGAAGCCAAGGCGAAGGTGTCCGGTTTTCGATTTCCTTGCACTGCACGCGCATCTCAGGTGATGCTGCATGAGATTTTCGAAGACAATGAGGATGTTCATCTCGTCATGTCGCTATGCCGTGGGGGACACCTGCAGGCGGACCGGTTCTGGCTTTGAAGGTGGGTTTGGAGCGGGCCTTGGGTTGGCTCCGAAGCTTCTTGTGAGTCTTTTTCACCCTTCGTGTGACACAGAACCGCGAAAACACATCCATCCAGAGGTCTAGGGCGCTTCAGGTTGTTGCCCCTTGCCTGGGACAGAACTGTATCTCTACGATTCTCTACTTAGCTGAGCGGAGACCTGAAATATCCTCGAGCCCAACCTTCTTTGCCTTTTTTTTGTTTCTGCTGGTTCTTCAATTGCCCTTGCTCCATCTTGTGACTATGTGATACAAAAATCGAAGAAAATCAAAGTCCCCAGGGACACACCCGGCCCAGGCTTATGTCATGCGCTATGGGCGGTTGAAGGCGCCCCCCCTCTCTCGCATGTCAGCTGGGCATCTCTAGGCACTCTGCTTCACCGCAGCAAGTAGTAGGCATCGCCCACAAGCTGATCAGAAGTTCTTTACCTGACCCATATTAGTGCCCAACAAAAGAGCATTTGGCTTTCGGAGTGCAGGCCAGCTAGGGGGCTTGGGTTTTGGAATGGCTGGGATTCCGTAGGTTCTGTGTGTTGTTGAAGTCCAGCATCCAAGACTATTTGAGGCCATCTCTGCAGCTCCACGCACCAGCATCTGCGCCCCAAATCGTCGCACTCGCAGTCTCAACCGAAGACCCCACACTGGGCGGCCTTGTAGCAACATCTTAGCAACCTCCCAGAGAGCCCAATACCCCTTAACTAAGGAAACATAGCTTAAGCTACAAAGGGATCCTCATTATGATTCAAGGGGTATTCCTTAATTAAGGGGCATTAGGCTCTTTGGGCTGTATGGCGCTTCAGGGTGTTTAAGGCCAACGCCACCCAAACGCCCAACGTCCGATGCTAGGAGCAGCCGGCGGTTGCAGCCATGAGGCAACTCTTCCGCGCGGTGCTGCGGCTGAGAATTACAGGATCGTTCAGTTCATGTGCGCTCTATGAGTCTATGTTTCCATGGGGCCAAGATTCGACAGACCCTGAACCCAACAGTGCGCACTGGAGTCACTGGAGACTTGCCCTTGCTCATCCGTCATGGGCGTTCTTGGGGCTTCTGGTCGGGGGGGTCAGGGTATTTGGTTCCCGATGCCAAGGTCCTCAACAAGGTAATTAACTCCGAAATACCTGCGGAACATCTGTTCCATCAAGAAGAGCTGTGCAACAGTTGGGGATTGCGGTCTTCGGGGGCTCCAGAAGGGCGGCCTGGTCTTTCTTTGGAGCAGGGTTGTAGGTTCTGAGGTGTGTGAGCCACAGAGTCCATGGTAGAGTCATGGGGCTGAAGTTGGTTTCCTGATGCCCGTGACAGAAGCAACAAGCCCCTGAACTACACAACAAGCACCGAACAACGCACTCAGAGTTCCTACGGAAGCCATGCCAATGCAAGAGCCTGGTCTGCAAGGTAGCCTACCTGCACCGGCATTTCATCTGCCATCGGGCCTATGCCTCAGCTTCTTTGTAGAGGCGCACCAGTTTGTGCGAAGCTCGAAGTCTTCCTGTTGTTTGTTTGTTATGCGCGTGTCGTCTTGTTCTCCCTGTGCCCCAAACACCGTTCCAAGTACCCTCCATCGTTTTTGCTCATGTGCCAGGGCTTTTGTAGAGCGCAACATGAAGGTGTAAAGCTGCTATCCATTACTCTGCCATCCCGGGTTCGTTCTCCCCATGCAAGCGAGCCTCGATCCCCCATACTGACCGCTAGAAAGTCAAGAAATTGCATGAACGAAGTGAACCCCAGAAAACCTTTAGGAAACTACATTTGTAGGGTTTTTTGTGCAGTGTTTTCGTAGTTACATCTGATGTCTTCTGATTAGGGCCTTGATTAGGGTCGGGTTTTCTCAAGCTTGGAGCTTGTGAGTTTGGGTTTTCACGTCTGTAGGTGTCTTGCGTTCGGGTTTGAAGTTGAGCTTCAGGGTGCAGAGAGAGTTCCAGAGCAAAGCCATCCGCACAGGGCTGAGAGGATTGCGCTTTGAAGATTTCCATCCGAAAAACAGCGAGGGCTTCAAGCCCCAATCATAAAACAGGGGAACCAGCAACCGTCCAGAAAGCCTAGCTTTGTACAGTTTCTTCTGAGCTATGCAAAGAATGCGCATTTTTCATATGAGGGTTTCCGAAATCCGGGACCCTAATAAGGCACCCCTATAGTTTCGTTAAACCCCCCATGTGTGTATATATCGACAAACACGATCGATGACAGTCGATCCTTGGGTTTTTACGGCTTCAGAGACAGCAGGCTTGAGTTTTGGAGCTCGCCGCGTTTTGGGAGTTAGCTTTGCGTGCAGACGAAGTGTAGCGAGAATGGCCGGGCCACGAAGCGCTGTATTCAGAACGAGTCGGAGAGAGTCGAGAGAGGGCTTGCGTCCTTACATGCAGCCTCAACAATAGCGCAAACAAACGCCGAGGACCTCAAAAGCGAGAACCTCATGCTCTTGCACGATGAGCCCTTCACAGGCAAAATCACCTTTGTCCGGCTGCTTTGGGTCTATCATCGAGTCTGGGGCTTGCGGTTTGGGTTGGGCTCTTCGGGCGAAGCCCCAACAGAAGATAGAGTTGAGCCACGGAAAGAGCCCTTAGAAGGCCCTGTTTTGTGGCGGCTCAAGAGTTTTGCTGCACTGCTCTTCGTGCCTTGGGCAAAGTGATGCAAAGTGCAAGGCTGCGGGTCTTTAAGACGGGGAATGCTTTGATTTCTTTGGCATGGTCAGTGGGGTCCCTGCTCAAAGTATGATTCTGCCTTCCCGCTTTTTGAGCTTCAGGTATAGAGCTGACTAGCTTCCCGCTGGAGCAACAGCCACCCAAGCCTCATCTGCCAGGCAGCAGCCGAAACACCCTGAAAGTCACCGACTTCGGCTTGGCCGCGCTCTTTCAGCCGGGAGTTCCATTGACCTCAACTGCGGGCACACCCAGCCACATGGCACCAGAGGCTGGGAAGGTTGCAGAAGGTTCCTAATAGTAAAATAGTAACACTAATGTTAAGGTCACCTTTATAATACGGGTGTCAATAGTGGCAACTTTTCCGGCCGGGATTTTTGCCCAAAAGTTTGTTTCATGAACAGTTTCCATTATGTTAGGCTGCCCCGAACCCTAAACCCCATTTTAAGGGGGGTCGTAATCAAAAAACGGGTGGTAATAGTGGAAACTTTTCCGGGAGAATTTCCCAAATGTGCTTCCGAGAGTACTCCTCTTTTCACTCTTTGGCTACTTACTGACAGCAATCCAGACCGAGCCCAATGTGGGGCAGCCCAGCTTCATTTTGCCGATCTCTTGAACCGGCTCCAGGCTCAGAAATCCTGATCTTCGTGGCTGACCGAAAAGCATCGATTTCTTCTTAAAATCCTTCTAAAAAACAGCTCCCGAACAAATCCGCCAAGGCTGCCCCCCACGAGGCCTCGAAATCGTAATAATAAAGGGTGACATTAATAAAGTCCGGCGAACGGGGCGATGCCGGTCTGGGACTCTCTTCCATCAGCAAGCCTCTTTGGCTACTTACTGACAGCAATCCAGACCGAGCCCAATTATTACCACCCCGACCCCTTTCAAAGTTTGTTTGGACCCAGCGCCGGAACAAATCCGGGGGGGGGGGGGGGGTTTATTAAAGCGACCTTAACATTAATAGTAATACCAATAGAAATGATAGTAATAGTAGCAGCAACTGCTTGCAGAAGCTTTTGGCAGTCTGGACGTGTTACACTTTGTCTGGGGAGTTGGGTGCAGAGTGGTGGCGGCGTATCGTGAGCGCGAGCACTGCGGCCTAGGCACTTGCCCAGGTTATAGGGGATATCGGGAATCGCATGGCGTCCGCCAGGTTTATGCCAAAAGGTACAACTTGGCTTGTGCGACTTGGTGTGCATTTTGCTTAAGCCTGCACGTTGCACTGTCACAAGGGCTTGCCGGGCTTGCCCCAAGCTGCCCGAATGACTTGAGATGCTTGAGCGATGCTGAGGGTCTTGAAGTTCAGGCCTGGCTCAGGAAGTATTCCAGGCTCCGCTATGCTCTGCTAGGCAATCGTATCATTCGGTTTCGGGAGGCTTTGGGTTCGGGCTTCGGATACCTGCGTCTGCGGAGGGGAGTACGTTGGCGTAGGGAAGCCTCTTCAGGACCTCTGGAGCTGCGGCGTCATCCTGTTCTTCGTGGTCTCACGGCTGATGCCATTCGATGTGAACGACAAAGGTGGGCCAACTCAGTGGGAGTGTTCATTTCTGTTAAGGATGTGTTGGGGGGCCGCAGTTGGGGCCCTGGTTGCGAGGTTGCCGAGTGCTCAAGGGAAAAAGGCTCAAAGCTCAGAGCCAAGAGTAAGATGCCAAGCAGCTCAAAGTCTGCAAGCACTGTCAGAAGCCCTGCGCCTTGCATCATCGTACATCGGTGGACCTAAAACCTTGAGGTCCAACTCCCCTAAAGGCGAGACCACTGAAAGAAGCTCCTCGAGCCAGCTTGTAGCAATGGCCGGATGGCCCAGAGCTGTCACAGTCCTCGCTCGATGAGAGGTTCGAAGCGTTTCAAGTTCAACTTGAACGTCCACCCGTGGGACCTCATCCACCAGGAGCCCGTTAAGGGCTTGAGGCGTTTCAGGATGCAGGTAACAGGGGTGTATAAGGCATTGGGTTAGACGGTCAGCCTAACTTGGCCTTTCATCCCGATACCTTCTCGGTCTCGGATGGTCTCGGGTTCAACCTTGATCTTGGGTTCAAGAAATCAGCCATGGTGAAGTAGCTTCATCTAGACTCCTGCTTCCTTCGCGTTAGGTTGTACAGCCGTCTGACCTGCTTCGAGCCTCAGGATTGCATCAACTTGGTCACACTCCTCTTGGAGAGATCCGTTCACAAGCGTGCCACAGCTGCGGCCGCCCTGCATCATCAGTGGATTGTCAACAACAGTCCGAGGCCGCAAGTGGGGTCAATCATCGCGGGTTAAGAAACGTTCCGTGGTATGAGTGGTATGGCCGTCAGCTCTCTTTGGTCTCTTGTATTGTGCTGCTATGATGGACCTCTCGATTTTTCATGAATGGCATCGGTTCCCTTCGATTTGCAAAAGCCATTGGCAGTTCGATTTCCCGGCTCTGATGAGTCCATACACCCTAAACCCTAAACCCCACACCCCTACAGCCGGATTAGGTCCTGCCTTTGAAAGCCAAGCCAAACCCTGGCAGCCAGTGCATACAGCCAAAAAGCCACCCAAGGTCGGAATTCTTCAAGACTTTGAATCGGCGGCACCCTAAGCTCCAAAATAAGTCCTCCTGGCTACTCGTATCTTTTGGCCCAAGTTTCATCGGGCTCCTACCGACTCCTGCATGCTCGCATTCCTCTGAATCCCTCCTCGACTCCCTTCTGCCGGGCCCCAGCAACGCTGGAAGCAACCAAGCCGTGATTGCACACATGGCCTCTCAAGCTGGCGTCGTGGCCGAATGGGTTGCTGACACAAACCCGTTCACTGCGGGGCAGCTCGCGGCAATGAAACGCTGGTAAGTGAGGATGAGCTGCCAACATGTTTTTGTCCACGTCCATGTCTGTCTGTCTGCCTCTGCTTGTCCAGGTCTGTCAGGGCCCATGTCAGCAAACCCGGTCTGTCTCTGTATGTCTGCTGGAGAAGAAACATACGCTGAAACGCTGTATACGAGAATCGCCATACTCACCGGAGCCCTTGACTCCTGGATCAGGGTGGAGGAGGTGGCGATGCCGTCCAACGTGCTCGCACGGCTGAAGCGCTATCGCAAGCACAATCGTTTCAAGCAAGCATGCCGGGAGCCCAGCTGCGGGTGAGTGTTTCAAAGGCGCCTTGCGGTTTGCTGAGGGGTGCTCAAGAATTCCATTTTGAGAGCACGCTGTCTTCGTGTTGACCCCGTCCGAAGCTTTGTAAGTACAGATGTCAGAAGCATCGCCAGAACAGCAAGCGCCGAGCAAGAATCGTTTCTTACTTGGTTGCCCATGCTAAGGTAGGCTGCTGGAGTTTATGCCTTGTATGCAGTCCTTATCTGCCTCTTCAGGCCCACAAGAAGCCCTATATAAGTCTAGGGCTCCATCATAAGGGACGCTGCGCAGAACAGTATAAAGCGGAGGGGGAAGGGGGGGGGGGGGAAATAATACACATTTTTTTCCAAAATTCATATATGATTGATTTCAACAAACATCGAGCCTTGTGTCTGCGTATGGGGTTGCTGTTTAAGGGCAGTGCAAGCTTTATTGGGCACACGAGTCCCTTAGGTCTACGAGCATCATGCTTGGAAATGTGCGCCCCTTTCCAAACCTCTCATGTGAGCATTGTTTTTGCAAGAAGGCAGGCAGTATAAAACGAGATGTAAATATACCTATTTTTTATTTATACATATATATATATATGTATATATATATACAGATGTTCCCGAGCATTTTCTACGAACGGGGGGGGGGGGGTTCGTGCGTGAAAGGGGCCGTGTTGACTGCTTTGCTCCATAAAACGCTCCAATAAGTACTTGATGAGGGTGTCAAGCCGACAGAAAGTGCCAACCACTTACGGAAATCCCCAGTTCAAAACGCGCAAACAAAACAACAAGCATCAATGTAGAAGATTAAAGTTCAAATGAGGTTTTCGATGATTAAGTGTCGGTTTCCTTGTGAGACCGAGGTTTCAGCGTGGCGGCCTCTTTCTTGAAAGAATGCGAGCGGTCAACGTCGGACTCGCTTTTTCATTTTCTGGACACCACTGGTGCGGGCCGTATCACAATCGAGGACTCTCAGACTTGGGACATCGGTCGTTGGGTCGTTGGCCCTATTGACCCTAATGACCCTAATCCCTAAGCCCTAAACCCTAAGCCCTAAACCCTAAACCCTAAGCCCTAAGCCCGAAACCGAAAGAGCGAACACCCCACAAGCCTGCCACAAGCTCGTCAGAGTTCCTGACACAGGAAATGGCCCGGCTGGTGGGTGACGATGATGTGCCTGGGCAATCTGTTGGCCGGTCGTCTGCCCCATGTTTTCTTCTGAGTCGGTCAGAGTCAACTTGCAGAAGCCAGGTTTCTTCAAGCTGGCTGCACGTTTCAATACATCATCTGCAGCAACCTACTCGGCGACTAATGTAGGGGCCAAAATAATGAAAGCAGCTCATTGTTATTTTTTTTGGGGGGGGGCATTGTAGTATATTTCTGTAGGAGCTATACAGGGGATGCTACTAGTAATTGTTCGACCCCTATAATACTTGGTTGAGGGTTGTCAGAATGCTTTTCTTCCTTGGAGCCCAGGCCCGTGACATTTTTGGCCCGCCCGATCCTGCGCCTTGGCCTGACCATGTCTCGGCCTGTTTCAAGGCTCGAGGTTTCTAGGGTTTTGGGTTCAGGGTTGAGGGTTTTGGGTTTAGGGTTTTGAGGGATCAGGGCGCTCTGTGATATGGTACGGTTTAGCATTTGAATTCTGGTCGATAGAGAAAGCTGGAAAGGCTCCGTCCTTGCGGGTTTCAAGTCGGGCTTCGAGGGGAGAGAACGGGTCTAGACCTGAATCCCAAAAGTCCCGAAAGGGTCGAAGGACTGGGATTTTCAGGCTCGAGCAAGGTTTTGGAGGTCTTGTTGGTGCCCGATCCTTGGCCACATCGCTCGACAGGCACTGAAGCACTAGGAAGTTTGTCCGCTTTGGTTTGGAGCTGTGCAAATGAGTAGCGGTGACCACAACTGCAGCTAACTTGGCTGAACCCCACGCCATCTAGACAATCTTACTGGTTGAAGTGTCCAGGAGCCTGAGGCATAGCTTTGCCAGGGTCTTCCAGTCGTAGGCCAGCCCAAGATTCGCCATGTTGCAACAGTTTGAAAAACTCGCGACTGGAGCAGAGAGCAAGTCAAGTACAGGACAAATGAGAGTACGATGTTTGAAGGGCTGCTGGGACCTGATGTTCGTGCTGTGTGTGTGTGGGTGGGAGTAAGAGGCTTGCTTTCTTTGGAAACCAACAGACCAGGAACTGGGGGTTTACGAACTTAAAATAGTAGGATCCTCTTATGATAAGGACCCCAATAAGGTACCCCTAACACCGTCAACCCCCAAAAGCAATACAGGCTCCGAAGCTAAAGTAAGCCCATAGAGCCATGGAGCCCGAGAGCCCAGGTAGATAATACCTACAAACCCTTTGCGTACACAGAATTTCTGGCGGCCCCTCGGCGGAACTTGTCAGGGTAGGGAACTTGGGACATGTTACATTTTGCCTTTGGGTTTAAGAGGATCATGTGTAGGAATATTGTTCCGAGGGTTTTCAGGATAGTTTTAAGGGGCCATGTTAGACAAGTGTGGTCCAGGCCAACTGAAGTACAGGCCTAGGAGATGTCAGACCATGTGGCTCTGCATCGAATGCTTGAGGCTCGGGAGGTCTTTTGAATTTGGTACTTAGTACTAAACCCTAAACCCGAAACTTAAACCCTAAACCCTGAACCCTGAACCCTAAACCCTAAACCCTAACTATAGCCATGTTGAAGACCCCTATGCATGGCGATGTGATGCTGGGCTTATGTTGCGTGTTCGGCCGGGCGGATGTATGTTGAACTTGTCTTGATTCGGCTTCGTAGTCTGGGGGTTTGGTGCGTAAACCCAACCCTAAACCTTAAACCCTAAACCCAAAACCCGCTTGTTTGCTGATGTTTGCTGCCTGAGGTTCAACAGTAATTGGCCATCGGCAGAGTTGTGTGTGTGTGTGTGTATTCCCATGTTCAGGCGACCTTCGACCGAAAGCAAGCCCTGACAACGGCGGTATGCAAAACTGCATTTGCAGCCTTTGACAGGAATGGTGATGGCTCCAGAACTGCACTTGCAATAGCTTTTGTTGCTTGCGGTGGGTTGCCGTTTGTGCTTGCCGTTGTTGCTGTCGTCCCTTCAACCGTGAACGCTCCGGAGGCTCAATCAGCATGGCTGAACTCACTTCCGGACATTTGCTGGGTCAACTTAGCGTGGAGGAGCTGAGCCTCACCCTCAAGCAGCTGGACAAGAAGCTGGGTTTGATGATTGAGAACTAGTTTTATACATTTTTTGTTGTCCCGGAGTTCGTGAACCTTATGTCAGGTCTAGAGCTGTTTTAATTGTACTCATGCACTGAATTCTGTTGCTCTGGCGTTCACACTTCCTGTGAATGAGCCAGTGGACCAGGAACGGTGACCAAGCCATTGACTTTCAAGAGTTCATGGCCATCGTGAAAGATGAAGGGGACTAGCACACTTGTGCATGACCCGAACCATTTCAATTTGCCATGCGCACGCAGCATTGCAGTCACGCTCGTAGAAGCGACTTTCCGCGTCCGGCAAGCGGCTGCCCCAACAAGTGCACCTTGTCCAGACCTCGTCCCCTCAGGCATACATCCCATGATACGCAGCAACAGCATGCAACAAGTTCAAGTTTGTTTTGCACCGAGACAACCGATATCTTCCGGATATGATCGACGCAGGATTGCGGCACTGCACCGATACACCGATACACCGACCGAGGGTCCCGGGGGCGATCGGCGCAGGTCTGTGTGGCAATCAAGGCCCAGGAAATTCTTTTTGTCCCGTGTCAGCTGTTGTTAGTTTTTTGCTCCACATCGGCGTATTGGCGTATTTGGGCGTGGGGGGGGGGGATCGGCGCAGTTGGGTGAGTGGCGTTTGAGGGATTGTGGCGCCTGGGCTGTTTTCGTTTTTCGAGGGGGGGGGGAGGGGGGGGAGGGGGGGGAGGGGGGGGAGGGGGGGGGGGGGGGGGGGAGGGGGGGGGGAGGGGGTGAGAGGGGGTGAGGGGGGGTGAGAGGGGGTGAGAGGGGGTGAGAGGGGGTGAGAGGGGGTGAGAGGGGGGGGGGGGAGGGGCTATTGGCGTATCGGCGGCGTAGCAGGTGTATCGCAACGCAAATCGGTTTTCGCCTTTTTTGTTGCATGCGCTCTATGGTCACTCATGCGCCCCAAGTGGTTCATTTACTTTCCGAAACTCGGAGCCTTGCCTGCGCGTGTGCTAGTTGTGAGAGTCGAAAGCCTTTGCAAACCTCGATCGTGCTCATGCCAGATCTTGCCTGACGCGGGACAAGGAACATGCCCATGCTCCTGCAAAGGAGACAGGCACCAGGCAGTGTGGGTGGACATGGGCGGACAAAACATGACCTCAAGAATTGCTTATTGAGGCTTAGAGTGTGATAAATCGACCTCAGAGCGAGTGTCGCGGTTTCATCATCATCCACATGTGCACTCGAAACCCAAAGCCCAAAATCCCACCGCCCTGAAGTCTCAACCCGAAAACAAGGTACCCCGGAAGTCCTTGAAGTCAGAGGTTGACACTTGGAGGGTTTTCCACTAGTTTTCATTCCATTCGAATGTCATTCAAGTCTGTTCTTATTTGGGCATCCTGGCCAAACATGCTTTGGAATTGAGGAGCTTCTACTCGCTTGGATCAGACAGAACCATGTAAAAGACTGTATCCGCTTTCCCTTGCGTTCGGGCTTCCAAAACCCATGCGCGTTTTTGGACACCTCCGTCCACCCGACGTGCTTTGCTGATTGGCTGCGGGGGACAAGGACGACTTGAATTCAAGACACTTCGCAGGCAGCGATCCCTTGTCCCTAGCAGCGCCTCACAAATACATACTGGCAAAGTGTCCTGGTCGGCACATCTTGAAGTAACCCAAGCCCTAAATCCTAGCAGCAGCGAAGTTTGGGGATTGTAGGATGGACTGCTTTCAGGCAAGCCTGAAACCCCACGAAGCCCATCTCAGAAATTCCCGATTCACAAGGATTTTGGAACCCGAGTGCGTAGGAATCCCTAAATCCCTGTCTTGCACCTGCTTTGCTGAAGTGCAAAGGCAGGTCTAGATGTGTGGCCTGAAGTACTACACCCCACACTTGAAACGCAGCTAGGCAGATAGGCAAGTGCTGAACGCTCTCAAGCTTCCAAAGCCCCGCACTAGAAGTATTCCGACGGTTTGGAGGATTTCTTCAGCAGTATGATCTCTTGATGCCTCTTGACTTCTCACCTTGGGCTACTTGAGCTGGGTTTTCCCCCTATCCAGTAGGCCACGTGGAGCAGTGCTTTGCAGGTGACAAGAAACCTTAAACGCCCAACAACCGGCTTCGTTTGGTTTGTGCCAACTAGCTGCGACGGCTTCCGGCGTGCGCGCGCACGCTGGGAAGACCGCGAAAAGTCGGGGCCTCCTCTTCTGGGCATCTATGTCGCATACTATACGGGTCGGCACAGTGACTAATCATATTCCCGGGTTTAGGGGGCATGTTGAAGGAATGGATTTGCCTTCAGCGACTCGCAGGGGGACCACTCCAGCTGCATCAGCCAGAACACCCCGAAGCTGGTTATCGAGTAGATGTAGCTCCGAAGGCTTAGGGGGGGTCTGAGGCCCGTCAAGACAATGTGGTTTCGTGTAAGTAGCTCATTGGTAAAGGTACAGACAGGCGCCCCTATTTCGATAAAGGGAGCCTTTCATCTTAGGAGTTGACATGAGCTCCATCAAGCGGAGATCTAGTTTGCCATGCAAGCCTAGAACAGGGAACTCCCCCGGCTTGAAAGATCGCAAAACGAGCTGCATACTTCTAGCAGAGCCATATAGAGCCATGCATAGGACGGCTCGGATAGCTCGGACAGGTAGTCTTAGGGGTACTTGGAAATCATTGTTTATTTTTGGCTACTATAACTCCTAAGAAAAGCAACAAAATAATTTTTGCTAGGGTTCCAAGTTCTGTATAGTAGTGGGGGCGGTCATGTTGTAGACTTCATCAGCCTCAAGGTTTCTCTGCTGTCGCCAACACAGACTCAGGAGAAAACTCGCGCGGCGATACGTTTGGAGAAAAGGCTTATTTACATCCCAGCCGAAACGGCCCTTTGTAGGGTTCATGGGACTTTTCGGCCTAACAGCCCATCCTGGTCATTCCTCGAAGATGGAGTCTCCTCTTAAACGAGCCCCTTCACCTTGAAGCCTTGATCGCGCTGTGTGTTTTCGTCTGTGGATCGGGGCCCTAAGTCTGCCCTCTACTCTTCCCAGAAATGCCTCCCACCAACCCCTTGCAGTCTTTCAAAATCATGAAGCTCACAGGCTCAGGGTGGCCCCATATTCGCTACTCAAAACAGATTGCAACTGCAAGCCATGCTTAGCAGCTGCCCTAACCAGCCCTAACTCCCTGAGCACTATAGCTAAGAGCTCCCTGGAGAACATCCCTAGCAACCTAAACAGACCTCCAGGCCCTTGAGTCAGCTAAGCTTGGCATGGGGCGGTCGCTGCATTCTATTTGGGTCCCTCTCTAGCACTCTAGCCTCGGCTGGCGCAGGCTTTAGATGGGTTGAGGTTGACGGCTGGAGAGCGTAACGTAAGAGCTTGAGGCAGCCATATCCGCATAAACCTCCCTCCGCGGCTCTGATCCGCTCTGATTCAGGGTTCACTTCGGACGGAGCGCAGTGCAGCAGAGAAGCGTGGCAAAGTGCCAGCTGCGGGGCAATGTGGAGCCTTGATCGAACATCCTAGTCTTTGACACCAAGCTTGGACCCTACACCGCCTACACCCAACTTCCACAAGCCGTACTTAAGAATTCCAGTACTTCTGGAGCCGCACTCCCTACACGTCAGCATGTCATCTCTTCAAGGTGGCACAAACTCTAAAGCCTGTCAAGACCTTGCCACGGGCCGGACTGCGATGTGCGGCGCAGCCGATGGCAGGTGCCAAAAGGAGAAACTCAAATAGGGCAAGTTGAGCATGACTAAAGGTGCACGGGTCGTGGTGGTTTCGTCGTTGTCCAGGTGGCTGGGAACCTTAGTCCAAGACGGCGTCTTCGGACTTGGGGCCTAGAGTCTTTTGAAGGATCCTCACAAGCACCGGGTACCCCAGCAATTCCAATTGGCAATTGGGCTCACAGGGGACGGCTGAGGTGGGCTTAAATCCCGCAGGTCCTGCTGCGACTTGGCCCCTGAACTATCCTGAACTCGAAGCCCCAATCCTGGCACCACAGGTGCCCAGCGCTATGGGCGAGCGCGCTGTGGGCGAGCTCTGGGAAGGCTTCTTTGCTTGAGGTTTAGGGGGGAGATGCAGGGGAGTGTTGGGCGTGCGCAGGTAGAGTGAGCTGAACGCCCGGCTGTGCCCGGATTGTTGGTCGGCTTGAGTTCTTTTGGTCTTACCACGTTTTAGCCGCTCTTGTGCTTGTAGAGGTAGAATACCTAAGCAGTGTTTACTGTACGATTGGATTTGTTCTTTAGGGCGGACGTACCTAACGTGGGGTTTCACGCATGCGGCTTAGACTTCTGGACTGAAGGTAGGGGTCAAGGCAGAAAGCGGCGCAAGAGCCTGGAGGATTGTTGAGCATTGTTCAGTGCCGTGAGCCCTCACAATTCAATCCGTCGGCTGCTTTCCTAGCCCGGCGCTGCCAATGAAATGTGGCGCCAGTGGGCAAGTGTCATTCGGGTTTGTGAAGTGGGCCCTCAGCCGAAAATGCCAGATAGTAGATTAAGGTGGCTTTTTCTTTTTTTAAATGTGTTCTGGAACCCCCGCCCGCCCAACCCGAAACCGCACAAGCGTGCGGGCGTGCGATGGCGTGCGCAAGGGCGACGCGCAAAGGCAGCTCTGTATATCCCAACAGCTCAACGATATAGGGCTTCTATGTGGACTTGTGCTGAAACCAGGGCCGCACGAAAGCGTGCGAGGGAGCAGTGCAAGACGAGTTTCGGGACGGGCGGGGGAACGCAAATAAAGAACAACCCCTAGGTTGAAGCCCCTTTGGGCAAGGGGGAGACCTACTTAAGGAGAGCGTATCGGAGATGTTCACAACTTCAAAGGTCAAGCTTCCTGTTCCTCGGTTTAAGTCCTGGGCGCACTGATTTGTTCCGAGCCCACCCTGCCCCCTTAACCCAGCGAAAAAATAAAAATAAAACCGTCTGAGGGAACCCCTAAGCCCTAAACTGTAAACCCCAACTTGAAGCCCCCTTTCAAGGCTGGTGGCCGCCTTCCTTCTGTTCACGGCGGAATTGGGCAGGTGCGGGCTGCCGGAAATGCGGGACCACAAGCTTTCCACACAGTCGTCAACAGCATGTAAACCCTAACCTGGAGGGTTTAGGGTTTAGGGTTCAGGGTTTAGGGTTTAGGGTTTAGGGTTTCGGGTGACCCTTGCTTGCGGGTTGCCCGTTTGTTGTTGCATGGATGTACTTGGGGAGGAGAGCAGACGTTGGTTCTTGACGGGATTGGGGGCCTCTGGTAGAGTCTCCCAGTTCGACAAAGAGTTTGCCAATTTTTTTAAAATGATAGCCGAACAGCAGCTGGCAGCTGAGAGCAAAAGCTAAAGCTCAGCCCCTAACACCCAACCTCACGACACTTTCTCTCCCAGACCTGGACCTGATGGACCTGTAAGTAGATGTGCGCTGGAAGCCTCCGAATCTCCGCAAGATCGAGGCATGAGCTCTTTGCTTACCAGGCTCGGCTCAGGGCTCGGGGGGGCTTTGCAAACTGTACAAGGGATGAGCTTAAGGCGACCTGACTGGAACCCCCACTGCGCATGCAGTGCGCATGCGCACGGAAGCTTAGCCATCCTCGCAGAAGGACTAACGCAACTATGGTGCAACAGGTGGAGACGTGTAGTAGGTAGGCCAAGTCCAGCGACCCAGGAATTACCTCGCAGAGTCTTTGGCTCAAGCTGCTAGCCAGACTGAGAAATCATTCCACCGTTCCCACAACCGGCTCCCAACTCTTTGAATTCCTCTCCGAGGGCAAGAGAAACGATGCCGATTCCCCCCCCCCCCAGCGTCTCTCTGGCTTCCTGAGAGCATCGTCCTCACCAGCGGTCTTGGCTCCTTGGTGGGAAACCCAAGCCTGAATAGCACGCGGATTCAGTTCAACTGAGATTCGAAGACCCAAAAGTCGGAACCTTCATTCTTAAGGCTTGAGGGCAGGTTATGATACTCCTCTGTGTTCCAGCATGCTGGAACGTGCTCCTGGAAAGTTAATGCCGGTTCGCCAAAGGTGCTTAAACGATTGGTGTTTTGCAACCAGAGGGTATGTTTCAGCTGAATTTCTGTGTTTGCTGCTTCGCTGGTGCCTGTGTCGCAATTAACTTACTCATTAGACCGTGCAAATAATGAACAACGTATAGTCGCGATGGCTTTGCATGCCTTAAGGCAAAGAACCACCACATAATTGAGGCCATAAACAAATCCCTTGAGTCAGAGGCCCTTGGAGTACTAGGAATCCCTGAGGTGGCCTTAGGCAACCACATTGTGAGGTACCCTAAGCCTACAGCGACATACAGCGACCATGAACATCTGTGAAACAAGGCGCAAGACCGAAGGCCCTGTCACTCCTGGGGCACACCACCTTGAATGACGGGGATCTTCTCGCCCGCAGACTTGGATTCCTTGCGACAGCGCTGCGTTTACAACAGGTGGAACGATTAATCCGTGGCTCTTACAAGTTGAGTTGGTCCAAGAAATTTTCCGAAACGTGGGTCAGACCGCGGATGGAACAAAGCCTCCCTGTCAAAATCTCATGCTCCAATGAATCTTGTCAAAAGAAAGCAGAAGTGTGTGTGTGTACAGAAATATCATATACATATATATATATATATTTATGTATACACATGTCTTCAGGCCGGAAGCTTTCTGTCCGCCCAGTTGTTTAGGCGAATGGTTTTTTTCGCGCACTTTTGGGTGGTTAGCTGGTTGCGAGGCGGCCCGTGCTATCCTTGGATGTTGAAGCATCACCTTTTTCTGCATGATCTCACGCCCGCACCAAGACTGGCCACTACCACTTGCCTTGACACCCACAGCTCCAAAGATTCCACAAGCCTTAGACCTCCAATGTGTGCACGGCACGTCGGCAGCCATTGAACTGCGGCTTAAGCCGACACTGGAACTATTTGAAAGCAACCCTGCCTTGTGCGAGCTCGACGGTGTCTGTCGAGATGCATGGCATGCTTTAGGCATGTCCAAGATGTGAAAGTGCCAAACACCAGACTTAGTCGCGGTCAGGGAACTAGGCTGAAGATGCTTCAATTGCTTGTCAGTCTATTGCACTTTTGTTTGCTCTTGGGTGGGGTTGCCCCAGGCCTTTGAAACTTTAAACTGAAGCTTTGGAAGCATGATACGATTGCAACATCATTAGCCTATCTCATCACAAGATTCAAAATAGCGTCTCCCTCTGCATGCAAGCATGCCCCCGCCTTGAGGATGGGGAGGGTTTCAGAAGTTTCTGGCTCCGGGCACATGCGTTATCAGAGTTGCTCCTTCCTTGCTTTAGCTCCATGCTGGCCGTGCGTGTGTCCAGCGCAGCCACTGGCCAAGAGCTCTGCGTCATCCAAGCAGGGAGGGATTGGACGGTGCACGAGCTCAATGCGAAGCTTGCAAGTCAACAAGGGGCCAAGCCGCACTCGCAAACGATTTTACAAGGCGTCAGGGTCTTGCAGAGCACGGAGTTCCTGCGCGACTTTCTGGAGGAGGGGTCCGGGTCTTTGGAGCTCCAGGTGCTGCGCAAGTCCTGGGTGGTGACCGTGGTAGATGAGCGGCCCGAGCCCGCGCGGCCAGAGGCACATTCTGACTCCGATGGTGAGGGTGACGCAAGCCGGGAAACCCGGGAGATCCGGGAGATGGGCGTCGAGGCTCATCCTGAGTGTACGCTGGGCGAATTCTGTGTCATGGTCGCTGAGATGTTGCAGCTCGAGGCTGCCACCCAGCCAGACTTGTATTTCCAGGGAGACTTCCTGGACAATCAGGACTTTGACGCAATGGGCAGCAGCCTCGACAGCTTTGGCATTCAGGGAGGCTCCACGGTGCGGGTGCGTGGGACCTCCGAGTTGCCTTTGCTTTGGAAAGGCCGAGGGGCGATGACGAGCCGGCGCTCCGAGTTCTTAGAGTCCAACGCAGCACTTTGCCTCATCGACCAGTGCCAGGCCGGCCAGCTGCTGGCATGGTTTGAGGACATGGAGCCAAGTACGCCACGCGCCCATGAGGTGCTCCACCCTGGCACTGGCAAGGGCCATTGTGACTCTGTGTCAGCCCTGTCCAATCTCCTTTCAGAGAGTGAGTGCGAATCCATCGCCCAGGAATCTGAGCGGCTAGCCGTGGCACCCATGGACGTGAAGTGCATTCGGGGCACTCGACGCTATCAGCGCGTGATTGTTCAGGATGAGGAACTGGCCAAACACCTTTGGACGCGAGCAAAGCCTGCGGTCCAGGCGGCTCTCGCAGGACAGAGCCTGAGGCCCCTGGGGTTTGGCTGCGTGCAGGGCGACTGGGAGTTGGAAGGACTGAACCCCTGCTTCCGAGTGAACTCCTATGGGGCTGGCGGATGCCTAAAGCCGCACCGCGACGCGCCCTTCAGCCCCGAAGCCAACGTAAGAAGCCTATGCACCCTGCTCATTCCGCTCAGCTCCGTGGGACGGACTCGCTTCTTCCATCCCGTGCAAGACAAAGACTTCCGTGGAATGACCCTGAAAGAGGAGCTCGAGGCAAGAGGCGGGCTGGATACCGGCTTCCAGGCCCTTGACGTCTGTCTCACAGCTGGCTGTGGGCTGCTCTTTGGCCAGAGCTTGCTGCTCGGATCTCTTAAGGACAGCACGCTTCTCAAAACCTCTACTAAAGCTCAAAGCCGCGTCAGCTTCCATACCCATTGTCAAGGGATCTGGAGTTCATGATTTGGATCAGCTCTAGCAACAAGAAAGCTGTACTGTAACCTCCCTCGCAACGAAGAGGCTGCACGAGGGTATCCCGGCAGAGGGCTCCCAGCAGAAGATGCTGCTGAGAACCGACGTGCTCGTGCGGAGGAGGCCGCCCATCCCCGGCGTGCTGCTACCAGGTCGGAAGTGGCATGGGGGGTTGGCTTGCCGCGTGTTCTTGCTGTGTTTCGCGGTTTTAAAGCTCCTCCTTTATGTTTTGGGGGGTGGTCTCGGCATGGAACTGGAAAAGCTTCTCCAAGTGTCTCCATCTCTCCAGAGTGGACTGCGACCCGTTGACGTGCGAGTCTAAGGCTCACAGAAGTCGAGCGGAAGGACCAAGTCCTGGCCCTGCAATGGTTCAGGGAGGCGCAGCATCGAGACTTGAATCTTGGGGGCCCTTATGTACGGCATGGTTTCGGGTGTTCTGGTTCATGAAAGCTATTTTTTCTCTCCTGGACCGGAGAGCCAAGGAAAGAGGAGCCGAGCAACGACTTCTACGAGCGGGCGCTCTCCTACCGCTACTTCCACCCAAGTCCGGAGGATGCCAAGGATTCCTGGGATGCCCTTAAGGCGACCCACGGGTGTCCGGAGACCCACGCCAAGCCGCTTTGGGATGACCCTGAGCCCTTGCTGCCCAACCCACTGTTGGAGAAGTTCCCTCGTTTCGCCCTGCCCTCTTTGGCTTTCCTAAAGGGTCCGGTGGCGGCTTTTCGACTTGACCCCGAGAAATCCGAGAAGCCAGCCCCTCAGAGCGAGGGATACAGAGACTCGACAAGTGGTGCGGAATGGGGTCCGAGCACGGCGAAGCACCTCCGCGCTCCTTAGATCTGTTTAGGGTTTAGGGTTTAGGGTTTAGGGTTTAGGGTTTATCCTGATGCATGAGGCGGTTGAATGATTTCATCAGGAACTCGATTCAACTATTCAAACCCCAAGAGCAATCGAGGCTTCAGCCATGTACGCCTTGCACCTACTTGGGCACCAGGGCTACGGCGAGGAAATGTACACCGTGGACTTCGATCCGAAGACTCAGCAGGCAGCGCAGCGATTGAACTCGCCTGGCGTTTTTTGTTCTTAGGCTTAGGGTTTAGGGTTTAAGGTTTGGGGTTTGGGGTTTCTGAGGTTGGGTTGGGAAACCCGTACTGTCGATTGCCATGGCCAATGACCAGCCCGTTTCATGAAGTTACTCATCCGCACGGTACTACACTGGCCCCTTCTTTGTGGCCCGCGAACTCAAGCACCGTGGGACCGCGGGCCCGAGAGGCAGAGGCATAAATAAGCCCAATTCTATAGGTACCCCAACAAAAGTTGCGTCCCTGTTTCTGAACCCTGTTTACGTGCATGTTGCCAGCACATCCATGTGGCCAGAGCATCCACGGCCCACCCTAATTGCGTCCCTGGTTCTGTACCAGAGCATCCATGACCCAACCATAATTTCGCCCATCATCAACCGCCAACCCAAGCCCAAAGCAGCGCAGCCATAGGCTCAACCCAAAGCCCAAAGCAGTCCTAGCTGAAGCCCTCAGACCCTGACAGTGCTACACCCTGACATTTTGCATCCGCAGTAGTTTTTTGCAAACGAGCACATTTTTTCTCACCTTCGAATAAATTGCAATGCATCAACGTCTGGCAGCACGTGTGCAGCAAGCCGACCAGGTGCCCCGAAGCCCACAAGCCCAGAAGCCGTAGCGGCAGGAGTACTAAAGGTCGTGGTGATTGTCGTGGTCGTGGTCGCGGTCGCGGTCGTGGTCGTGGTCGTGGTCGTGGTCGTGGTCGTGGTCGTGGTCGTGGTCGTGGTCGTGGTCGTGGTCGTGGTCGTGGTCGTGGTCGTGGTCGTGGTCGTGGTCGTGGTCGTGGTCGTGGTCGTGGTCGTGGTCGTCGTCGCGTCGTGGTCGTCGTCGTCGTCGGTCGTGGTCGTGGTCGCCGTCGCCGTCGCGTCGTGCCGTGGTCGTCGTCATCCGTCGTAGTCGCAGTCGTCGTAGTGCCAGCAGGTGACGGCATTGCCGCTTGTCGAGCTTCTTCATGCCGCGTTCGAGGGTCGACCTTGTCATGGGGCCGCCTACAACGTTGCTCCGAGCCGCGGCTCCCCAGAGAAGGACTTTGAGGCCAGGGGGCTGGGGTGTGGAATTTGGGTTTGGGTGGTTTCGTGACCTTTGACATTTTGTGCGGTGCCTTTTCCGACGTCTTTCCGTCCTTCATTCGGGAAACGCAGGGAGTAGAAACACATAGCGGAAAGACCAGCTGGCGTAACAAGTAACAGAAGCAATGCCCCCAAAAACGTAGCAGAAGCTGGCGGAAGCTCCTGGGACCCTGGGAACCTTGACGGAAAGCAACCTAGACCCGTCACAGTGACCCAAACCAAGAGGAGGCGACATAGAAACTAACCCGGGGATCCATTGCAGGAGTGCTTCTGCGAGAGTTCAGGTTTTTTTTTTGGGGGGGGGTTTCGGCTTTGGGATTCCGGGCGCGGTCTTCTTCAGAGCTTAGTGGCTTAGTGTTCAGGGTTTTTGGTTTTAGGCTTTAGGCTTCAGGGTTTGGGTGAGGGGTTTGGGCTTCAGGGACTGGCTGTGTCCGTGACGACCTCTGAGCCTCTGGGTTGGTTGCCGTTACAGGTTTGGCTGGTTTCCGTGCGTCTGGCTTCCGCGTTGTGGGACATGGTTTGCGTGGCATTTTCCTGGGTTTCTGCTGTGGTTTCCAGCCTGGTTTCGGCTACATTCTTGTTTTGTTTCCGTTACCATCTCACCCACCCACCCAGGTGTTGCTGAGATTCTTGCAACTTGACACAGAGGCGTATGAAGTGCTAAGGGCCAGACAGGGGGTGAAGTCTCAGGGCGCTGAGGGCCGGGGCTTCGAAGATGGAAGATTGCAGGCGGCCGTGGACAGGACGCACATGGCCTTGCGGCATAGCTGCGTGCACATCGGGCAGGACTCCCGGTGACCGTTGCTTACCTTGGGTGTTGTATCGGACGAAGCGAGAGCGAGGGAGATATTGAAGGTTACACCAGATGCCAGACACAGACTGAGAGATGGATGGACAGAGGAGCAGCGAGACCGAAAGAGAGAACAATCAGCCGGGCACACAGGCAGACAGAGGCAGACGGAGGCCAGAGAGAGCGACACAGGGAGAGAGAGAGAGAGAGAGAGAGCAGAAGAAGGAAGAAGAGAGAGACAGAGAGCGGGTTCGCCCCTCATGCCCTGTAGAAGAAGAAGAAGAAGAAGAAGAAGAAGAAGAAGAAGAAGAAGAAGAAGAAGAAGAGGACAGAGAGCGACAGAGGCTGACATGCAGGCAGAAGAAGAAGAACAAGAAGAATAACAAGAAGAACAAGAAGAAGAACAATAGCAAGAAGAAGAAGAAGAAGAAGAAGAAGAAGAACACGAAGAAGAAGAATAAGAAGAAGAAGAAGAAGAAGAAGGAATGTAAGGGTCGGAGAGGCGCCGTTTTGGTCCGCAACAGGCATGTCTCCAGCTCACCAAGCCGACGCTTTAGTGGACCGTGGCCATGGGGTAAGACTTTAAGAGTGAGTTGCGATGGGCTCCTTACCAGCGTATCTGGTCGCTTCTCGGAACAAGTGGTCTTAAGTGGCCTTAAGTGGCCGAGCCGAGCGACCGATCGCCTCCACTCCTGTGCTCGCAGCGCTCCTCAAGTGTGCCGCCAGCCTTCCAGTGAGTCGGGGGACCGAAGCAAACTCAGAACATGTTGAACACCGCTCGGATGTGTGTTTGCCGCGTCTGAGTGGGATCCACATGTCGCATTGTGAGGTGCCTGGTACAAACTGAGCGGGGACATACCAGGGCACGCAAGACATGCATCTTGGCCCTATGAGCCGATGCCCACCACCTGCTGCATCCCAAGCTGGCCAGGACCTCCTGGCTGGTTTCAAAAGCGAAGCTTATTCGAACAGTGACCTCCGCGAGGCGGGTGAGGACTGCCCTTTGAATGGGGCAGAAGCAGCTATTCATAGAATTCATAAGATGGTCTTGTGTCATCCTGCGTTTATGTTGCATGAAGCCTTTTGCCAGTTTCGGATGGGCCAAGCATTGAAACAGACTCTGAGATTCTAAGTTCTCGTCCAAGTGGTTCGACATCATGTTGAATGGCAGAAGCCTCATGCCAGTTGTTTTGTGTCATGGTGCGATGGGGCCTAGATGCCGGGGCGTGTGTCAAAAACATGGTCTTCTGCTGTCGGTGCCATTAGCCCAGAGGACTTTGAGCTGATAGACTTCAACCAACGGATCTGGAACGAGTACAAGGACCTAGGATGGTAATTCTATGGTTCTGACTTTATCTTGCACATCTTTTGCTCAGGACTAGCCGGTTATTTTCAGGAAAATCGCTGGACACTCAGGGCACAGAAAGGTCCTTCAACTTGTTCAACTATCAGCTTGAACGTAGAGAGTCAGGACAGAATGAAGCTTGCAACGAGAGGGCCTGCACATTGTAGGGTCTGGAGCCTAGGGCTCCATCTGAAATGGGCGACAGTGACAAACAGGAAGACTAAGATGGGGCACAAATCTGAGGACAGGCCGCTGCAAAGGTGGAGTGTTGACATCCCGGCCCTAGATGCCCTAGACTTGTGGCGCCCCTTAGCAGCCTATGGCTAGAAAGCCAATAAGTAGTGAAAGGGGCCCCTTAACCCTAGATAAAGCTCGATGGAGGAGGCGTTCAACGACCAGCCCCGCGAGAAGCAGTTTGAGATGTCGCGTGCGAGACCCGAAGCGGACCGCTGAGAGAGTGGGTCTTAGGGTCTTAGGGTTTTTGTTTTAGGGTTTTAGGGTTTTTGGGATTTTTGGTTTTAGGGTTTTAGGGGTTTTAGGGGTTTAGGGGTTCAGGGCTTAGGGTTCCAGCGTGGTTCACAAGCAAACAGTTTGGCAGAAGTGTCCTGAAGGGTGCCGTTCCCTCTTCCGCCAGAACCACCTTTTCCATGCTTATCATTACTATAATGAATATGGTCATTATTGTTATTATTATTATTACTATTATTATTATTATTACTACTATTATTATTATTATTATTATTATTATTAATAGTATGATCTTTGGTAGTATTATTATTGCTGTTGTTGTTCTTGCTATGGCTACAACTATGTTGGGAAAGTTCATGAGTTGATGCTGGAGTGTTCCTTGGTGTCCGGGTCTGGACTTTTGCGGTTTTCAATTCTTGGGGGGATACATGTCCGATTGTTGGCTCACATTTCATCTTAGAGTGTCGCTGACTTGCTCCTCTCTCTATCCCCCTCCCTCCCCTCCCTCCCTCCCTCCCGCCCTCCCGCCTTTCCCCCTTCTCCTTCTCCCTTCCCCTTCCCCCCCGTCATTTTGCAATCTGACCTCCAGTGCGTGACTGTGACTGTGTAACACGACTGTGAAAACGCCCTATCTGCCACTCAACCCTAAAGCGAGAACTCAACATGGGGCCTTGCCCGACCGACCCATTACCAGGACTGGCAAAAGTATCTGTCGAGCTTGCTTGCAGAGAAGGCCGCTTCTGGAGGGTCTTTTGATGGGCTGCAGGAGGTCTGGTGCTAAGCGTCGGTGTGGTGTTTCCCTAGAAAGATAAAGTGTCGGCATGCGCCTTGGATGTGTGGCATGCCAATCTCAGACACTGGCGGCACCTGCAAAAAAAATTGAAGGGGAGCAGTGCCACACAGACGAAAGACTGCACCCCCCTAGGTCCACAGTGCTCATGTCAGGCTGGCGTTCCCGGCTTGGACCTGATTGCCCTTGCGGACGGGAACAGCGTCCTTCTCGAGGTTCCACGAGTCCTGCTCACTTGGAGTTTCAGGGGAGCAGCACCTGTATGAATTGTTGTTGTAGCTGAGGGAGTGACGGGTAATTATTCCATCTTTGGGCTACAGCTGCAGCTGCTAGGAGGGAAGCAACTTTCAGGAGGTGAGGGCCCGGCGACAGGCATGTGTCCGGATGTCTTGAAAGCGATTGTTCGAGTACCAGAGGCCTTCTCCCGAGGATCGAAGAACGGCAACCGTTTCGAGGATGGCGACTGACACGCCACACCGAGAGCCCCAGCACATCGGAGTTGCGAGGGTGCAAAAGACTCGATGATGACGACGATGCGACGCGCACAGCCATTGGGGTTTCCACGAAATTTGCGCGTCCAACGCGACGACCGTTTGGAGGACAGCGACAAGGACAAGGACGAGATGCACCTACCGCGAGGGTTACTGCTATTTGACGTCAAGCAGCGTTTTGGAGGACTAAAAACACGTTAGGAGCTCAAACTCACGTGACCATGCGTGTCCAGAACGTGGCGCTCCTCCCGCTGGTCTGGCTTCCGACGTTCTGAACTTAAAGACTTTAACATCGCCAATTGCCTTTGAATGTCAACATCAGCAAGTATCAGCAAACGCAGTCCGTGGAAAGCCATTGAGAATCTTTTGGAACGTTTTGGATCCTTTTGTCTCTCCATGGGCTGGCTTATGGATTCTCGGTCTCTGGGAAGAGACTTCTGTGGGCATGACGAAATTCTGAAGGACTTCACGGGGCCGCCTGTCGAGAGGACGGATCACATCTCCGTCAAGGCGCGCCTGTTGCTCACGTTCGCGAACAGTCAAATCACTGGGCCTGTTTCTCTACGAGTCTGCGTGGCAAAATGCTGTGAGGAGCTCCTGTCGCCTTCATAAGCCCTGCAAAAGCCCTCTATAAACAACCCTAAACCACCCTAAACCCTTAACCCTAAGCCCTAAACCCTAATCCCTAAACCCTAAAACCGCGATGCCCCACCCAAAGTGCCAGGGCCGTAAGCTGGCAGATTTGGCAGGCTTGGCCGATGAACCATTTGGTTTTCGACTTCAACAAGCACCAACTGGTGGCCCCTCATCTTTTGAGCCAAGTCCGTGGTTTCGGTTTCGGGCCGGAAGCACTCAGGAAGCACGCCTCACTCCGCTAGACTCAAGGCCTTAAATTTCCTGAGCTATGCTAAGCCTGCTAAGCCTGCTAAGCCTGCTAAGCCTCTAGCCTTGCAGGCACAGTTGGGCTGAGACAAGTAAGCCCCAGAGTCAAGCCCCTTGTTTGCAATGTCGTTAGTTCAGAGATCTGAGGTTCGGGCTGCCCAGGCGACGCCACCCAATGCGTTTTACGACTCAGAGGTGGGGCCTGTCAGCACTAGAGTCTACAGCGTGCTCTCAGACACCCGACAGTTTACAATGCCCGGTATAATTGGGGTGGTGTATGACGGCAGGCTTTGTGGCTGGAGCTTTTGCAGCAATGGCGATCGGCCGGCCAGTCTGAAGCTTCGAGGCGATTTTGAGGCTGGCCAGTTTTATGTGAATGTGGTCATATCAACTGCGGACCGTGCCCTTCAGTTCTGTGGACTTGGAGATTTCTTTATTTCTCGAGTACGTAACTCATCGCAAACGTACTAGTGCTTCCAAAGCTCCAAGAATTGAGTCTTGATGGAGGACATTCGGTACAGTGGCTGAGGCCAGAACACAAGTGCGATGAAGTGCGTACGTACCTTCTCGAGACGAGCCGAGGATTGCGCATTCACCCTCCCCATACGATGCGAGCAATCGGGCATACTCGCCGACATGACATTGATCAAGGACGGTGCAGGGTATACGTTACAGGATCGATGATGACTTCTGGGACCACCTGGGTCTGTGGTCAGTCGATAATTTCAAGACGTCTAGTTGTGCAAAGCGCCGATAGGGGCAGGGAGCGTAGAGCCGCCAGAGAGATGGCCTTCCATGCTGCCATGCTCTCATTCATGTTCTGCTTCTTTTGAGTTCCTTCGGTTCCGGCGCTGCTGCCTTGCACTTCTTGACGGACTAAGGGTCAGCGAATGCCCTCTGTATCCCGACTGCGCTCCTGAACCCAGCTTCACTACTATTTGCTTAAGAACCCCCCCCCCTCCCCCCAAAAAAAGTTAAAAAATAGAAATAATAAAAATGATCCCTATATTACCCTTGGGGTTCTTAAGCAATTAGTAGTTTCAGGACACAGCTACCACTCTGGCCGTCATCCTTGGGCCAGAGGTCGCTGGAACCAGACCTCGCTTTCGGATGTTCAGGTTTGGTGAGCCCGCAAACGGCCTCCCAAAAAGAACTTCATGGCATGTCTTAATCTTTATGTAATCGCGGTGGCGGTGGAAGGCTGTGTATTTTTCCGAAAAGCTGCTTTCCGAACATTGGTTTCATGGAGGCTTGCAGCAGGGAGTTTGGGATAGGGACCGCAGGTCGGACATTGGCTTGGTTTGCCTGGGCGCAGAAACCTCCGACACAGCCTTAGCTTGCGGAGTCAGGTTCGGGACATCGTCTTCGACGCCGATCGGCAGGCCCACTTATGGCGAGGTGCCCACATCTTGCCCTCTGTCTCTGATTTTACTGGGCAAGCTTGGAGTTTGGAAGGCTGTGCGAAGGACTCCAGGATTCAGGGAACACCGGGAGCACCCTTCCGTTTCTTGATGTGGCAGAGGGCTGTATAAGGACGACCACTTGAAAGACCAACTCAGGGCCTAAATTCGGTCGGGGGGGGCGGAGGCCTGGTTTACCCCATGGCCCATGGCCCCTACGTTACACCTGACGGTAGTCACCTGGACCTCCACAAACAAGTCCATGATTTAAAGTCAACCCGTCTCCCGACTCCCTTTACCCCCAGCAGACCTTGACCCTTAGACCCCACAGTCTTCAGAAGTTTTTCCGAACTGCCCATGAAGAAGCCAAGGCCTCGAGCTTCTTTGGAGGTCATCGATGGCAGGTCAGCAGTTTTCAGGGTGCCGGTTTGGGCTTCAGGAATGAAAGTGGTTTGGGCGGGCAGACGCTGGAAGGATACGTGCGGCGGGCAAACTAAATTTCCAATTGGAGAAAGTTATGGGGAATTTCTACATGGAGCCCTGAGAGCGCAAGAGCCCGCAGGCTGGATGGAGTTGACCTGAAAGCATCCTAAGCCTAAGCTTATCCCTCACGCGTTGAATGTTGGGAGCGTGGAAGGCTCTTGGTTTGAACGCAGCTTATAATTAACCGGCACCACCTAAACTGTCTTCTGCGGTTTGGATGGGTCGCTCGGGCCATGCACGTCATGCGATCCGGACCTACAGGGTAGTAAGTGTTTGGACTTGGTGCATTTTGCAATTCAGCACGCTGCGGTCATGTCTCCTCTTACAGCGCGGAAAACTTAGCCATGTAACTGGTGAGGCTGCAGTTTCTGGACAGATACGGCATCATGAACTGTTACGAGATCTGGATCGCCGCGTATGAGGCGAGGTGTGGGTGAGAATTGTGGGCACATGGTGCCCCCCCAACGAGTCCTGAAACCAAAGCTAGAACTTGACATGCTGAGGCAAGGGATGCTTAGGACAGGTTGCGGTTCCCGTAGTGAAACTCATGAGAGTTGCAATCTGTTTCAAGATGTATCCGGTCCCGGACTTTGTTTGAAAGGCCACTTAAAGGTTCAGTACCTCTAGACAGTCGAGGAAATCACCATTCCGCATCGATGACTAGCCCCGGATCAGCTTCGTGGGGAACCATGGGGGTATCAAACTCTGAGGCAGAGCTCGAAAGTTTCTTGGCTTCTCCGGGACATGCCTTCGAGCGCTATGAGGCCGCGTTCCCAGTAGAGTGTGCCACTTCTTTGGTTCAACGTGTCAGCTCTCCCGAGTATCGTGCTCCCTCCTTCTCGCGCTCCCCCTCCCTGTTGGTTCCCCCTTGTTCAGGCCCGGCCTCCCTGTTAGAACACCCAGATCTCGTTTCGTGCTTCACTGCGAAAGGCGCGATGTCGGATCGCATTTTGATGGTGCCGGGGGGGCGTGGCGAGGGGAGGGACAAAGGAGGGAGCGCGGTTACCCCCCAAACAATTTTGGGGGTTTTCGGGGATTTTGAATAATGGCGGCTAGGGGTCGAGGGTTGAGGGGAAGCCTTGAAGCTTGGGGGTCAAAGCTTTCCAGGCTTTGTAGCTCCCTGGCCAGGGGAGCTGCGGATCAATGCGGGTAACCGAAACCATTTACTAGAAGCGAATCATGGCAGCTCGTGGGCTGCTCCCTTGGAAAATTGATTGGGGGCCTGTTTCGTAGTGAAATTTTGAAAGGAAATCAAATAGAGCCGGACACCAGAAAATTTCGGAATTTCTTATTCAAAATCATTTTCTGGTTTTTGGTTCCCGGGCCCCCCGCCCTTCATCCCCGGCCCGCACACTTCGCATAATTGAGGACCACCCTCATCAATGGGGGGTCCCCTATAAGATTTCCGGAAAAACGCTTGATAGTGCCCCTTGACATTAAAAACAAGTGCAACATCAAAGGCTTTAAAACTCCAGGCCTTCAGGAAGGCTAGACAGCTTGCTTAAAGGCCAGTAGCTTCAGCCCACGTTTTGCTTTGGGTGCTAGGGAGTGGGGCATGGCTAGAAAATGGACATGGTCATTGCTAACTTAAAGATGGCCTTGGCAGGTTTCCCTCACAGAGCTCGCACGACCAGGGACTGCTTTCCACCACGCTGGCGAGCCTCGGTTTGGGACATTTGGAAACGGATCTTGAGGGGACTTCTCAACTTGCCCAAACTCCCATCCTTGAAAGGGGGTGCCTGGGAGCCAACCCTAAACGATCCTAAGCCCTCTAGCTTCTGAGGCCTGAAGTGCACATGCCTATAGGCCCGAAGCCCCAAGCCTTTGGAGGGTTTGGACTCAGGAGATGAATGGCATCGACTGGACGTTGCAACATGGTCTTGGAGTTATGGTGTTGAGGGTTGTCGAGGGTTGGCGTTTAACAATGTGTAGCATCTTCAGCTGGGACCTGCCTGCACTGGGTCTGCAGGCTCGGTGACAAGTACTGAAACTTAAGGTCGAGGTTCAGAGTTTCAGGCTTTGGGATTGCAGGTCCTTCAGGCCAGGGATGATTGGGGCATGGCATTTGAGATCTGTACGGATATCTAGGATGAAGTGGGGGCAAGCCCACGCAAGCTTCGGGTTTCGCGTAGAGGGACGTAGCTGGTGGTCTTTTGTTCAACGCCGTGCGCATATAGGCTGCTTTCCAGCGCGAGCATCATGGGGAAGAGCATCACTGCTCCGTGGGTATAGCCGTGTAACCTCCTGTCACCTCGTGTAACCTACCCGAGGGCCCAAAGGACAGGGCACCAGGCACAAGGGCAATGAAGGACAAACCGCAATGTGCATGCTCAGAAACAACTCAGCATGCCCAGGTAGATGCTGTATGCCTCACAACAGCCCTTGGCGTTTGGCACGTTCGCCTTGCCCTCTTGCGCTGCAGTGTGCCGAGGACCGTTCAGGTCGAGCATGCCGGCCTCGCGATCTCCGACCACACCACAACCGTTCTCTGCGCCGTCACGGCTGAGCCGGAAACGGGGGATGTGCAGATTTGGACGGTGTACCATGGCTTGTCCGCCCTCTGATGTCCGCAGTGTAGGGTCTGGGCCAGAGTTTTCAAAGAACGCTCAGACGGTACACAGCCTGTATATGTTTTCTGCCTGCAAAATTGCCCTCGACAAGCGCCGCTGGGCTGGGCTCTGTCAGGGGTGTTTGTTCCCTGCACATTGTACAGAACAGCCTCAGAACAGCGCGATCGATCGCTTTCTTGGACAGAGAAGAGGAAAACCATGTGAAGCGCCATGTGAAGAGCCCAGTTTTCCCAGCCCCCTCAACGAGACCCCGGACCTTAGATAGAAAAGGAACGAGACAAGTGCAACATAAAGCCCCGTGAGCAACACGTGCGGGCCCTGCTTGTGCAGCTGCTCCTCCTTTCAGTTGCACTATTCCGCACATTCCAAGCATGAGGATCGAGCAGCCGACGCCGCGACCACACTCCAGAGGAATGCCAGATGTGTGCGAGGTGCCTTGCCCACATTTTGGGGTCGGTTTGGGGAGCAGATCTGCACCTGCATTGTTGAGCCTGCTCAACTGAGGTGTTTCGGTGCCATCTGATGCGTTTGGTGCCGCACAGCTCCGACTTTTCCAACAAGATCGAGAAGGTGGTCGAGTTTGTCAACGATGTCAGATTTGAAGGTCTGAAAGGGCGCTTGCGCGGTGCGGGAGCCTGGTATCAACAGCCTTCTTGAATAAGAGCACCAGGCACAGCCTTCGGCGGCGTTTGAAGGTGCCGATCAACTGTTGTTTGGCAGCTTTCCAGCTCTGGAACTCTGCAAGGAGAGCTCTGGTTCCCGACAGAGACGGAGATCCTCCATTCCTGCTTGTTTGTCGGCCAAAAACTTCTTATTCGCCATGTCATTCACGAGGAAGGCAATTTCTTAAGCCTGGACAACATAGATGGCGAGGCAGCGCTGGGTGTCTAGGACAGTGCTCTGCCTGACCAGTCCTTCAACAAGGACCAACTCTCGCCGCGGATCGCAGCAACCTGCAATGGCAAATTGAGGCTTGAGTTGGCTTGCGCTGGCGGGAAAACTGCGTCATGATGCATCAACAGATCGAATTTGTTGTCAAGAACCTCTTAAGCAAAATCATTCAGTAGCAGCGATGCCATTATGCCCAGAGGGTGAGTGGCCAAAAGTCGAACCCGAAAAGCGTGCTGTTTTATGAGCCATGCACTGCCTGCACGTACTGTACCTTACAAGGCCGGTTTCTGTGCTGTTCTCGTGCTTCTGTGAGGGCCGCAATGACGTCGCAAGAAGGTCCACCATTGTGTGCCTTAAAACTGACTCTGGGGACGCACCCCCAATTCCCAATGGAGTGATTTTGCCTGACTCCCTCGGCCGCATGGCCATATGACTGAGCCATATGAAAATGCTGAAGATGCACCGCCCCGAACCTTCCCCGAGGTGGTACAGTGCTGTAGCAGTGTAGGAGGCTTTGCAGATTCCCTTTAGAAATGCACCAGGCAGAGCACGACTGTCGGTTCTACAAAGACGCGCGGAAAAACTTGCCGCACGCCCAGCCGCGGGTTTAGTTCTAAGCCAGTTCGAGTGCTGGCTCCATGAGTCTATGAATCGATGACAGTCTATGAGTTGGGATGTGCCCCCTTGTACTAACAGTCCTGAATAGGGATTATCGTATCCCCCCATGTATCATCTCTATAGAGGAGCTGCTAGCGTAAGGAGGAAGATCCCAATCTACGAGCAAAGATGAGTAGAGGTCCCGACGCCTGGATGCGGCCGTGCGTGCGCGCGACGCAGGGTCGGCTTCCGCTTGCCTCGAGGAAGCGCAGAGGCCGTCAGGGCGGGCAACGAGGCAACAGGAAATAAAGAGTTTAGTAGACCGAATCCTTCATGACTCATAGCCTCCAGAATCCGACACGAGGTATTTCAAGCATTGCAAGCCCTTTTGTCTTGATTATGGAGATTCTCGGAGGTGTTCCGCATGATGTGTGTAGGTTGCAGGGATTAAAGCTGCGACTAGGTGGTGGCGGCAGATGTTACAAAGAGCGTTCAAAGCGTGTTGTCACAGTCGACTACAGTGAACCACGGAGGACACGCAGCACTGTATACCAAGACTCACTACATATAGGGTGTGAACTTGTGTGAACATGTTCGAGGCTGTGGGTGGAGCTTGATGTGGTGACGTTCTCGCCGTTCATTCACGAGGACAGGCTTTCGGGATGTCTAGGGCCACTGAAGGCACTTGGGAGCTCTGGGATCAAGGCATGTCTTCTGGGATCACCCAACTCATTCAAAGTTCACCTCAGACTGTCCTGCTTTACACCAGCTGAGGAATGAGAATCAAGGGTCCCATTGGGTCTCCCTGGGCGCTTTCGTGCTCATGCGATCCGAACCCCTGGGCAGTAAGTAAGGGATCGGAAACCCTTTTGCGCAAAACAGCTTCAGACACTGCTTGATTCTAACTATGTCTCTAAGCTTGAACCCTTTAAGGCAGCGAGTTGTGAAGAGCCTTGGGTTAACCCGCCATGCTCCAGACAATGGGAACGTGGGCCTCGTGGGCCTGCAGCTTTGGGGTGCAGTTCCGAGTGGATTTGGGGGTTATGTGCAAAACTGGCTGGACCGTGAACGCACCTCTGAACGCAACATGAACCTTTGAACCTCTGATCCCCCTCAGAGGGGTCCGCAGGCAGCAGGAGAAGGAGACCTGCGACGAGCGGGCCCTAGAACTCGCTTTGTGCCTTAACATAAATGGGCCTGTACTTATGTGCCATACTATCCCTTAAACCCGTGGTCGCTTTTAGATTTTAACTGGACGTGGCGGTGTGCGATTCCGAGCTGAACCCGTAGAAGAATAGGGTTTTTGGTCTGGCGATGAAACGCAGCTGTGCTGCATTAGGATGTCATGACACGAGTAGTTGTTGTGCCGGGTTGGTGTGGAGGGTCAACGAACAGGGCAACTGCTGGCGGCTGAACTTGGAGCGGCCCTACTGACATCTTCTGGGTCTGTGCAAAGATGCCCAGCTGCTGCTCCGCGAGCACTGGAGAATCCTCAGTCCCCACCTGTCAGATGTGCTTCTGCGAGGTGCAGAGCATTGGCTGGAACAGGTGGGCTGCTTTCATCTGCCTGTGCAGGGCGTTGGGCTTCAGAAACTTGAGAAGCTGGTAGTATGTGAGGGTCGGTGCAAGAGCATCGTTGTTGATGCAGCACATTGGAGCCGTATTTTCCGAGCATGAACGCATCACGAAGTACTTGGCCTCACAAAGTCTGCAACCACCCCCTGTAAGGCTTCAAGAAAGCCCCTTTCTGGGCTTCCCGAAATCGGCCGAGGCAAGGGTTTGGTCAGCCAAGACGCGCCCTCAGAGCTCTTCGACGCGCTTCTCCCATTCAAAGGCCTTGCACCTTCCCCATGAACCCCGCCCTGTCTTGACGCTTTCCGTTTGCAAGGATTGATGATGTCGAACTCAATGCGGTCATCGACGCTGCCTCAAAGCAAGGTGTGTTCTGCTCCCGCAGGTACTATATATCTTGAATCCGGCCACCTATGATTCTCAGATGGCACAGCCGAAACGCAAGCACTCAAGGTGAGGGCCTCCCATGTCTCAGCAAGAGCCATCGCAGGCAATCTGTCAGCCGCAGAAGTTTGGTTCAGCATGTTCGGCACGGCCAGGTGCCCGGTTTGTCTATCATGTGCTGCTGTCACAGGAGAGTCAGCCTCTGTGCGTAGTGCACCTGCACATGATGCTCTGCAGGAGAAGGCACACCGCTTCCGGGTCCAGCCCGATGCAAGAAACCCAGTTTGAGCCATACTTGCACCAAACTTGCATCTTTCAAAACTAGCCGCCAAGCCTTGTGCACACATTGCGCAGACAGTACTCTACACATTGTGTACGCTGTATTTTGTTTCAGAAACTGCACAGCATTCCGGCCAAGTGATTGGAACTACAGTTGGCCAGGTGGTGACGCTCACATCAGTGATTCGCGCGGCAGGGGAGCACGGGGATCCAGAAAGGGCCAAAGATTGGTATTGCTGCGGCCTCGGGCTCGCCTCAGGCAACAGTGGTTTCAATTTCTATCAGAGAATTTGCACTTGTTTTGTTGCTTGGCAGTTCATCTCACGCTCCACAGCGCTTTGGCCGCGACTCAGCACCCTCCGCCTCGAAGGCGCTGCACCATACCTGCGCATCCAGCCCAACACAGCCTGCGCCCTTGCGGGTTTCAAGGAGCGCTTGAGTTGCGGCTTTGTTGCTGCGATGCACCCTCAACAAAAAGACAGGCCTTGGCCCCAGCTATGCAAGAAATCGACCAAATCGCACCCTTTGCAATCCTTCTGCCTTATCCAAGACTAGCCTCCATTCCTTAAGACCAAGCTGTCAAGGTGACCCATGCCTGCCTGCTGAATGCCCTGCGGCAGAATGCCTCGGTGCGGGCTCAGCGTACGATGTACTGCTGTAGGTTTAAGATTCCTGCGTCCTTTGCTGTGGGCTTAGGGCTCTGGATATCCTTGAGCTCCCATATGGTGTCAGGGCAGCCTCAGAATACGGACGAGAAGTTTTTCAGGTTCGGGTTCCGGGGCACATGATAGCAGAAGACTGCCGGACTCCATCGCGCCCCGCAATCTGACGGCCTGAGCCCTTGAACATCGCTTTGTTTCTGCCTCAACTCCCACCCTCTAGTGAAAGGCTCTCGGGGCTTCTCGAGCGTTAGGCACCTTCAAATCCCCACAGAGGTGCCACACGGTCAGACATCTTCCCTTCAAGAAAGAAATACCTTAAATACCTCAACCTTCAGCCTCAGTGCCTCAACACTGATCCCCGTAGAACCTAAGAGGGACCCGAGTCGCACAGGCAGTGCAGGAGTGGTTTGACGTCGGCATTCGCGACGAGATCCAGCCAAACGCCACTTTGGCCACTTAAAAGTTAGTCGCTATGCGTATCTTTGGATCCGTGATCTGGGGAGCATCTGTATTCTGTTTAGTTATGCTTGCAACATGTGCATCTCGTGGTGGTTTTCGGTGAACAACAGTCGGTCTGATTGTTCCAAGTGGTAAAGGTCGTTCGTGGAGCTTGTTTTCGCTTTAGCCACTCCCTGACATAGGGTGCAGTGCTAGAATGTGCGAGCCTTTTCCATCCGAGACAGCCGTAACACATCTCACTGAGCAACGACACTGGTGCAAGCGCACTGAAGTAAGCACCCGGCTGGCATCGACAAAAGCTACTGTAGCACGCGCTTGTTTGTGGTTTGAGTCCATGGGTTGGCTCGCCAGAATGGTACCATACTTCAAACCTTCGGATTGGAACGTTGCGAAGCCACGCGAGGCTCACCCCGTGCCCTCCCCGAGCTTCCGCCCCTTGTGTGCGTGTATGTGTCACCGTCCTGAAATATTTACTTGGGGTCTCTGCAAATTTTGGCAACATGCAGAGTGCAGAGGAGCCTGGTCCTGAATCACAAAACAGCTCTCACAAGTTCTCACCAGTTCACTAGTCTCCTGAGGTTGTGACGTACAACACGGCAATTGATGCCATGGTCAGGGCTTCAGACAGGGCAGGGTGCGGAGATGTGAGGTTCTTATACGTGAGAGTTTGTTCGGTTTTTATTGTTTTCTTTGGACGTGTGTGACAGGTGTGGCTTCGCAAAGGCCTATGTTTAGGGAGTGACACATGGACCGCGTCCTTATGCTGTGCTAAACACGACCTCAGGTTTAAGGGTGCCCGTGTGTTCGCTGCATGTACATGCCATGGGCTGAGCCTGGCATGAAAGCTTCTGCAAAAGGCTGCCCCTTCCGGACAGGGCAGCTAATTAAGCCAAGCTACTTGGGCCTCGGGAACGACCTTTGTGGAAATCTGTTAGCACTACCCGTGGGAATTGTCGAATGTCTACGTTGGCCATCGTTGGCCCAGAACACTGTCAGTCCCGATGCTTCGAGGCCCTCGGGTTGGCGCATGTTGGCACACGGTTCCATGTTTTGGGGGCTTTGCTGTTTGTGTGGTGGGTTTTGCCCGGAGTCTTTTAAGGTCCACAACAATTCAAGGTACTATAATATACTACTATACTATACTACAATATGCTATAATATACTATACTATGCCATACCATGCTATAATACTTAGGCAGCCTAGGTTTTCAGGGCGGGAGCACCAAACTCCTCCGGGAGCACTCAGGCTCGCGCCGGCCGCATGGATCTGGCCGAGAGGTTTTTCCAGTAGCTCGGAGAGGACAGCAGATCTCTTCGAGTTTCTTTTTGTTGCTCAGGTTTTAGGGTTCAGAGTTCAGGGTTCAGGGTTTAGGGTTTAGGGTTTAGGGCAGTTGCAAAAAGGGTTTAGGGTAGGGGGCTTTGGAGAGGATGTTCGTGGTATCCGGGCTTTCTTGCTTTAGAGGGTGGTCCAGAAGCCCTTTCGGGGTCTTTACACCCCTAAAGCCTCCAAGTGCAGAAGGTAGGCTGGATTTGAGCCCGGGGTCAACACATAGCAAAGCTTTTTGAAGAGAACCGCAAGCGTGACAGAAGTTCCTGATGGTTGAAACGACGAAATTTGCATATGGATCTCTCTACTTTTGAGCTACTGATGTCTAGTCGAGATCCGTTGAATATGTATGCATGCGTATTTGGTACAGGCCAATCTGCTTAATGTTGGACCCTCTTTAATGTGGGCCCCCCCCCCCCCTCCCCCCTGAACAGTCGAGGCGTGGATTTGGTCCCGATTAAAGGGCCCCGGGGGTTCATATGATTTTAATAGGGAGGAGTTTAGATAGATTAAAAGGGATCCATATGAATTTAAACGGGATGAGCTTATATGAATTTAAAAGGGATCCGCGCGAATCGAAAAGGGATCCGGGATGAGTTTATATGAATTTAAAAGGGATCCATTGGCTTTTTCCAAATTCGGAGCCTCCGGGCCGGGGCCTTGACATAAAAGAGGGTCCCAAATCAGTGCCATTATTCGGGGCCGAGGGGGGCTCCTGGACCACCCCCTTGTCGGATTGAAAGAAACCAATTTTTCAAATGGTTTCTTAAAGGGAATTAATGGTTTCGGGCCGGTTGGGATGGATGAGGCTCGGCCTTTAAAATCACAAGGTCCGGCTTTAAAAACGTAAGGCCCGGCTTTATGCCGGAGCCTCCGGGCCGAAACAAGCCCCAAATCCTAAACAAATAATGCCGGATTTCGGGAACCGTGTGACTTTAAAGAGGGACCCACAAACAGTGGGGGGATCCTGAATAATTTGGCCAAATTGACTTTAAAGGGGCGGCCCATACTAAACAGGGTCCAACATTACTGTTCAGCTCCCCCATCACAAAAGCCGAAGGGGGAAAAGCATGGGGGGAAGGTTCAAAGGGCCTCTTGTGCCTTGCATGGGCTGAGGGCACCAAACTTTCGAGCAGCGGGCCCGACAGAACTTGCCAAGCCACTTCTAGTGAGCTGGACCTTTAGAGGAATGAAGAGACTTGCAACAAAGGCCTTTGAGCACGTTGGCAAGGGACTCAGGTTCCTGAAGGTGTTTTTGTGCGACTATGCGAGTCTGAGTTAGAAGAAGCAGGCAAAGGCCCGGAGAGGGGTGAGCACGACGGCCACATGTCTGTGAGAAAGGTGCCAGTATCGTGGGTTTTGGGTGCAAATCTGATTGTTGTGGGTAGGGTTGTTCAACTTTAGCCGAACTATCCTACGATGACCCTGCTCAAGAACGCAGACGATTTGGCTTCAGCCTTTTGCACAACTTCTTTGCGCACTCCAGCCAGCTGGCACTTGGGTTCAACTCATCCTTGTGCACATGTTGGAACTCCCCACTGCAGCATGCCGAGAGCAACCACAGCCTTATGTCTTACAGCGTCTTACAGCTCGTCATTCCGTCAAGTCCAACACACACCCCACACCCAGCAAGGTGGTGGCCGTGCATCTAGTTCGCGAGACCCTAGTGACCCGAGCTGAATCCAGCACTCAGACGACGGATTAGTTGAAGAGCCATGGATGAGGAGCGCGAGGCTCTGGAGGCCGTATACGACACTGACTTCGAGGTCAGCCATGTGTCAAAAGTTGCGAAGGTGGAGTCCTTTCCTTGACCTCTGGACCGTTTTCTTGGGGTTTCGGGTGCATCAACACATGTAGGTTACGTTGACCAGACAAGGCGAAGTTGATGATTGGGGACTGCATGTTGAGGCCGACGGAAGCACCTGGAGAGTGAAGCTGCCGGAGCTCAATGCTGTTCTGGTGCTCCGCTTGGGAGGCTGGGAGGCTGTTGCCTGTGCACTCAAACACGCTCATCCCGACACCTTGTGCAAGAAATCACTTGGAACCTGCAAAAAGGACCAGGAGGGCAGTCTCATGCTTGACTGCGCAAGCCCATCAGCCCACCCCTCCAAGCGTCCCAAACCTTGCAGAAGCACAGCACCAAGCCTAAGCCAACGTAAGCCCTCCGCACACATCACAACCCCGACCCCTGCACAATCCACACGAGGCGACGAGCCAGCACAGCTTTCTGAAACCCGATGCCGCACCAGGAAGACATCTAAGACATCTAATTCCATGGTTTCGGCTCACTGTGGTCAGGACAGTTCGAACCCCCAAAATAATCCCGAACCCAAAGCCGCATGGTCAGTTCTTTAAGTTCATGTCCCACTTGGGTGGGCAGAAACGGGGTCGTCCTGGATCGTAAGATCAGGAGCCCAAAAACCATACCAGTAGTCTAGAGCATCGACCATGCGCGCGAATACCCCGAAGCCATGTCAAACGACCACGAACAATCAGCCCTACACCCCGTTAGCCCCTGATTCCGAAAGGTACGTCAGAAAAGGGGCGAAAAAAGGGCTGCACGGAAGAACGACTCCAGCAGTGTAAAACGTTCCCATTAAAACATTCTCCAGCAAGGACGAGGCGTACCCCTCAGCCCACAGAAGAGGAAGTTTTTTCCAGGCTTAGAGCCCAGCACTTCCCCAAGAACTGTGGGCGGTTTGCTGATCAGACGTCTTCGCGGCCTGCATTACGCAACCACCCCAAACCCATCGCATGCTCAAGATAAAAGTGAATCTCGCAGGTGGGTACCCGGAGTCCGATCCGCCTTCGCCATCACTGGAGTTCGATCCCTGGCCCAAGGGGGGCGACGCCTTCGCACGGCGTGTGACGCAGGAGGGCTGGCTACAGGGTGGACGCAAGTTGTGGCACTCTTTCTGGGTTCGGGACTGTTGGGGATTTGACATGAAGCTCGTAGGAGGTCGTAGGAGTTACTGTGAACCGGGTACACGCCCCCTTTAGAGCCCAAAAAGCGACTCCCCAAAAGAATCATGTTGTCGACTCGTAGAACCCTCGTAGATTGTCGCAGGACCTGCTGGGCCAGTTTGAGCCGGGTGCCGGCTGCGTGATTCAGTGGGTGCCTGGGCCTGCACGCCTCAATTCAATTCTACGAAGTGCACCCCCGTGATTTCCATGTTAAAGGGCAGTCGCTGAACAGAAGAAAAAAGGGATTCATGCTGTTTTTCATCCACAACTCTCTACCGCCCGAAAGCTCCAATCCCAAATCTCAAGGCCCGAAGCCGAAGCCCTGGAAGCGTCAAGCAACAGGATGCAAGTCGGCTCACCACTCCGAAGCCCCTCCTGCACTTCCCTGAAATCTTATAGGATCAGGTGCCTCAAACGCCTTCCAGGGGGTGAGCCGGACCTACCGTGGCAATGACGGGTAACGGAGAATTAGGGTTTGATTCCGGAGAGGGAGCCTGAGAAACGGCTACCACATCTAAGGAAGGCAGCAGGCGCGCAAATTACCCAATCCTGACACAGGGAGGTAGTGACAAGAAATAACAATACAGGGCATCCTTGTCTTGTAATTGGAATGAGTAGAATTCAAACCCCCTTTATGAGTATCAATTGGAGGCCCTTATTGCAAGGCAGAGTGTAGCAGAGTCGCTCGCAACGCCGCTGATGTGGTAAAGGAGCTCGCTTTCAAAAAAACAGAGTGCAGCAGAGTGTAGCAGAGAGAGCTGCAAGAAAGATAGGCAAGACAAAAGGCAAGCCTTTGATGTTTCCGGGTGGCCTGCGAAATTGGGAAAACACAGTTTGCCGATCAAACAAGCTCAGGACAAGATCTTAACTGGTCCCGTGGTGTAACCAAGTTGCAAAGCTCCCTCCCCCATCCAGGTGGAATACGTGAAGGAAGCCTGGGCCAGCAGTCCACCGGAAGCATCCACCGCACTGGAGGCCTTGCCCAGGGAAAGGGTCTAGCTTAGGGTTTCGTGTCGTGGCAGAGTAGGCGACGCGAGAGTTCAGAAGCCTACTGCAAAAGGGTCCAGGGCTCAATCATATGCTGTGTGGGCGCCTATACGCATTTTGATGTGAACCTGAAGGGCCGTGTAACTGGGCTGAGCAGACGTGAAGCCAGCGACCCGCTGCATGTGCAGAGCAGACCCGTCGATTCGTCGTAGGTGTACGTTCTGGAAAGTCACACGTGGAAAGTCCTAAAGCTAAACCTCAGACGTCCGTCGAAGCTCCAAAACCAGGCCCCAGATCCGAGCCCCTAAGCCCCAAGCCCCTCTGTAATTTGAAAGCCGGGAATCGTAGTGTCTTGTCTCTCTTGTCCCGAAACGGTCACTGCAGTGTGGCCGGTCTGCGTGGCGGGGTGCAAAATCCTCATTTTGGACAGTGCCGGGGCTAGGCGGGTAACAAAAACATCCTCCCGAGGCCAAGGCACCGGCCAGCGAGGTGCCGGAGGAGAAGCCCAGCAGTGTAAAGCTGACGCCGGCGCTCGCCCGAGCCGTAGGCGCCCGAAGGGTGCAGTCCTTGTGAGTGGTGGGCTAGTTGGGATCATCGAGGTCGGGCTTGAGTAGATAATCATAAAGGGCTGTTGTTAGTGGGGTCTCGGAGCCAGCCAGATTGGCGGCCAATGTGAGGCCAGTTGGTGTCTAAAGGGCGGCGCACCTTTCAGGCACCAGCTGCCTCAAATCTGGGCATTGCGCAGGGCGTCCCGCATTGATGTTTACAACGCTCGTGTGAATCTTGTAGTTTGCTCGGTTGCAGGCTGGGAATGAAAGAATTGGTTGATTCGTACGTCCAAGCAGTGATTTTGATGCCAGCAAGCCCGACTTGACTTCACGACACTTATGCCTTTACGCCCTGTGGTGAGTTACTCATGCCGCTGCTGCCTGGCCAAATCTTCAAGTGCCATCGCCTTCTGCAGAGTCCATGGATTAAAGTGCGCGACAGGTACTGCTCTCTTGAACGCCACCCAAGCGAGTTGAAAATGGAAAGGTGCCTTCAAGCTGGGCCGTGGCAGTTGTTCCGGAACACCATCCCGCGACCACCAGTTGATGCTTCAAATGCTGTGCAGGACACCATGGCGCCTGATTCTTGAGCGGTGTTTTGGGCTCCCCTTCTTAAAGTGGATTAAAATGGTTTCGTGCGTCCGTGCATCCACCTTCGTTGGCATGAAAATGATGGAAATGAATTTAACCAGTATAAGAAGAATGCTGAAAGGCAGTTTCTATCGGTCGGCTTGTTTTCGCGCATTTTGTAATTCTATTGCAAGTGCATCTTTAAAACTGTCCTGCGCCAGCTTCAAACTAGCATGGGTGACTGCATGTTGTTGAGGTGCCACTGGCCTCACATTCTGTGAGTTTTCGTTGGGTAAGCATGGACGCGAACGGGGTTGAGCAAATCTGAGCACGGCCAGCGGGGCCCGGCGGCACGGCGGCCCGTCGGCCCAGCTTGAGTGAAAGGCTGTGCGAGACAACAACCCGCACCTTGACGGTGCGATGCCACGCGCTATGTGAATTGAGCTGAGGATGGAGTACTGGAGTGATGTTGAAATTGAACCCAGCACAGCCCCATGCGCCTATCGGACTTATGCCTTCTAGACATCCCCCCAAAATAGTCAGACACCTTGGAGCAGGTGCTTCCTTATCGAGTGCTGGCTTCACCGAGTGGAGCCCAGGGCTGTTCGCCCACAGTGACCGCGGGGTCACCGCAGAGGTTCTCTGGTTTCCCATGCCTCTTTGGGACTTAGGGGGCTTCCGGTTCCAGCTCTGTCAAGACTGTCAAGAATTCTGAGGTCTTGCTCGCCCGAATGAATCACAACTCAGGGTCTATGACAAAATGCGTCAACTTAAGCAGCAAAGGTTCGTGACGATCTCACCATCACCGTGGACGGCGTGGATGCGGAGGATCTCGTGGACTGGGCTGCTATGCAGCTGGCAGCGGAGCCTCAAAGTTTCGGAGCGAGACTCTTGGAGTGGGCGGCTTTGTTCCAAATTAGCAGGTCCATGTGCTATAACAACAATAATGATACTAATAATAGTGATATAATAATCCTTAGTGGAGGCCCAAAAGAGGTTATTGCTAAGAATGCCCACAAAGAACAGCAAGTGGGACTTGGGTCGCATCACCGCTGACAGGCCGCGTCGTAGCCTTGGCAACAAAGGTCTGCGCAGCACAAGCAACACGTGCAGTAGTGGACTTAAGTGGCCTCAGGACGAAGCACAGAAGAATGCACAAGGGAAGTAAGTAGACCGGAGGGTTTAGCCCCCACTCGCTCACATGTTTTGTATCACTGGCCACTTGCAGGGCTCGAGCCATTGCAAGGTCATTCAAGTGTTGGGCTGGGGTTGGTGCTGCTACGAAGGCCTTCTCCCCCATACACAGCCCCCTCCACCCCCCCGACCGAAACCAACCCTGACTCCCCCGAACCCCCCGAAACCCCTAAACCCCTAAAAACCTAAAAACCCATAAACCTATTAAACCTAAAAGCCTAAAAACCTAAAATCTGAACACCTAAAAACCTGAACACCTAAAAAATTAAACCCCTAAAACCCTAAAAACCTAAAAAACCTTAAAACCTTAAAACCTAAAAGCCTAAAAACCTAAACACCTAAACACCTAAAAACCTAACAACCTAAACACCTAAGAACCTAAAAACCTAAAACCTAAAAACCTAAAAGCCAAAAAGCCTAAAACCCTAAACACCTAAAAACCTAAACAACTAAACACCTAAAAACCTAAGAACCTAAAAACCTAAACGCCGAAAAACCTAAAAGCCTAAAAGCCTAAATCCTAAAACCTAAACACCTAAAACCCTAAACACCTAAAATCCTAAGAACCTAAAAACCTAAAAGCCTAAGAACCTAAAAACCGTAAAAGCCTAAAAACCTAAAACCTCAAAACCTAAAAACCTAGAAACCGAAAAACCTCAAAACCTCAAAACCCAAAATCCAAAAGCCTGAACACCTAACCTAAACCTACATAACCAATGGTCATAGAATGGAGATGCGTTCTATAGGCCAAATATGTTACAAAACAGCATACGCAGCCCAAGCGTGTTGCATCTAGGGGCTCATTTTTGTAAGTGATGTTGAGAACAAATGGCCTGTAATGCACTGGCTTTAGAACCTAAAAGATTACGCAACTCTTGTGATTCACATAGTCGGAGCTTCGCGGAGCGTGGATGGTGTCTTTGGGAATGCCAATGGTTGTTTTTTGGCAACAGTACTGTCCAAGACATGTGTTGACCGTGCAGACGAGATACCTGCAGCAGAAGCCACATCGGAGGGAGGGGGCACTATCATACATGCACATGTACACGGAGAGGCATGCCTTTTTGTGTATGTACCTTTTTGCAGGGGTTCCCTGTGCATGTTGGCATCTTTGACACCTTTGTGAGCAAAAACCCTCAGAGGTCACCGCCCAGCGCTCGCCGGAACCGGGCTTCCTGGAGGAGGATGCGGAGGCCGTCGGAGGTCCCGACTTCCTCCCGAGCGCCGATGCTTGGTGGTTGGGCGGTGTCGTTAACTTGTTCATGTGCCATGTAGGCTGCTATAGGCTATTTGGGTTCCTTTTCTGTTCTTGGGGGATCCCGCCCCGAGTTTTTTGAGGGTGGGGTTTCCGTGTGCTGGCGTAGTGAAGTGCTCGACCCGGCCTTGAGTTTGTATCAACTTGGAAGCCGCACCCAACCCAAGCAGTTGCTTGGGAAGCGTTTTGGGGCCATGGGACTCATGCGATGTTTTAATGTTGAAGGCAAAAGAGGGCTGTGGGACCCGAGCTACGGTCGCCGTCAGTGAGCCCAGCCAACATCAGCCAACACTTGAGTCTTGAGTCGCTCAGGAAGAGCTCGGCGTGAAGAAGGAGCGAGAGCTGCTGGTGCTGACCTGGGGGAAAGCTTTGCGAAAGTCAGCGCCGCCGGAAAGTCAGCACAACTTCAATGCTGGCATCCTGAACGGCCGTGGCGGAGGCTGACCTCGGGTGCTTTAGTGCTTCATCTTTGGTGCTGTGTGTCCTCTGGAGTCGATGGTTCTCTGAAGAATATCATCATGAGAGGGAGGGCGATCGAGGTGTAAACGGTACGGTTCTTTTCAGCCCTGCAAGCGCAGAAGAAGAGTTGGCTCCGGCCCTTATTCCCCGTAGTCCGCTGCGAAGAAGAGAAGAGAGAGAAGCGAGACTCATCGAGAGCTGGAGGTCGCGTGATGAGGACACAGGGTGCAAGCAATTATCATCAGATTATCATCCCCTGTATGGCCCAACGACCTGCAAACCCAAGAACCGCATCCTTCGCAAGGGGCGGACCTGAAGTCGATGAACGGACTCTGGGACGAAGTTCAAAGCAATGTGGCCTCTTGCGGCCTCTTCCCGCGATGGATCTCCATGGTCTGCGCAAAGGCTTGCCCATTGAAGGGTCGGGGGGTTGTCGTAAGGCTATTGTGGGGCAACATGGAACCATGCCTTTTGAGTTGACCTTGATGTCAAGAGGTGTCATCACACTGTAAACCGCGGCGGCTAAGTCTGCAGAGTACTTCAATGAGTTTAAGGTAAGGTGTTCCTCCGCACAGTTTGCAGCAACTGGCCCAGGTGGAACATTCAGATCTCAGCTGCATCTCCATCAACTGCACCAAGGGCCGACATCGGTCAGTTGCCGCTGCGGAGATTTTGAGGAAGACCTACTACCCAAACGCGACAGTGAAGCACCTGACAATCTACTAACCGCGGACATTCGAGCCGCTGCGAGCATCAAGCTCAACTGCGAACCCACGAATTGCTGGCATCCCAAGCTGATGGGTTCCGGAGCAAACAAGCCGTTCCTCAGCCCTCCAGAAAGGAATTTGACTCGAAGGCCCGAATGAGTCACGCAGACAGGAGGATGCGCCAGCGATGGAAAAATGCTGCAGGATTGCGGGCTAAGGGTTGTCGGTCATTGTGGCTTGAACGTTTTGGGGTTGGAGTTGAATTAGATGCACGTTTGCAGCATCCTCAAAACTCCAAACCCCGAGGCTTGCACGTAGCCGTTTTGCAGCTGAACGGTTGTCAAGTTGCCAAGAAGAAGAGCTTCTCTCTCCAAGGATCTAGCCAGAAGCTGATAAAAATTGTTGCAAGGCACCACTTTCAGATGGAGGATCGTGTATTGGTTATGACGATGAAGTGGCCTATATGGCCATCTCGGACATGCTTACGACCAAGTTGCTCACTCTTTTTTCCACGGTAGGTGTAGCCGTTGCGCGTTCAAGTTTTTCCCTTGTGAACGTGTGGGAGAACTTGTTCAAAACGTGACTCACGTCATACTTTCCCTTGGCTTCCTGTTGAGCCCAGGCAGCTGTGTGGCAGCCCCAGCTTGGTTTCCTGGGCATGTGCTCGGGGTTGAAAAAGCCGCATAAATTCTGGATGCGCGCCTCATTTCTTGAGCATCCCTCCTGGAGTTTTGTGACTTCGAGGGGGAGTCCCCAAGGCTTCCATCGCATGAGCTGCAGCTTTAAATCGGGGATGTCTTTGCTAGGCCAGGAGCTGCGGCCAGATGCTGCGACCTTCGGAGCCCTCATCAACGGCGCCGCCCAGCCCGGAAGCTTAGGGGGGCCTCAGATTTTTTTTTCCGCAGAAAGCTCAGCATTCTGAGCGCGATCGAGGTCTGTGAGCTCTGTTTGGGCTTCCGTTCACAAGGTCGTTGCCTTTAAGAATCGTGAGCGGCCTTTCTGCGAGGGGTGGTTAATAAGGGGTCTGGTTTCCCACCCCCCCCGTCCCACCCCCGTCCCACCCCCCTTCACTCCCCCCCCCCCTCTCCCCCACAAAACACCTTGGCAGCGCATTAGAGCCCGCGACTGGGCGGCTAGTTCTGACAGCAACCTCGGACCACTTTTCTTTGCAAGTGGGCAGAGACCCTTGATCCTCGGATTCTCTGCGGGTCCTGGAAATCTCTGTGCAAATGTCGGCCTCTCGAAATCTCGAAAGGAAACACAGGGTTTTAAAACGTGGGTCGGTGGAACATCGAATTTTCTTATGGGTCTTATGGCAGTCTGCTGACTACAGACGAGGGGGTTTCGAATATGATCCTTGTGCGATGCCTCAGGCTCAAAGATGCGCGAGCTCCCAGTGGAGTGGGGGTTGAGTGGTGCAGTGAAGTGCTACTGGTGTCTTAGAGTATCCAGGGCAAGGAGGAGGTTTCCGAAATTGGGGGGGGTACCTTATTGGGGTCCTTGTTTTAACGCTACTATTTGGGGGTCTATCTCAGGGGTCCCCTATATTTTCGGAAACCCCAAATCATGGTCACCGTGTGATGAAGGGTCAGGGTCTTGGGCTAGTTGGCATATGTGGATGTGCAGCTGGTTCTGGGTGAGATTCAGATTGGTACATCTTGCGGAGCAATGGACAGGGCATTTACCTTTGGGGGAATCTGTAAGATTTCAGGTGTAGGGATGGGGTGTGTGTGTGTGTGTGTTGATATCTTCACCGTGTGTCGGCAGGGGATGTTACGTAACGTGATGCAACGTGTGCGTCGGCAGGGATGTTATGCGGCATGATGCAGATTCTAAGCCAGAGCAGCCTGAGTCTAGTGAGTAGTTTCTACGGGCTGGAGACGTCCAGGATAACTCGTGCTCTCTCCTATGCTCCGTCATGTCTACGAGTCATCGTGAAAGATTGCGTCGCTTCATGTGCTCAACCGCGCTCTTGCCTAAGTCCCCGATGCATTCCGTGGTCCAGATCGCGTCCCCGTCAAAGTTGAATTGAATCGCTCGGTGTCGCGGCAATGTGGCAGGGACGTGCTTTCCCGCCTCGGGCGGGTCCTCTTCGTGCGTCCGCGAAGATGTGTGTGTGTGTGTGTGTGTGTGTGTGTTGTGGTCTCGCACTGTTTAGGGCGTATGTTGTGCTAGATTTTGTTTCGCTCGATTGCAACCATTCGGAGCTGAACTGGGCCCTGATACGCACCAACCTCGAGGTCGATGGAGCCAAGCTGTGGATGGAGACTGCCTGGCGAGTGCTGGGAATTCTTGTTTGCGTTCATGAGGTGTATATATGTATATATGTATATATGTATATATGTATATATGTATATATGTATATATATATAGATATTATATTCACATGTACGCATATGTGTATGTATGTCTGGATATATATATATACACACGTATATTATATACATATACATATATATGTATATGTATATGTTGCAGTTGGAATGCGGGCAGAGTCGTTGGAGCCATGTGCATGCCGACAGTCTTCTGATGCTCTTGTAACCGCAGAGAGTTTCTTCCTTATGAGAAGTCACAGTTCTAACGCTGCGCGGCTACGCGGTCCGGGTGCTTGTGTGGGTACCATTCATATATAGTGGATCCTCCTAGATCAGCGAACTCCCGGCCTCCCAATTACGCGTTGATGGGGGTGATAGGGGATTCGGGAGCTCTGTCAGACCCTCGAAAGATAAACCATGGTTGGAGGCGAAACTTGGGCAAAGTTTCATTTCAAATCATGTGTCTTGACAGCCTCGTGCCAGGAGGATGGAACTGCTCGGGGCCACAACCTCGTCCAAGCTCCTGTCACACCCCTCCCTGAAGTTTGTGGCCTTCAGAAGCAAAGCTGTTCAAAAATCCCTGAGCTTGCAACGCGACATGCAAGAAATCCAAGCCTAGTCCAAAACAGGGAACCGCAAGCCATGTGTAGTGCACGTAAGTCCTGCGCTGTCCTGAACCCCGAAACCCTAAGCCGCGGAGCCTCTGCCGAGATGCCCGGCAACATCGTGAGCTGGAACGCCCCGCGCTCTGTCTGGCGATTCTGGGACAATTTCCCAGAGAGCCCAATACCCCTTAATGAAGAAGGAGTATAGCTTAAATTTTAAAAGGGATCCTTATTATGATTTAAGGAATACTCCCTATTAACTGTATTGGGCTCTTTGGGTTAGATGCTGTCCGCAACCTGGAAGCCTGCGGAGGGTCAAAACTTGTGATGTGAGCTGGAGGCGCTTCTGAAAGCGTGCCGCGATGATGCGAGCTCGGCAGAGGACGGAGTCATGGGACCCCTTAGCTTTTCAAGGGCTTCAATAAAAGCATATCTAAGCACCAAGTCTACCTCCCGATGTTTTGAGCAATTCTGCCCAAGACCTTGAGCGTCGCAATGTGCAGGATCTGTTCCGGGAGATGGTGACCCTCGGAGTGGTCTACGCTCAGATGATGTCGGTTCTTAGATCTAGAGTCTAGACATGGGCGTAACGGGCCTAAAACCGGGCCTAAAGGGCCTAAACACTGGATCCCAAGAGCCCCTGCAGCCGCCAAGCGTTACACGATGCGGATCCACCTTGTTCTGTTCTGATCCCTAGAATTCCTTGCCCCCTCGAAGGACGAATCCCTCGCAAAGGCTTTAGGCAGCTTGCTTTACATGGAGGTACTCGGCCGTGGCATGCAGCCAGACGGCATCACCATGCCAGCATCTCAGTTGGTTCAGCAAACTGCTGGCGTCAATCATCGTCGAGGCCTCAAAGAGTCAAGCGTCGCACTATAGCGCTGCAAGGCTGTGATCATCCCCTACAGTTCCCCAACATCCACACTCAGGGTCGGAACACGGGGTGTATTGGGCTTGGTGCTCCAGTGATCCAGGGCCCTCAGTACTCAGAGATGCTCAGAGTGCAGGGAAGAGGGATACCCTGAGCTCTAAACCCTCAGAGGGTGGCAAGAAAAAGAACCCTCAGAGTGACACTGTGAGGACGACACTTGTTGGGGTCCTCGGAAAAGCTCGTGCTGGGCTCTCAGAGGGCGAAATACTCTCAGGGTGTCATTGAAAGTGCACAAGCTTCGTTATGACATTCAACCTTGAAATTCCTGGCCCCGCGGCCCCGTCGAGATCTCCATGCGCCAAGGCCAAAGAGTTGTGTGCAGACTTGGGCGTGGACTACGTGCGGCGCCCAGTTGCAGAAAAACTCACAGAAGCTCCGAGGCTCCAAGGTTTTCTTCGGCAGAGTAAGCCAATTCCTGAACCAAAAAGTGTTCTTTCTGGGTGGGCATTGGGGCCGGGGTGTCCTTCAAAGGTAGAATGTGTGTGTGTGTGTGTGTGTGTGTGTGTGTGTGTGTGTGTGTGTGTGTGTCAGATGGTCGGCAAAGCATTAAACCACCCGCCATATGGTTTGCAGTCGCACGTGTTTCATGTGCCTTCGTTTTGTGGCGCCGGAGCTCAAACAAAAAGTGGTGGGATCTCGTGGAATTGTGAACAGGTGGGGCTTTTGCACGCGCGCAGGAATATGGGCGTCACATTACAAGAAATGAGGTCGCGAGGAGCGCAATCGCCCGTACTTGCAATACTTGCGCGTGTTCGGGGCCAAGAGGCAGCCATGTCGAAAAAACATGGAACTTGATGGTTTGCTTAGTTTGCTTCTATTGTTTTACTTGAAGCTGTTGGATTACATGTGCTTGGCTTTTCGCGTCTGGTGTTGCTTTCATAACCAATGCTGGGGGCCTCGGGCGCTAGCCTTTTGTTTGCAGCATTTGGGTCAAGCGTGTCGCGTTCAGGGCCTGAGGTTTGCGCGATTTTGCCGACTTGGGCGTGTAATGTTGAGGGGCTCGGGCTTTCGGTGTAGGGATCAAGCTTAGGGTCTTGACAGTGTGGTGCTTTGGGGCTTGCAGACCTGGGAGGTTGGTCTTGGGAGTCTTGGGTATTGTGCAGTGTTTTGGGTGCCAAGTACAAGGCTGCCCAAGTTCGAGTTATGGACGTGCGGCTGTTGGGTGGAT